ATTTATTATTTATTTTGAATACTAAACTATTATCTGAATCGTTTAAAAATCAACAATTATCAACAAGTATCTATTGAATATAACAATAATTTTACAAAATTTTTTTGTACATATATACAAATTCTTGCAATAATACCAATAATGCTCTAATTTTTAAAATATTCTGTACACCATAGAATATTGTATGGGATTTGTATTGTAAGTGTATTCAAGTGTATTGTAACGAATAAGGCGTAATATCGATTACTCATACCCTGCCTTAACTATAAAAAATAAGTTATCGATAATTATAACTTTGTGTATTAAATGAACATAGTCAGAAAGCGATGCAGGGGGGCCGAAGAACATGTTGCTCACGTAAAAATAGAAAAGAAAAAATATCACTTTACCGACATAATCAATAGAGGTGCATTAACCGTTAGCCGAATCCTCGTTTCATTTAAAATATTTTTTCGGACGGTCTTTTATAGGGGCACAGTCCTATAAATTATTTTATATTATAATGCTTAATAATAATAATAATTATAATATAATAGTCACATTATAATTATTTTCTGCATTTCATAAATGATATGATTTTTGTTTACAATACAATTATACAATAATTGCATAAAATGTTTTTTGAACATAATAAAACTAGTGGAGTAACATAAGCATGACTTTCTCAGCATTACGTTCCTAGATTAGGTTCTATACATAAGAAAGAACAAATCATGCAACAAATAATGCCTCTACGATCAGAATAGTATTGAAATTTAACAATTGAAAATAAAATTATAATTAATTCAATTATTCTACAGCTGGTTTATGATTTCGTTCTAATATAAACACAGCAAGTAAAATTGTTAATAAAAACTTTCATAGTAATAGTAACAAAACTCCAGAAAAATATGCGAACAAAAAAGTCAAGTACGGCTTTGGATCAGTTGGTTAAGGTGCAGCCAAAAATTCAATTAATTAAAATAATATAAAAAATAACTAATATTTGTTGTTGTATTTCACTACTGTTCGAAAAAAACCTCTTTATAATAAAATTATGCAATCCGTATATAATGTGTTCACTGCGAACTTTAAATCCATTTTTCACGTATTTATGTCTAAATGTGGTGTTCTTGATGGCATATCTAACGTGGAAGACGAAGTTGTATTTAGGAGTAAATACAAAACTCCAAATTTTTTTACTTATAAACAAGCAGAATGATAGTGCCATCTATGCTACGGTCCAGCTCGGAGGTCTTGGAGGTTCTAACGCGATCGGAGACTTTTGTGGGTGTAATCTTAATCTTCTACTTACCCTAGTAGGCGGAGAAAGTCACAAGGGCGTTATTAAGCCCAAAGAAGATTCCACTGGGGAGATTGAAATCTTCGTAGCAGATTTCCTTAACGCCTAGAGGAGGAGAACGGGTGAAGATATGGATGAAGGCAGTGAAGATATATAAAGTATAGGGCCTAGTAATGACTCTGAGGGACACGGGCGGTGGTGGAATATTCGCTAGAAAGAGATAAACTAATTCTAATAACAATGAACCTGTTTGTGAATAACAAGTGCCTTTGCTTATATGCGCTTATTTATACTAAATTACTCATCCCGTAATGTAGCGCAATAAAGCTTTTGTCCACTGAGTTATTTTTGTCGCTGTTGTTGCTTCTAACATATTTGATTGACGCTTGACATGTTTACTTCTTGTGATGCAATTCAGTACTCTCAGGACTTTGGCATAAAAGCTTTCTTGTTTTGACGTTTCTCGTGTTGTTCTTTTTTTTACTAACGTATTTTTATTTAATGCCGATAGTGGTGGTATTAATATTTATATTTATTTATAATGCAATAACTATACAAATAGTAAATGAATGAGGTATGTATATTATTAATTTTTTTAAATATATTTCTTCATTTATTGTAAATCATAATTGTAATTTGAAATGAATTTAAAATACATTGTGACCGAAAAGTTTCCGGAAATAAATAAATAAAACGCAAAATTCTTAATCTTCATCAATATTTATTTTATCTCCTTCAAAATATGCTCCATTAGAAGCGATACACAAATGCCAACGTTTCTTCCAATCATCAAAACATTTTTTATAGGCGCTTTCCGGTATGGCTTTGAGTTCCCTCTGCGAATTCTGTTTTACGTCTTCTATGGATTCAAAACGCGTTCCTCTGAGTGGTAATTTGAGGTTGGGAAACAGGAAAAAGTCACACGGTGCAAGATCAGGTGAATACGGTGGCTGTTCGATGGTATTTATTGAATGTTTGGCCTTAAAATCGTTGATAATGTTGAACAAATTGAGGTGAATCGGAACAAGCCGGGCGTTGACACGTCGCATACACAAATTGTCCACCAAAATCAAACGAGCCATCTCACGACCGATGCCTAGCTCTCGTGCTATCTCTCTAACACTCACATGAGGATTTTTGAACACGATTTCCTTTGCCTTTTCAATGTTTTCGTCGGTGGTAGAGGTCGAAGGTCGTCCAGAACGCGGCATGTCTTCGACGGTCGTACGACAGTCCTGAAAGGCTTTGTACCACTCATAAACTTGAGTTTTCGATAAAACTGATTCCCCATAAGCCTTTTGTAGCATTCGCAACGATTCTGCACACGAAATTTCGTTCGAAAAACAAAATTTGATGCAAACTCTTTGTTCAATATTTTTTTCCATTGTTTTTTTCGCAACGCACTACTGAGGTGAACTGGTTTCAACAGCTGCCGTAAACGAACTGTCTGACAGATCGCGCTCATTTTTGGCATAGGAATTAAGGACAGTGCTGCCAAACTACATAAACTTAAAATATCGAAAAATATACAGCGCGCGAATTTTAAATGAGAATTTCCGAAAACTTTTCAGTCACAATGTATTACGGATGCACTTGTGGTGTGATCTTTGGTGAGGTTTACGGCAATTTGGAACCAACCCGAATCTGATAAATCATGGCAGTTAGGAATTGGTAAATCACACTATATAAAGGAGTAAAAAAGCTAAGTTGACAGAGTTCGAGCACCAATCGCACACCGCTGCTATTGTCTGGAAGCTAAAAATCCCATCACAGATATTACTTTGGAAAACATATTGACAATGAATGTCGCACAATTTAGTAATGGAATTAATAAGCGAAATGAAGGGTTACTTCGATACTAGGGACTTTAATTTACGGCATTTGTGTAAAGAGAGAATTATTGCTTTCTTCCAATCTTGAAAAAGCGATTGAAAATGGTACAACCCTAGAAAAAAAAAATATAAAAGATTTCGTAGAGCGTAGTAGAAAATACTATTAGTACCAGGATACTTATTTAGTATTTTGACTTTAAGGATTTTAAAGAGAATAGAAAAAGTTAGAATTCCATTTAGGTCAAGTCAATTTACACAGATCGTCGAATATCGATTATAAAAGTGTGTTCACTACTTTCACTGTAGTAGATGAACAAACTATTAACCAAATGATTAGTACAGAAGTTTGAGTAAAAAGATTGGTATCACACTGCTTGCATCGGGTTACGGAGATTCTTTGATATAGAGTGGAGTCGAGTTTTTGAAGAATTGCTTGAAAAAGGTGTGCCAAGGCGTGCGACGAACAGTTTCCTGCTATCTGACGAATTCAAATCTGAGAACTCAGCGAAAGCTAATAACTTTTATAAGGATTCACTTACTGAATATGCTCAAGAGTAACGATAGTTAAAATACTCTCGATTAGTATTAGCTATAAATCACAAACCAGGCCAAGAGACTCATCAATCTATAAAAAACAGTCTGTAACAGATTTCTTACACTGTCACGTAGTATATGGAATAATAAAAATCCGTTAAAAGTGCTCGAGTTCATTAATCCTAATTATCGATTGAAAGAAATGGTGTTAGTACAAAAGACCATTGGTATTGCTATTTTATTAATAAAAATAATAAATGTCTGAAACTTGCTCGATTTACCAGTACACACCAAATGCGGTGCTAGAAAACACCTATTTTCGTTTGTAATGAGATCGGCAAGTTTATATAGATCGACCAGTAGCACACAATAAACCTTACACACTTATGGTTGATAGATGGAATTATTCAGCATACTTGATTGATGTTTTTATTTCGCATAATGGCAATTTTAAGCAGAAGTATGGGGAAAATAAAACCACTGCATACCACTGATTTGGAAAAATTTTAGAAATTTTGAGACAAACGCGTGGTTGTTCAAGTGATTGAGTACTGAAATAGTACCCAAAACTCTTAAACCTTTAAACCCTTAAGAAATACGTCATGCTGCAAACATGTGCAATGGTGGGGGAAACCATCAACAGTCTGTAAAGGGAGTAATAAAAAATAATAGGCGTAGCATATGATCTACACGTCAACAGAGCATAATTTTCCTGCTGCAAACAGCTTAATTTAGCGTAATTAGATATTAATTTTTATAACTTCATAACTGTAAATATAAGTTTGGCTAGTTAATATTTTATTTTATTTCATAAAAACTACAACTAAATTAAAAGTACCCATTTAAAAGTACCATTTAGTGATTTATTTTTCATGAATTAAAAACATAAGAACAGTATTTTATATATATATGTCACAATTAACTTTAAAATATATAAACGTGTTGGTATATTTATTTAATTCTAGCATGCTTAAACGATCTTTGTAATTGCTAAGTTTTAGAACAACTAGTGAATGAATACATTTTTGTTAAGAAAGTGTAAAAATGACTGATGTGTAACGATTTTTAGTAGTAGTTCGTGATATTTTTTACTAATGACAAAGTTTAGTGACTTTATACTTCAAGTTTACTTCAGTAGTAAAATGTATCATACAAAAGTTGTGTTCTTAATCACGAGGATTCTCTCTTGTGTTTTAATTAATATTAATGCCTTTCAATCGAAACAAATTGAGATTAGCCCTACATTAAATTTAAATATAAGTGATATTTTTAATTCTGAACTTATGGTTATCGACATGTTTTCTAAAGAGCTGAATTCTTTAAATAAACTAAAAACATTTCATAACAATAAAATGGATTCCTTCCAATATTTTGGTGTTAATGTGACTGATTTAAAATCAGCTATACAGTCTATGAGATATCATAGGTGAATATATACAATTATTATTTTAATAACTCTTAAAATTATTTTGAACTTTATCTTCTCCGATTTGTTATAGTCAAATGATGCAAAAGTATATGGCGCTACATTATCTTGCAAACAATATATTAAACAATGAGTTCGGAGTTCAGTCGCTTGCAAAGAGATCCGGAATACCATTTAAAAATAACGGTTCGAATGTAGAAAATAACAAAAACGCAATACAAGGAGTGAATCATTTCTTAGAGAAAGAAGGACTTCCGCAATATGCATCATGGCTTAAAAAGTATGCTGATTTAGTAAAATATATACAACAATACTTCTTAATAACATATTAAGCAAACAGGTTTTCGGGTGAAAGTATTGATTTATTAATTAAAAATAATATATATCATAAAATGATTATGTATATTCCCATTTGATAAGATTAATGAGCTCTTATTGATTTGGCTTGTTTTTTGTCGCCATGTTTGTTAGTTCGGACATCAATGCTTTGGTGAGTTGCCTAAAACCCATTTTGGTGACTTGAGCCAAACCCAGCCTTTTTATAAGTTTGTAAATAATATTTTGGATCAATATCTTTAAAATATCTATTTACGGTGGATATAAATACAATTTATGCCCTTCACGATATAATTAAAACGTTATAATTAAAAAAACTGATCGCTGAGGTGACTATGAACTAGTAAATAAGGGGGATGGTCAATCAATTAGACACGATGGACATGAATACAGTTTATGCCCTTCAACACATAATTTAAACTTTATAAATAAAGAAATGATCGCTATGATCTAGTAAATAAGAGGGATGGTCAATCAATTAGAAACTCAATTCATGGATATTAAACGCGGCATTATTGAGCAACACTTTTCAGGGTAGTTAATGAGCAACACACCTTTACTGCCTCAAAAATATAATGACCTTCCAAGCTGACAGTACATTATTCACCTTCTTCATGTTATTTTAACTACTATAAAATCGTTCATCAAGTTTTATTTCAACCGTTCGTACATTATCTTAGAACTAATTAAACAAACAAAAACAAATTTTGGGCCAAAAACAGAAGTTCAGTAATCGAGCTTATCGGTTGAAACAAAAATTTTGATTTTGAAGTGTAGGTACGGTCTATTTATGACAAAGTTTTTGGTTTAGACTGTTGAGCATATAGTTTGTTTATATTAGCTACACAGATATATGCTTTTGATCTGACTTTCTGAAGGTGATGTAAATTTACTATTATTCCTTGTGTAATAAAACATCTATAAGATTATGATTAATATAATTTTGAGTATTATGAGTCCTAGATTATGAGGCCATTATCTAAAAATGATGTTTGGCTTAATTATTTACAATAACTTTTTTCTGAGTTTTTTGCGTACCTTTTATATTATTATTGATATGGGATATAGTACTGCAAACGTCTAGTCTTTTATAAGTTTCATATCTAAAAAATTCAATTTTAGTTCTAAATTTTAGGTATACTAAAAAGTAATAAATAATAGTAACAAATAATTTTTTTTTAGAATTGCTATTTTAGACGACATTCAAGATCAAATGAGTTTTCATAGTAACAAAAACAAATTGCGATCCAATTACCACAATGAATGGCTTAAAAGATCAACTCCTTACACTGATAACACGTTTAATGTTTCAGAATTTGATGAGGGAGATATAACAGGCTATGCTTTTAACTCGAACTCTAATGTAAGTTATACATACATATAACATCAGCATGTAATAGCATTTTCACTTTTAGGATAATAATAATAATAACAGCAAATTATGGAAACTTTCTTCAAACAATCATCCACCTTCAGCAAAATTTTATAAAAGAGGTGAGTTCAACTTAAATTATGACAAATTTAGTAGAAGTACATAACAACCTTTAATAAATTAACTCTTTCAGATAATACACATATTTAGCTTAAGTATTTTTAATTTAACCAAAAAAACTGCAAACTCAAAACTTAAAAGCAAATAATAAAAGGTACCCACAGTCTTCAATATTTACTTTCTGGACTAATAGCTCGGTAGACTCTAAGGTCGCTTACAAGCACAATTACCTAAAACATTTTTCAGCTGAATCTTATTAACTCTGTTTTGTCTTTTTCTGTTCGGGTTATTACAAAATCTGCAATTAGATTTTTTTTGTGGTTTAGGGTAGTCCGTTTATGCGCAGCGTGCAACTCGAACAGCTATAATGCTTGAGCTGTTGGTAAAACTGCAGCTATATTTCGTATAATGACAAGTCTGCATTCTAGAAGAATGCTTCCACTATCCTTTTGTATCGAACTCTATTGCGTGCTTCTCGGCTGATGTAATTCTAAAAATAATTTGCTGCTTGCAATTCTAGCAGGTTCTAGTAGGTACCCCAACACGATGGCCAATTCCCTGGAGAGAAGCCTACATAGGTTTGTAATACGTTTGGAAAAATAATACTCTTTTCCTAAACAAGACCACTTTTACTAATGATAACGCGACCCTCTTTAAATATATTGAAGCCAAAGCTAGGCATATTACTTAGCCTCTTCTGGCTAAGTACTGGCTACTGGCGTTTTTATTAATTTAATTTTGATTCTTATTAAATTCAAAAAAATAAGTGTAACAAGCATTGGTTTTTTTATTTTATATAAATATCAAATTTTGAAAAACATATTTACAGGACTTGAAAAAAAATATAGTGATTACAGAATCAAACCCCATTTATTTCAATCTGAGTATTATTCAACGGAGAGCCAGCAACAACCGTATAATATAGGAAAGTCGGCAACTATACAAGCACTCAAAAAGGAAATAAGTTTAAAAGATGTTACAGACATCGCTCTAACAACATTGGCATTTCTGTCATTTGGAATATTTATGCTACAGGTTTTAATGTGCATAACAGTGGTGAGTTATTATATTAGTTTATTTTAAAGATTTGTTAGAACTTATTCGACACTATTTCAGAACAAAATTGATACAACCAGTTTGATGATGCTACCTATAGAAGCTACTGAAGTAACTGAGGCTAGCGATGGAGTTGAAGAAATACGACGTAGACGACGTTCTGTTTCTAACCAAAATCAATTGATTTATAGGGTACGATTGATAATGTATTCAAAAAACTTTTACAAGTAGCCCGCAACACCAGATTCTTTTTCGTTAAGATTTACAAATTTAGGGTACAGATTTTATTCGTATTATTGGTACAAAACATTTTTATTCTTATACTTTAAGCAAATCTTAAATGTTTGTTTATTTAGTGAGTGTCTCTGTGATGCGAGTTTTAACAACATTTAAAGTTTTATATTATTTAATTTACCTAACCTGTCGATATTTCCAGTTCTTAGCTTACTCGATCGGTTTGATTTAACACATAGGCAGATTTTTCTTTTTTTTTTTTTGGTGGGGAGCTTTATGCACCGTCGAACCAACCGTCGCCGGAATGGTGTATTCGATACCTACTGTGTAGTATATGAACTAAAACACCCTCTCTTCTTTAGCGGGATTTCTCCCCCCAAGATCGCTTTAGCATTACTTCAGGGAGACAGATGGTAGAGCAAATATCTGATCGATGAAATTTTGTTCTGATAGTATGATATCACCATCAAAAAATAGTATCTTCAAACTTGCACTAAATAGACATGTAAGAATATTGTACGTGACGGATAATCGATATAGGTTCATGTCTTCGTCAAGATAGATTTCTCAAATTTTGTTTGTTTTAACTTGGTTTACAAATTTAAATTAAATTTCTAACTCATAACTTATCATGCGGCTATAGCTAATAATTGTTATATAGCTATGTATGACTATCTGTTTTTAAAATATTCAAACTCATATAAATACATGTTTGTTTATATATTCATACAAACATATGTTTATATATGGTTATAGGTATATAAAGTGGGTTTACATTAACGTTATATAAAATTTGATTATGTTTATAGATTAATAATATATGCAAAAATGCGCTTTTGACAATTAATTCGGAATTATTTGTTACTAATGATAACGGTTCCTGTCGAAATTGGTTGATGTGTGTAAATAACCAAGAAGCAAGACAGCAACGTAATGGCCAAGCGTTTTGGATTCCTATATGGAAGTAAGTTAACACATTTTGATACATACTTGTAATATCGTTTCTTGCATATAAGTACTAAGCCTGTAAAAAACCCAGCTTATCAATTGTATCTAATATTTAAAACGAATTTTATTTATATAAAAAAAATTATTATAAATTATTTTTATTTAAATTACAAAAATTATATTATTAGTAAGGAATTATATTCCTTACTAAGGCAGACTATAATTGCGTATTAATAACAGTAACTTAGTTTATATACAGCAACTAACACTTGACTTTTATAGTCCTATATTAAATTCAATTAACACATTGTGTTATCGCCCGTGTGACTCGTGGAGTAACATTATCATCACATTCTTAGTATTACGTTCCCAGATTAGGTTCTATATTTAAGAAAGAATATATAAATTATATAACAAATAATGCCTCCACAAACAGTATATTTCGTTTTAATATAAACACAGCAAGTGAATTTGTTAATAAAACTTTCACAGCAAATTAACAAAACTCCAGAAAAATGTGCGAACATAAAATAGTCAAGTACGGCTTTGGGTCAGTTTGTTAAGGAGCGCTGACTCCGAGCTTCAAATTTGACAGGGCACGAGTTCAATTCCTGGTACTTGCACTGTCAAAAAATCATTAACGAATAATTAAATACAAGAATTATTTTCAAGACCGCTGATGATGGGTATTTTGCAATACTCGAAACAGCTGTGTGGTCACCCAAAAATTCAATTAATTAAAATAATATAAAATGAATTTTTGTTGTTGTAGTTCACTACTCTTCGAAAAACCTCTTTAATGCGACTTTAAGCCTTCGGTTCTTTCTTTTAGTTGATATTTAAGTTAAAAAAGTCTCAGATGTATTACATCTAACCTTAAGTGAACAATAATGAGATTCAGTATTTGGTCTTCCGACCAGATGTGTAGTTAAGCGTCATAAACTAACATATCTAAAATACTAAATTTTTATTTTTAAAACTTAAACATTTTAAATTTATTAAACTATTTACGTTAATTATATTCTTAGCTATTTAAAAGCTTTCATTATACATATAGTATATCAAAATATTATAATTTTAATGTTTTTATATTTTTTGTTATAGCTACGCCTTGAGTTGGTTGACAACCCAAATTAATGCAGACATACCCTATCCGCCAATAACACACACTTTAAAGTCTATAGTAGTTGGAATAAAGAACAAAAATTGCGATCAATACTTTAAAAAAAAATGCAGCGGATTACGTTAAAATAATAGATTACAGTATATACTGTACCTATGTTTCTTAACACAGCAAATTACTTTATTTGTTTGTAAGCAATAAACAATAAACTTTAAATTGTTATATTGTGTTCTTTATTAAATTTATAAAAATATTGTTTATTAGTTATTAGAAATTATTACAGAATATTTTAAGTGCACATTTTTTTTTTGTTATAGGCGTTGCGCTATGCACTTTATTTTATTAATAATATTAATAATTTTTTAATATTCCAAATGTATACAATAATATTACATTTTTATAATTAAATAAAAACTTTTATTTGTTACTATATTTTAAAGATCATAAACATTTATATTTATTATTAACAATAACGTCAGTCATGTCAACGTCAGCAACACAGCCAGAGAAATGAATAAAAGTGCTATTAAGCTTGAAAATTTCTGTAGAAAACTTATGTATAAAGATTTTCAATATTAAAACAATATAAGAAAATAGAATACATGCCAGCTAACAGCATCAATAATTGAGATATGAAATAAAATTGCGAGCCAACATAACATGAATGGCATGAATTTTGTATGGAAAAAGCAATTTAATTTCGCTAAAATGAAGATGAAATCAAGATTTTTGAGAAATGAGGGTGTGTATAAGAAGCCATTTCTAATCTTAAAAAAAAGATGTTCTGACGCAGAAGTACATTAAAATTATTATTATTATTCTTAGATTCTTTTAAACCGCATTCTGTTAGTTACTTCTCTGCATATATCATTCCATGTGTAGTGCGCTTTTGTTAAAATCTCTTTTAATATTAATTCCCCAAGTTAAAGCCGGTGCACCAGGGCGTCTGCTGCCCTATGGATTTCATGTCCAATTCCATTTTTATTTCGGAGATTTTACAGTCGCATTCTAATTTATTTGAAACAAAAGTTCCGCATTTGTTATGTGGTTGGACCAATATATTTCTAGGATTTTGAAAAGGAATTTATTTAAAAATATTTGTATCTTATTTACTATCTGTTATGAATACTTCTATGTTTCGCAGCCATAATAACGGACTGATCTCACATTTGAATTGGAAATATTCATTTTTGTTCTTTTGTTAAATTGTCGCGATTTTAATATTATTATGGAATTATTTATTTATTATTTATTTCATACACATATTTTTGGTCACCCAAAAATTCTATACATAAGAAAGAATATATAAAACATGCAACAAATAATGCCTCCACAAACAGTGTAGTATTAAAATTTAACAAATAAAATGAAAATATAATTAATTAATTCAATTATTCTCCAACTGGTTTATGATTTAGTTGTAATATAAACACAGCAGGTGAATATGTTAATAAAAACTTTCACAGCAAAAGTAACAAAACTCCAGAAAAATATGCGAACATAAAAGTCAAGTACCGCTTTGGGTCCGTTTGTTGAGGTGCGCTGACTCTGAGCTTTAAATTTGGCAGGGCATGAGTTCAATTCCTGATACTTGCAGTGTCAAAAAATTATTTACAAATAATTAAATACAAGAATTATTTCCAAAACCACTGATAATCGGTATTTGGCAATACTCGAAGCAGCTGAATGGTCAGACAAAAATTTAATTTATTAAAATAATATAAAAATGATTTTTTGTTGTGGTTTACTGCTGTTCGAATAACCTCTGTATGATTTAGTAAAACTAAAATTTTAGTATTTTAATAAATAAAGTATTATGTTTATAAAATTTTAATCACGTTACTAGATTAGATGCTATACATAAGAAAGAATATATAAATCATGCAACAAATAATACTTCTACAAACAGCATAATATTGAAATTTCACAATTAAAAATAGAAAATATGATTAATTAATTCAATTATTCTCCAACTGGTTTATGATTTCGTTCTAATATAAACACAGCAGGTGAATTTGTTAATAAAAGTTTGACAGTAAATTAACAAAACTCCAGAAAAATATGTGCATATAAAAGTCAAGTACGGCTTTGGGTCAGTTGGTTAAGGAGCGCTGACTCTGAGCTTCAAATTTGACAGGGCACGAGTTTAATTCCAGGTACTTGCAGTCTCCAATGAATAAAATGAATTTTTGTTGTTGCAGTTTATTACTTTTCGAATAAAAATCACTTTATAATTTATTACTAATAAAATATTATTATAAATAAAAATATTGTTATAATAATAAAATATTATTATTAACAAGTTACTTCTATACTTCTTATAAAAGTATAATGATATAATTGTCTTAAAAGCTAACAGCGAATTTTTTTTTACTGTAACGAATGTTGTTGTTGGCAATAGTTGGCATAAAAATAAGGATTTTTAAATAAAAGTCGACTTGATACACTGCATGGGCACTTAATAAATCTTGTGTAGGGCTAACATAGCCTAGTACTGCGCAATGTGTCATTTCAGTTGTTGTGTTTTGTTTCCGTTTGAACTTTTCTGGCCTAGTAGTGAATTTTAAGCAATTTAGGTTAAACATATAAGTATATTCAATAATTTAAAATTCGAAAATATTGTATTCGAGAGAACACAAATTGAAATAACTAAACTAGTGGTTTATAAAAAAGGAGTTATCATTATATTAACAGGACATATTAGTTATTGATATATACATACATTGAGTTTTATGTATTTCCTGCAAAAAGGACTAAGTGTGATTTAGTGTGTGCTACGCTTATTTAATGACAGAAATCTATAAAAGTGTTTAATATTTAATACAATGATTATTTTCATTTGATATATCATAATTTTATTTATAATATAATTAATAATAATTCTGTGATGTTATCAAATTTAACTCGGAACTACAATGTTTAATTTCTTATTGATTAAATATTAACAAAAACAACTAAATAAACAAAACTATTAGAATTTCTGCGCCTCTTAATTTAGCGTGGATTTTAGTGTGGTTTTTCGTGGTTTTTTTTTTGTCATTTAGTTATAACTCGGACTGTTAACACTCAAGCAATAAAGCAATATTTTTAGTTTAGGATTTTAATAAAAAGTTTAAAAATATTGTATAAATAGGAACATGTGTGATAATAAAGAATTCATATGTATAAATAACTTCGCATGTCTAATTCAAATATCGATCGACATTTGCCTTGAAGTGGAAATGTGGTAGATTGAAGCAACAGAACAGACAAGCGAACAGCAACAAAAGTCAGTTTGTGTTTCGGTAGTTCGGTAGTTCGCAATATAACTTGTAAACCAAAATTTGTGCTAGAACCGACCAATGCAATACATACTCTATATATATGTAAAGTTTGGTAGTAAAATCTGCTATAAGTTCGTAACGGGAAATTATTAAGGTAAGTTATTTTAAATATTATTTTATTAATTTCTTATGAATAATATTGGAAGTTTATTTAATATTTATTTCTGAGTGAACACTAAAATTAATTTTAAAATTAATTAAAAATAAAGAAAATATAATATATATACATATATTTCAAAAAATTGTGCAGCAATACAATAAATCCACTGAATAATTTTAAAAAAGTAACGAACCAAAATTTTAATTACGAATAAAGTTTACGAATAAAGTTTAATTTATTTAATTAAAATTTTATAAATATCATACTTTATTTATTAAAATACTAAAACTTTAGTTTTACTAAATCATAAAGAGGTTTTTCGAACAGCAGTGAACTACAACAACAAAAATTCAGTAACAGCAATTGAACTCGTACCCTGCCATATTTGAAGCGCAGAGTCAGCGCTCCTTAACCAACTGATCCAAAGCCATACTTGACTTTTATATTCACACATTTTTGTGGAGTTTTGTTAATTTACTGTCAAACTTTTATTAACAAATTCACCTGCTGTGTTTATATTACAACTAAATCATAAACCAGTTGGAGAATAATTGAATTAATTAATCATATTTTTTATTTTTATTTGTTAAATTTCAATATTATTCTGTTTGTGGAGGCATTATTTGTTGCATGATTTATATATTCTTTCTTATGTATAGAACCTACCTAATCTAGAAACGTAATTAAAATTTTATAAACATAATACTTTAATTTATTAAAATACTAAAATTTTAGTTTTACTACATCTATAAAACGGATTTAACTTAATTTGAGTATTAAAACTGCACAATTCTTTTAGTAGTGAAATTCATATAAATAATTAAAGTAGTAAAATTGTAATTTATTAAGATTATCTCAATCAAGCTACACATTACGTGCAGATGGTGACAAGATGAGTTTTTTTAGACATGTTTGAACCTCGTCTCTGCCTGGAATGAAAGTACAATGAATAGTACAATCTGAACTATGTGTTAATTTCTGAATTGTACTTGATAGATATAGCTTTCATACAAATAACTTATAATATAATATTATCTATGTTAACACATAAGATTTCGTTCGCTTTAGACTTCTCAGTTCATGTGTAATATCCAGCAGTTGAATAGCTTCTAGATTGATAGGATTTAGTAATCATTTTTCATGCCTAACAGCTACTTCTTGTATGGTTTCTCTAACAGTTATAACTCTCAAATCTTTATGTATTTATTGGTTTGTTACATATCGATAAGCATTTACAATCACCCGTAAACATTTGTTTTGACTTCGCTGTATGATATCTCCGGCCGATGGTTTCGTACAGACAAAGATTCTAAGTAGAATAGAACCAATGTTGTTAACAGATTACCTGAAAAAACATCTTCAGCCGCCTTTATCATCTTAATAAGAGGAGTTTATCTCAGCTTACAAAATGTCATCACTGCTAAATTCCGTCACATTCCTTGTGAACACTTAGATTTGCTGTGAGCGAAAAGTTAGATTCTACGCAGAGACCTCCTTTTACTGACTCATAACATGACTCAGTACAGTAAATACTGACTTTATATTCGTCAAGAGAAATGTCTTATGGTTAGGAGAATCTGAGAATCCCAGTGCTGCACTCTAATTGGAAGCGAAATGGCTTATGATTACGAAGATTGGACGATCCCAGTAATGTAATGCAATGATCCTAGTAATATACATATAGGGTCCCAATTAGAGTGCATTACTGGGTTCGTCCAATGATAGCTTTAATAAATGTGTTGTACGAAGATCATTTCTTCGCCTGCGTAACACGGTCGTAATAGTACAAATCAATTATTCACTTAATAAATTCCTCTCGGCTATATTTTCAAATTTTTTATTTTTGTTTATAAACCTAGAAGTTTGTTTTTTATTGAATAAATTTTTAAACTATACTATTTTAATAAAATACGTAGTATGATTTTAATCATGACGAAAGATCTAATTCGTAATACAAATACATATAAATACATAAAAAGAATGTATTCAGAATTAAACCGAAAGGCGAAAGTAAAAACAATATTGTTGCCGGAAAACTTCCAGCTCGAACCCTTGATCTTAATATATACTAAGTATACTACATTAATATACTATCACAGCATTGAGCGGACTACTTTTCAAAGGAATAGCTAGCACAGTACCTTAAAATATTAGTATAGTCCATTTTATTAAGAAAGGCTACTAGGAAAATAGATGAAACCACTTTTTTTGAATGTAATGTGTTATTGCCTCACTGTCTTTTATTGACATTCACTATACTTACACTATACTCATATGATTGCTTAGCATATGTTATCGATTTGATAATATATTTTGGTGAATTTCAATGTTCTGAGCAACTTTTTCTACTAAATTATATGTCGACATAACTTCAAATTTGTAATCATATATATAATGTAAAATAATAGTTTATTTTTTCGTTTGTAGGCAATTTATTGAAAAGGTATAGGATAGCAGAACTCAATATCGACTAAAAAAAAAGCCAAAATTGCATATGTTTGTCTCCAATAACAAGATCCAAGTGGTTGTTCTTTGGTACCAAATATTGCATTAAAAAAGTATTAAATGCAAAAATACTTATTTGTATTTAGTTGGATCGAAATATCCCTACTCATAGATCATAATGGTTTTAAGTACCACATAACATACTTGCCGCAGCTTACATACTTATCGTGTGTGTACCGTGCTGTAGCAGGTTTAAGTACCGCATACCCTTTAGTATCACAATAATGTTAGTGTGCTTTAACTTTGCAAAGTATTTATATTTCATATGTGAATAAAGTACTTTTAAAATGCGACAGATGTTGATAATATTCACATATTAGCACAATGAGAATATTTGGTAGTTGTTTAGTTTGCCCACCTCTGACGTAGGCAGATAAAAAGTCAACAAAAGTATTTTGTAAATAAAAATTTATTTTTTTTTAAATACGAATGAAAGCTAATATTATACGTAATATACAATTTTTACTAATGTTTTTAAAATATCTTGCAATAAAACATTATGTGATATTTGTGAAGATAATTTTCATTCATATTTTTATAAAATATTAAATAAATTATTGACATCTTTTCCGGTTATTTTAGTCTATAATTTCGTACGTTTTCTATATAAACGCCTATAATAGTACTTAGCTCTAGGTTACTGATTAGAAATGATGATATAAATTTGTAAAAGATCTGCAGACCACAAAGCAGTAATGAACTAAATTAATGCAGGTGTTCATTAAAATGATTGACTTTATATTAATTATGAAATTGCTGGAGATGTTTGAAAATAGTTAAACGGAAACATAAGGAAAGGTAAGGGATTAAACTCAAATAATTATAATTGTTACACATTGTATAGATACACATTTATTGTTTTTACTGATTAAGCTACAATAGATTAAGCTATCATTGCTTTAAATAGGAAGCAGGTGTTTGTAACTCAGGTGTTCCAGATTATTTGCCTACTTATCGATATTTTTGATAATAAAAGAGGAATGCAACAGATTCTTAACAAAAGTACGAATACGCTTAAATAATATATTCTTAAAATATTTTCCATTAAAAGAATAACGAACCTTAAAAAAAAGTATTTAGTAAATTTTCGAAAAATGAGATTAGATAAATATATACTTTAATTAATAAGTTTTAACAAGTATTAATGTTTTATTAGCAATCATTTTGCATTTCAGTTGATTTCCGTCCGTTTATATTGCCATTTGATTGAGAACTACTCATATGAAAATGCAAAACTCGTATAAATTATATTTTGCATTAGTTTTGCTCCTGGGAAGTTTACCAGGTATACACGAATAAATTTAAATAAAAATAAATATATAGTAACAATATGTAAACATGAAGTGTAAAAAAAATTATGTTACAAACTTATATAGTTTATAGTTTAATTCAAAATGTTCATATAAAAAACGTACAAGTGAAATAATATCAACGCATTTTGAAAACGAACTCGATTGAGATTAATGGAGGAGTTAACTGAGTTTAATTGCAAAAAAAATAAGAAAAAGCATTAATAACATTAGAGAATTGAAATAAGTTATAGTTTTTTAAAGTCCATGGAATGGTTTGTGTACTTCTATTATATTATTGAACGTAATGACTGATTTACGAAAACTTGTAGTTCATTGATGTCGATAGCCGCAGCATTCCAATCAGTCATTCGTAAATCAGTCAAAACGAAAATTGTTAAGTATTTTGGTCAAATATAATTCCAATTGAACGTTTATGGTCTTTAACTCAACAAAGACCTATATGAACCGAAATCAAAAAACGCAAATGGGACTGGGTCGGTCACACTTTGCGTAGACCGACTTTTAATACGACAAAAATGGCGATTGAGTGGAACCCGATAGTTAGCAGAAGAAGGGGTAGACCTGCACATACTGGAGAAGGCAAATTGTTGGAGAGAGTTGAAGCTACTAGCCAACAATCGTACCGAGTGGAAGATCTTTGTTGCGACCCTATGCTCCTCCTAGGAGTTAAAGAATTCAATATATGTTACATATTATTGTATATTATATACTATTATATTATATATTATTATATATATTATTATATTTATTGTAATATATATTATTGAATGTTAAGAGATAACATTTAGATTAATCCGAAGTTACTAATCAGTGGACACCAAATTTTTTTTAAATTTTCTTAGAACCTATGTTAAATAGTCATTTTCAGGGAAAATCTGATATTGTTGTTTTCAATGTAAATTAAAAATTTAAGAGAAAATGAGAAGTTTTGTAATAATTTTGGTTCCAGTGACTAGGCTTTCTGTGTTTCATCGTGTTTGTGAAATAGGGTTTTTCGAATATCCACACAAAAATGATTTACGTTTGAATTTAGTCACAATCAAAACGTATCAAAAATGTAACAATAGTACAAAATTGATCATTGTGCTATGAGTATCTGTATAACAAGCCTTTTGATCCTGATCACATATTTATGTAAAGCCAAACACACTCGAACATAGTTAGGACTTGGTATCAAATCGCCGTTTGTTACGGTAGCCCACACACCTTATGACTTATGACTAAAGATAATTCATGAAATTAATAAAATTCACTATAAGAAGTGGTTGTTTTTGAGTCCGGACGAAATGTTAATGTCCGGATTAGCGAATGGATTAGGATTAGTGATGTCCGGATTTATTTAAGTTTTATATAATTTTTTTACTTTTATATATCCTATTTATACTTACACAAATTTTCATATAAATTTATAATTTAATAATATATTTACTATTTTATAAATTATATATGTATATGTTATCCGACAGATATGTTTTATAATGCCATATTATTTTTATATAAGATTTACTAAATTTATAAAGTTAATTTGTTAAGCATAAATTAACTAAAAATTTTTATATTAATTTATGAGCGGGATTTTTAAGATATTTTCAGGTGTTTCAACCATCTTCGATAATCATCTTCAGGGAAACTAATAAACATGTAAATATACATGTAAAGCGGGAAAAATAATAAATACAATAATACAGTAATAAATACAATAATAATAATAACAACAACAAAAACAAAAATGAATACAAATTATAATATACATACACAATTACATTATTACTTAATTGATTTTTAAATGTTACTCTATAATATCTTAGATTAAAGATTTAACAAAAGAAAAAAATGATTTTAATGTTAATTTTTAATTTTATGTTAAAAAAATATATATAATTGTTGAGTCATCTAAATTTGTATTCCTATATTTTTGATAGCTTAGTTATATATATCAAAACAAAATAAAAATAGAGTAATAAATAGAATTTTATGTAATAGAAACATTAACTTCTATATATTTGATAGTCTCTTTCTGATGTTGAAAATAAAGTAAATTAAGGAACATCAACTTAGCATTTTGAATAGAGTTTTAGATTCAAAGTAATCAAAATACTGCCGTCTTAATAAAATGTTTTGTGTTGAAGACATTAACTATATATTTTACAATATGATACACAATTTATTTGGAATACTAAATACGACCTGTATTTATATCTTATTACAGATAGTAAAACAGTTTATTGGGCATGTGAAACCAATGATGATTGCTCTGCAGATGGTGCAACATGTTTGGAAGAAAGTAAATCCTGTAGTTGCGATGAATTTGATTCTGTATTTTCTAGTGACTTTTCAAAATGTCTGAAGACGTCGCTGTTTGGTGACACTTGCGAAGAAACTATTCAATGCAATCTTATGCCATCTGGAGCCAATTGTAAATCAGGGGTCTGCGATTGCGCCGATGGGCTCTCATATGTTCGTGGACGATGTAGGCCAGTAAATGGTCTAGGTCAATATTGTGATTCGGTAAACTATAATATATTATATTATTCGTAAACTATAATTCGTATTTTATAATTTTAATTATATTTTATAAAAAGGATTTAGATTGTTATTTTGCATACGATCGAGAGTCTATTAAATGTGAAAATAACAATTGTGCATGCGCTGATGGGTATTATCAAAGATATGGAAATATTTGCCGTCGCAAATCAATGGGTAATTTTTCTTTTCTAATTTAGTTCAAATCTAAAATTAAGCTTTTAATTTTCAGAAATCGACGACGCATGTGTTGTTGACACCGACTGTGATGAGTTAGGACCAAATATTAAGTGTACGAATCTAATGTGCCAATTGCCAAATGATATAGAAGAAACCTCTTTTGAAAGCTTAAAGGATGAAACTATAAAAGACGACTCTCAAACATCAAAGAACTTAAAAACAGAAAAATATGAAAGTGAAGATACAGTAAAAAATGGAAATAGTATATTTACTGACACTGAAACTGAAACAGAATCTTTATCAAACAATAATAAATCCCGAGAAATCGCAGTGCAAACTAGTATCGAAAATTATGAACTCAGACTTTTAAATCCTCAATTAAAAAATGTTGGTACTGTGACAAGATCTACAAGTACCAGTAGCAAAAAACAAAGTTACAAACGACGCAATATACTTTTTTATAAAAACGATGATGAGGAAAAAACCTTATCAACACTTTCTAACACTGATGATGATATTGTTGGGAAAAAATGTATGTATTGCTATCAGAAATATTCTTTTAGATATTTATTTATTTATATTTTATATTTAGATGGAAGCTTATGTACAGACAACGGAAAAGCGTGTGATGGACTTTCACATTCTATCTGCTCAAATGAGTTATGTCTTTGTAAGTTGGGTTACTATCCCAAAAATGGGAGATGCATTGCTGGTAAGTTGAATCAAACAGTGAATTAATTTTTACATTTAAAACTACATTAAAGGCTTTTAAATTCATTGACTTCATTCATTCACTTCAAAACCACACAAAATTTAATTAATTCCAAGTATTCAGATTTTTTAGTATTGAATATTAAAACGCATTTTCATAAATTTACAAATTTGAAGTATCACTTGGTGTCTCTCGATTTTTGTCAATCTCTGTCTTGTTCCCTTTTTAAATTTCGTAAATACTAGCTCTTAAATACCACTCCTCATAAAGTAACCGGTAACGATCGCAGTCCTTATGAATATTACAAAAATGTGCCACCTGGTTTTCGAAACGAATTGCTTTCGCTATATAATGTTATAATTATTATCCGTGTTAAACTATGTTTCCTTAAACCGATAATTCAACCATTGTTTAAAAAAGAAGATCCTAAAGTAGCTATCGACTAGTTGGATTGACCTCAATCATATTTTAAACGAATACCAAGCAAGATTTCGTAGAAATTACGCAACTGTCGGCAACATTTTTAACCTCACCTCTATAATACACTTAAAAAAAGGTATCACTGAAAAGCGTGGATTTGTATTTTCATTTGATACTATATGAGTTCATCTGGGTCCCCTCTTATAGAGATATTTTCGGCAATTGCAGAGCAGACGAACTAGCCAGAAGGGGTGCGGAACACCTTAGTAATCTGGGCATATCGTTAACATCATGCAAGTTCTTAATGACTTCTTTCTGTGCTGAAATTTTTAATAAAAGAGGGGAAAACTTAACGATATGCAGGCATTTGTATGCAATCTGGCTACTTTCCACTAAAAGGAAATCCCTTATTCTCATTGAGATGACTAGTAGAGATGTTCGTCTTATGATAGGTTTACTTGCAGGTCAATGCAAACTAGGGAACCATGCTAGAAGATTGAATCTCGCTTTCGATCATATCTGTCGCAGCTGTGGGGAAGACGGTGAGAGTGCCACTCAGCTCATACACGGCAGCTACTCAACTTTTTAGGAGCCCCTTTCTTTAGAATATTGAACAATTACAAGACCTCCCACTAAACAGTATTTTGAGCTTCGCCAAAGGTTTTAAGTGGTCTTAAACCCTGAGTTTTCCTTTCTATACGGTAACGTAATGACCCAAAAGGCCTAAGGGGAACCCCTAATGGTCGTTCACCTAACCTACTATAGGAGTTCGTTTTTTTAAGTAACTACTTTAGGTTTATCTCACAATTTTGCAACCACATTAATAAAATTATACTGAATACCAGCTGTCGCGCATGGAACGATAATTTTTCAGTCATTCTTCGCTTGCTCTGCCTAGCATTCTTCTCCATACAGGAACTTAAATCTGCATGACTCTTTACTGAGTGGAGAATCTATCGGTTCAACTTACATAAAAGTGCCTTTATATGCCGACGGTGTGGCACTGCTTGCTGACTCACCAGAACTATTGCAAAGTATGATAGATGATCTGATTATGTATACTTCACAATGTGGCCTTATCGCTCACCTATATAAGTTTATGATTCACTTTTTAGAAAATATTCTAAATTAAACAAGACATTGTCATGAAGATCGAAGACAGACAGATAGAAATAGCAATGGAATATATATATACTTGGGATACAAATTACTCATAACCTCTCAGATAACAAAGATTAAGAGTGCAATTTACTCCACTTGACTTAAATGCTTGTAAAATAACTTCTAACATAAGTTTACTATAAAAACACTCAGCACATGTCGAGTATACTTCGCATATATATAGGTAGTCTTTTTAAATAGAACGCTAGATTATTGGATTTAAAACATTATTAGGACCAACTGGAAAAAATGAATCCACATTAATTTTAATCTCTTTATTTACAATAATTCTTTTTAATAGTTTTATAGGATTATTCCTATATATTTTTATTAGAACTAGTCATTTAACATTAGATTTATCTTAACCAAGTTCGACTTATATAGAGCATAGATGTATTTTTCCAAAAATAAGTGGTAACAATACTAATAACCTACACAAATTTCTAAAGCGTTTTACTGTAGAAGGGTAATTGAAGAATTTTCATAAAAATATAATGTCTATAATGCCCATCTGACACAAATTTGCAGTGCCAATTTAAATTTAAGTAAAATATTTTAATTTTTGTAAGTGTTAATTAAACTCTTTTGAACCAAAAACAAAAAAATAAACAAACTATTCGAATATGAATAAAACTTCTCGAATAGTTCAAATTATTCGAGATAAATTCAGATATTCGAAAAATTCGAGTACGAACAGCACTACAATATAACTATATGCTATGCTTTTAGAGCTTGGAGAGATAGCGGAGAGCTCTACAGAATGCGAACATACTTTCCATGATATATCTAGAAAATGTATTTGCCAAAAGAATTACTTTTACGAGCGTAGTTTACGAGCATGCAGAAAACGTAAGTTAATGTGATCTCTTTTTTTAGAAAGACCAACAATTCTTTTTTTAGCAATCCAATATCACTTATCATGCACATCAAACAGTCAATGCAGTCCGTTTGGCGCCGCTTTTTGCAGCTCCGAGATACCACGGCGTTGCACCTGTGTGGAATTTGCATCGTATGATGAATTGCGTCAAATGTGTCTATATAATGAAGGTTTAGGTGCAAATTGTGACACAAATGATGCCTGTCCGGTTGAAAATTCAGAATGCGTTAACCATTACTGTGTCTGCAAAGAAAACTTTTTCGAAAAAAATGACGCTTGTGTGGCAGGTAAATATTGTATTAAAGTTTAATTATACTCGTAAATGAATCAAGATCTCGCGTTAACAAGTTATTTCTAAAAATAAGTGAAATTTAAATTCGTTATAAATGTTTAAAAATATTTATAAATAGCGGCATTGTGTATGACGCATAAAGTAATTATAAAGTAATAAAGTCTTTCTTTATTAATACATACAAAAAGTGTTGTTCAAAAGTAGTTTTTATGTTAACTTAAAAAATGCTAATCTTTAATCATTCATTTGCAGCGAAAAGGGGGAAGGTTTCGCAATATTTGCTTGGTCAAGTTTTGTACATACCAACACACTCCAATGGTACATAAGACAACATCGTTGTTGTTGTATGTTAAATTTATTAGTTTTTGCAATTACATTTTCAATTCAACCAACACACTTCAATGGTACATAAGACAACATCGTTGTTGTTGCATGTTAAATTTATTATATATGATGTATATAGTTTTTGCAATAACATTTTTGCATCTTTTCGTCTAATGCTTTTCAATTCAACCAACACACTTCAATGGTACATAAGACAACATCGTTGTTGTTGTATGTTAAATTTATTAGTTTTTGCAATTACATTTTTGCATCTTGTCGTTTAATGCTTTTCAATTCAACCAACACACTTCAATGGTACATAAGACAACATCGTTGTTGTTGTATGTTAAATTTATTATATATGATGTATATAGTTTTTGCAATAACATTTCTGCTTCTTGTCGTTTAATACTCTTCAATTTAACCAACTTTCGCTGTAACTTGCGCATGCGACGTAAATATAATTGCATTTTTATTTATTTCCGCAAATGATTTTCTAATTTTTTAAAAGTACTATAGGTAATCGCATTCACAGCTTTTACGAAAGACACAATGCGTTAATTTTCATTATTGCAAGTCAGCGCTATGATAGCGATATTTATTATCAGTTAATAAATATGATAAAACTTTTGGATTGGTGGGTAGTCGCGGATTAAAAATGTAATTCGACGTACGTAAAAAACATATAGTGGGAAAGTGTAGATTAGTTTAGCAAGAGGTATTATTATTAAAACTAATAATAATAATAGAAACGAATATACTCTGTATAATATTTAAACCTGTACACACGATTGTATAAACATTTCTATGTTTAATATTGTAAAGTGTAGTAAAACAATTTTTTTTCAAAATTATTATAGGAATTGGTGCAAAGTGTGACACTGATGAGAATTGTGTAGTGGAAAACGCAACCTGTAAAGATCATGAAACTGTTAGTCACCGTAACGAAGAAGGTCAAAAATCATGTCAATGCGTAAAGGGATATGTGCATTTCAAAGATGAGTGCCTTAAAGAAGGTAATTGTTTAATTAAAATACAAGTAGATGAAATCATATAATTTTTATTTTTTATTGTTTACTTATCGATTATTATTATTTTTTTTTTGTTTTTTGTCAAATGCAGTTGAAGAAATTGAAGAGCCATGTGTTGCAAATGAGCAGTGCACACCTTTGTTAGCAACTTGTATTGATAAGAAATGCAGTTGTACCGCTGAACAACACTTTAAATATGGACAGTGTGAAAACAGAAAAGGTAATATTAAAATAATCACACCACTATATAACAAATTTATCTATTTATATATATGTGTATATATATATTGATAAAATTATACAATTTTATATTTTAATATGCATTTTTTTTTTTTTGTAATTACCGCGTTACCACGTATTACTATTGCTGATAATTTTTTTATTCTTCGGTTAAACATCGGTTTATTATTATTATTGTGAAATAAAAAAGGGAGTAAGTAAATTAACAACAAAACTTTAATTAAATTTAAAACTTATTCTTTAAAAAAATAAGTCTGGCACTTGCAGTCTACAACGGACTATAAACTAATTAAGAAATTCGAATATTTCTTAAGACCACTGATGATAAGTGCTTCGCAATACTCGAAACAGCGTTGTATGATCAGCCAAATTTCAAAAAAATAACTAAATTTTTGAGTTTGTCTTTCTTTGCTATTCGAAACCCTCTAAAAAATAAAAAATAAAAAAAAAAACTAAAATAAGAGAGCAAGTTTTACTTATTATTATATTATTAAAACTATTGCCGTGGAATCGCCTAACAATAATTTTTAATAAATAAATTTTACTCTTCCACTTTTTCTGGCAAGCAGAAATCACATCAACTGCTTTGGCAGTTTACAACTTTACCGAGAAAGAATTAAAAAGCGGCGTACCTAGTTATCGATCCAAGTATATCAATACTCCTAATATATTTGACAATACATTTTAAGAGGGTTTATTTTATAAGTAATTGTGTTTATTCTAAATATTTTGTTGTTTGTTTATTCTGTTCATTTTATTCTAATATACTATACTTATTTACTTATTTATACGCTTAGGTATTGGAGAATCATGTTCCAGAGCTGGACAGTGCTTTATTGAAAAAGATTCGGAAAACGTTGAATGCCGTAACTCAATTTGCCAGTGTAAAGTTGGTTTTCAAAGTGATTTAGAACAAAAGTCATGCATACGTGTGCTGCCTAACAAAAAAAGTAAGAAACACTCTATTTTCTATCCAATGATATATTTGTTTATATTTTTTTTTATATCATTTCAGATTCTTCCTCAAGACCAAGTGCTCTTAAAATAATAACGTTTTTATTGATTGGATCAGCATTCCTAATAACATGTGCCGCTATTAAGCAAGCCTATTACTAAGATACCAATGGTAGTGGCATCATTATTATTATTAACTTTTAAAATAATAGCTTAAGTCAATTCAGTTTTTAATATACAAAAATACGAATAGTATATAAGATCATTAATAATTTCAAATAATATATTTTTTAATATATTATTACAGATATATATAAAACACTATTTTGACTTTTTAAAATTAAGTTACACAAAATTTAAAAATGTACATAAAATGCATTACTTGGAAATAAGTTTATAAAAAAAACTATTTGTATATATTATATTTATAATACCTAATAAATTTAAAATAAAAAAATAACTAAATAACTTTGTGCAAAACTTTGGAATTTTTTTATTAAGTTTTTATACAAACAAATCTTTTCTGAAAAAATATTTCATAATATAGTGAAAATAATTATTAATTTTCTTCAATTTCAACAATTTAGTGCAATATTATTAAAGGAAGACTTAATATTATCATTGAAGATAGAACACACTGATGCCCAGCCACTTCGCTTTTTTAGTTCAAGTGCTTAAAATCTGTTCATAATTTTTGATATTTCCACAAATATTTAGTACAATCCATACTGAGAGATGAAATGATCCCACTTCAACTCAATAACAAGAAAGTTTATATATCCGAAAACTATAAAAAAACTTAATTTGGTATACTGACTAATTTGTACAAAAATATAGCACAGAGCTTAGAGCATGCCATCTAAAAAATTGTCTTGCTGAATGATTTGGTAAGTTCTGAGGAGTCTTTATTACTTGTTAAAGTTGGGAGCGAGAACGAAATGTTGGTTTCAGGATTGCCCATATCTAACTTGGTTAAAATAACTCTCTTCAATGCCTTCACTAAGGTACAGATAAGAAAAAATATATATAAAGGCATAATAAAGCTATTTGAATGACCATAGAACTGCAGACTTAGAAAGCAAGAAAAAAACTTTCAGAATGTTACACTGTAACAGCACAAAAGAGCAATCATTGTCGCAGTGATCCGCTCCGTTGGGAGATAGTACCCCGTTTATTCCTACACTGTAACACTGAGCTGCAATCATGAATTCTCATACAATGTTATAACACTTAACATTTGAGATTTTTCACTGCGCTTTCTATTGTTACAAGTTATAAAATTTTTATTGATAATTTCCTTGATCGCTGAGCAGGATACAGGATTGCGGGAGCATCAACATATAAGATAAAGATATAGTATAAGATATGATATAAGATATGATATGATATGATATAAGACTTTATGATAAACAACAAATTTAATCCATCATTCAAACTGTAAGTTTACCTATTTGGATCACTGATTTTTACAATACTATTAACATCCACTGCATTTATAGATTATCAAATTAATAGCGACAATGATCAACGTTATTGCGAAACACATTTAATATCTAATAATTATCCTCTCACCACTCTGTAAATATGCTTAATTATTTTTAATATTTCCAAGTTGTATTTATGAGAAAAAAAAATAGTTAATAAATCAATTAATTTAATTTATTTTATTTTATTAGAACAATACGAGTTTTGTGACCAATCCTGTGACTAAGCTGAAACCTTGAAATCTCTTGGATCAAAGTCACATACGAGTACTGTATCCGATTTCTGACAATTCCATTGTATAAGAGACGTTTAAATTTAACGATAATAGTGTTACCACAAAATCTATTTTTATACTTTATGATGCCTCTAATAACTTTTTTATGCTTCGTAATTGGATCTTAAATTTACTACAAAACGTTTTGAGTTTTCAATCATAACCAAGTTTTATAAAGGCTTCATAGTTCTTTCAGCACTTCGTAGACAAAAGATTGGTGGTGTAGATTAATGTACCATCATAATATAGTTTTAAATTATATTTATTTAAAAAAAATTTTCTCGTATCTATTTTATAAACAAGATTAAAGAAAAATTTATTAATTATATTATATATATACCATAATTTAGAACAAAATTTTTTCTGAATGATAAATTCAGTTAAAATAAGTATATTATTATGATCAATTTTTTAAAAGGGACGTAATATTGATATATATTTTATATTTTAAATTTATATCCTAGAAATATGGCTATAGATTTATTACTTATAAAATATTTTGTATTTATTTCATAATATTTATTAACATAAGTTTGTATACATAAGATTTTTTATTTTATTTTAATTTTATATTTTTGCATCTATTATACCTCTGATTGTTCTGGCTTATTTATAGACGAATGCTGGTTATTACCGTCGGGTGCACTCAGAGGCTACAAGAAAAAATAAAATATTTAACAAAACTTATCAGAAACCTATTAAACCTACTAATATATAACTTCATAAATACTATATAGCAAACAACAAAACGCACAAAAAGATTATTTTAATATATATATATTAACATATAATTAATAAAAAGTCGACAAAAAGTTTAACTTGACTTATTTTTAATGTATATAAGGCGATTATTTGAGCACTTCCCTTTATCGAAGTTAATTGTACATATATAATATATATATATATAGTTATATTAATGATCAAGTATAATACAGGTAATTTTCATAAACATTTTGTAATGGATAGTTTTTAATATATCAAATAATAATTATTATTGGTACGATCATTTAAGAAATGTAAAAGAAAAAAATTTCCTAAGAATTAACACATATAGAACAGTAAATAAAAATTATCTTGTTATTTCCATTTCCATTAAGTTCTTCAAGTGATTAGTCATTCCCTCCAAGACCACGTCAAATATTTTTATGTCAATTGTTAAATAAACACTACCCTCTTAATAAATTGCAATAATGGTTAGGGTCTGTTGCAGTTATATACTGTCATGTTCTGAAAAAATCACCTGAATATGCCACATTATCTTAAAATTATCTGAAGATTGCTTTAATATTTTCGAAATTTTTTTATAACTTGTGTTTACACTCATATAAGTACACCCGAAACTAAATTAAGTTTAACAAAATGATCCGAATATCCCATATTGCTTCAAAACTATCGGAACATTGCTTTTAAATTTTCTTAATAACTTTTGCTTATACACAAAACTTAAAATAATTACACCCGAAAATATATCAAGAGTCTTATCTCGAAAGCGAACAAAAAGGAATTAACATCCACTAATTCAGTATTAGTATCCTATTCGGCTCGAGAAACATGCAATAAAATGAAACGATTTAATCGACAGACATCACATTCAGAAGAAATCAAGAAAATATCTGAATTATTTTACAGTGGCAAAGAAATGGTACAGGGAAAATAGCAATAATAACACTGCTGTACGTAAATTTTCAAACTAAGGACACTGACATTTTAAAAAATTAATTGAAATTAAAAACAAGATATAACAATCCTAAAAGGCAATAAAAACTTCTCTTTTCAAATTGCTCAAAAGTACATTTTTTCTTTTTCTTTTTCTTTAATATTAAATCAATGTTTATTCAAATTGAGCTTCAGGCCCAATACTTCTCCTTCTTTCTTCTTTTTGTCTGTCGCTTTTTAAGCTTTGATCTTAAGAAGTGCTGCAATGCTGCATCGTTGGTATCGTTATCTAGCTAGTTTCCTGAGCAATTTTTTTCACTTGAAAAATACACGAAATCCGAATAATTTTCAGTATCCACTTTCTTCGCCTATTTTCGGGTTTGGGTACAATGGTTTACCGACTGAGTATCGTGGTCCCGTCCTGCCTTTTAAACAAAAAAATGTACTTTGGTTTCAAGACCGCTTTCTGCCCTATTTAGGTCAGATATATAATATTTGCGCTCATATATATTCAATATTTGTTACTATACTCACTAATATATTGGCAGTAACAGTTACAAAATCCTAACACTAATCAAGCAAAATCAAAATGCCATCTTGTTAAATAATGAGGAATCGTTACATATGTACTTTCTTGGATAGCCGAATTCTAGAAAGATGCGAGCATTATACTCTAAAGTCTATTCAAAATCATACAATTTGAAGATAAGGCAATCAATAAAATAAGGCAAGTAAAATCGTAAAATTAACTACCAGCTTACCAGTTTAGCGGTAACGCCTAATAAAGTCATGTTGGTGAGTGGAAGACAAGATTAATAAGACAATATTCTCTTTTACGATTTTATAGAATTTTATTCTTTTTTTTTTTTATTTATTATTATCCCTTTTTTATTTTGATTAATTTTTTAATCAATTTTCAAATCATAAATTATAATTTTTACTGTTGTTGCTATCCAAGATTCTTCTTTATTGTAAAAGGTGCTACGACAGATCCTAAAACACATGCCACAAAATATTTTTAAATACCGTCCATTTCTTTATCCTACTTAAAGGATATCTGTTGTGAAAAGTGAATGGATAATAATGATGAAAAAAGATTTCTTTAACTTGTCATCGAATAAATTCCATCACTTTGCCCTTTTGAGATTTCAATAGGTTTCCATATCAGCTTCAATGTAAACCTGAAGGAGCAGTATCGTGGTATTCATGAAAATACGAACAGAATTAAATACTAGACCAACAATTTTATTGAAAGCGGCAAATAAGAAAAGGCAAGCTAGGGTAGTCTTGATACTTAACTCCTTCGTCTTTTCTATTAGAAACATTAAAACTTTAAAAACCTTGATTGACACTCAGATGATTCAAAGTAATATATGAGCAAATAGAAAATATCACGGCGTGCTGGGCGATACATAAATGATAGGAATTTTGATGTTTCCTAAATTATTATCTCCAATTATGTGCCTATATGCGTCACTTGATAGAGAGGTTGGTAAACTTGCGCCTTCTTATACTTAAGTGAAGGGTAGGCGTAATAAAATATGAGGTACGATTAGACATCTATTCTACATTGGATACTATTAATACTATTAATTGGACATTAACGTTTTAAACGTTGCGATTTCGTAAAATTTGAGAATATATTTGGTATTGATATTTTGTTTAGTGATTATAAGTGTTAGCGTGGAAATATTACAATTTAATGAGCTCAAAATGCTGTGAGAAGTCTAACTGATAAAATATTGCTTTTATTAACTCTATAGGATACAGTACATTACAATGAATGGTGTGAATTTTGAGTGTCTGAGGACGGTGAATGGCAGCGGTTGACTTAAAACTATTAAAAATATGAGTGTGGTTAAAGTAGCCAGGGAAGTGAGTTAATTTTAGGCAATAACGCACCTCGAAATACAAAAAAATTTATTTAAATTTAAAACTATAGAAACCAGAATAGTGATAGTTGTGATACCAGTGATTCTAGCAATAGCGTCTAACAGACGTAATATTTCTGATTACTTGGGAACCTTAGATGAGACAATGCCAATCTACAATTATTCACGAAGTTACTATCGTAAGAAAATAAATATATGGTTGTAGAAATATTATAAAACAGCTCGATTAGATCGTGTAATAATAGTGTAAGGTGCAGATAACTTTCTAAAGAATTCAAAATTTTGTTTTATTCAAAACAGTTGACTTGTTATAAAATTAAATCAATAGTATTACCTAGTACCTATTACTAAATTGATAAAGTTTAAAGAAATTATATCAAGTCTAAATCTTCAGATAACACAATAAATTTGGCATAATCTTATTTAAATCAAAATAACACATACCTAAGTAGAAAAATATCTGTTGCTATTTTAATGACGAGTGAATCACCTAGTAGAATGATTAAAGGCAATTATTTACAAAAAAATTATTATTAACAAAACCGGTACAATAATTGGTATAGAGCTCTACATAGATAAATATTTTACCTACAATGAATGAAATTGTGGATAACTAATTTCGAATTATTTATAAGCTAATGCTTCTTATTTGAAGCAAATAAATATAACTGCACTATTCCCCTAGTGCATAAATTAAATCAATACTTAACACAATTTAATTCAATACAACACCTGTAATATAATTAATCCAAAATTCGAAAACATAATTCTAAATTGAAAATATATGACTTTGTCATTCTTATATATAATACAGAACAATAATAATCTTAAGCAGCAACAATTTTACATTAATAATATAAGTGAACTGTGTACAATAATATGAACAACACAAAACAACCATTACCTACCGATTTACTACTCACAATTCCAAGCTGATGTCCCACATTAGGATGCATTGGATTAACTGAAGTTGCAGCCAAAGAGCTACTTGCCGTAGATGATGGAGCAGCTATACCACTTCCAACGCAGTGAGGAGAATCAAGTAGTGTTGTGCTATGTGCTTGTTGAATAGTTCCAGTATAATATCCGCCATTAATTCCTGTTTATACATATTTTAAAGTATAACAGAATAATGGAATATTTCTGTTTTTTCTTTATACATATATGATCATATATCATTTTTATATATAAAAATCAACCGAAAATATATCTTCATATTTTTTAAGTAAATAAATTGGATTTGAAAATAAAAACACTTGTGTTTTTTAACATACGAGCATTTATAAAAATAGTCTTCTATAAACTATCAAATAGTTTATATTACAACTAATCTAAATTTTTATAATCTATCTATACATATATAGTATGTACATTTAAACTTTTGACTTAAAATAGTGCATCCCAACTTAATTTAATAACGTAAAGTTAATTTTAAAACTATTTTGATTTCAATGTCTTGTGAAGATTATAATCAATAAGAAAAACCATATCTTGAAATTACTGAAAACTGGCTATTTGCAAAATCAAATAAACTGAATAAGTTTCAGCGTTCAATAATACGTCTGTATAACTCTTTCTTATATAAGACTAAAGACTTAAAATCATTCGGTACCATTTTCACTTTCTATAGAAAAACAATATATCTTTTCAAAGTTTAATAATATTAACATAACAAGCTACCAGTAACTGCAGAGATATCGCGAGCAGTTGCAAGGAGTTAGATAGATAGGGTGCCTAAAACATACATTCGGAACATCTAAAAGATCTTGGCATTCCGCTGGCATCATTCAAAAAGTTATTAAGTACTTTCTGTACTGTATACATATGGTATGTGGAACATTTTAATACACGAAAAGAAGCTTCAAAAATTTGTAGACATCTTTACGCAAGTTGATTACAAAAAATATCGTTGATATACCACTTAAAGATGTCACTTTTATAGTAAATATTCTGACTGCAGGGTATCTGATGATTAGAAAACCTTACTAAGAGATTAAGAGGCTTGTCCCAGTTGTGAAAAAGACAAAGAAAACGCAATATATATTAAATATGTTAGGGCTTTTTTTCTAAAGGATCTTTGATGGCTATAGGATTACACCTTAAACAACATTTCTGACTTTCTTAAAAATTCGAAATGGTTTCAGAAAAACTTTCACCCTTTTCTCCTTATACTTTCTCTTGTTACATTTCATTAACAATTACAGTGTTACCGGTTTTTAGAGTTTAGCTCTATATGCGTGTCATTCGAAGGTTAACAAAAACCGCATTAAAGGTCTAAACAATAAAATTTATGAATATATAGAAATTAGAATGTAAAAATGTATGAAAAATAAACTTAAAATGTTAACTTAAACATAAGGTAATATAAAGTATTTAGAATCATTTCAATTTCATTTTAAATTCAATCTAATTTTTATATTATCCAGAAAAATTTTTAATGCCTAATTAATTGACAAATAATTTATGTTAGATAATGTTATATTATCCAATGATAATAATAACGTAATCTTTATCAGAACTTTGTTAGTTTTAAGCTATTATTTACATATAGATGTTCACATGAATTCTATATCTTTTATTTAAGATCCTACAAGTTTTAAATTTCGAACATAAATGGAGAAACACAGGCCTATTTTGATTGCATATTTATATAAATGCATATGTTTAAGTAATGAAACAAAAGTCTATTTTAATTGCATATATATATAAACACATGTTTAAATAGCTTGTTATAAAGTGAAAGTGGATGGCACAAAACCATTATCTAATTATTTCTAAAAAGAAATTATTTTTTTGGATTAAAATAAACAATTACTATGTATACAAAAAATTACATAATCGTATGGACCAAGCAAAAGAATTAATCATCATCTAATGTTTATTACCAATTATAACACTGACTTTCGTTTTCTTTTATAAATTTTCATAAAAAGCCATCCATATATAATAAATACATAAGCTATCTCAAGTGTTCTGTATTCTACTTTTTAAGTAGCTGTAAAATAAAGAACTGATGGTTAAATACTGTTTTTTAAACACGAAAATAATCGAAATAATTATAGGAATTAATTGCTTTGACCTACAAAATGTGTTCCACCTGTCACAGATTTAGATGGAAGAATGATAAAAATTTTTTTCTATAGTTGTGAAAATAAACCGATTTAAATTTAAACTATTTAGTTAAATAAACATATTAAATGCTTAATAAATTATTTACACTGTAAATGTTGAGATGTTATATATATATATATACCTATATATATGTTTAATTTTATTTATAATAAACAAACGTTCAACTAAAAACTTACGAATATTTTTACCTAACCTAATATTACCTAATATTTTTACCATAGATTTTTCTTATATACTTAAAATTCAAATATAAATATATAAATTCGTTAAATTATCTTATACATGAAAATCAGATTCGAACGCCATATCGTGTCTGTACAACTTCGAACGGATCAATCTTCTAGAGCCAAATGCTAGAACAAGCTTTGAACAACTGGAATATTTGAAACTTTACTTTTAATACATTCAAAAGAAAAACTCTCCATAAAGTAAACAAAATGAACCAAATAACTACTTTAAACAGTATGTGGCACAATGTTTAGACACGAATCTATGTAAAAATTTAAATTAAATTGCGATATTAAGAAACAGACAGCGAAATTTTCTTGAATTAAGTTAATTTCGAAAGTGTTCATACTACCGCAAATTAAAGAAATCGAATGTTAAAAATCAAATACTTCACACACCATTTGTATCTGAGAAATTTTAAAAGTTGATTATTATAACTATAAAGGATGGCATTAGCTTTAATGGATTTCAGATATGTGAATTATTATTTTTCACTCTATTTTAAATTAATAACAGTTACAATTTTTTCTCTATATTCAAATTTTAAAATTTAAACTACTTTCGAAATATTTTCCATTTTTATTAAAGTCAACTGTCATTGATATTTATTTATAAAAAAAGTCACTTTTTCGTTATCTCAACTTTATCTTTTCCTTAAAATTTATCTTACGCATAGTTGCTTTTGAAATGTCCCCTAATTTCAGACTTTATTTCAACGAAATTAATTTATATTCCTTAATTTCGTTCTAACTTTTAAACTGAATTTTGCGTGGAAAAAATAACTTCATTTCGCTGAAACGAAGATGGAATTAAGATTTTTGTGAAATTAAGATGTACCTAACATAATATTAATATTGTTGAAAAATAAATGCTGATTTTTACTAAATGAATTTGTGTCTAAGCATAGTGTCATACTTGTAACAAATTGTCTTATAATCAAACTTAATCTGATAAACTAGTATTAATATTAACTATAAAAATTTCAACATATTTATTTTTAAAAAACTAATTTAGTCTCAACAACCAGCCGATAAATAATATCCTTTGAATACAAAAACCTTAAACATTTTGAATATATATATATATACTCAATTGAACTATTGCTATTTTAAATATTTATACTAAAATTTTTTATATTATACTCCTATCAAAGTTCAAAAAAATATGTTAAAGAAATTAACAATTCCAAGTCATATTGAAGAGTTTTAAATATGCAAACAAGTGGAATACAGAACACCACTCATTATATATTAAACAAGTGATTTAATCTTTCTTAAGTCAATAATATCAAAAGTAACGCTATTTGTTTTGCATTTCTTATATATACACATATATTTTAGATATTTATTTTATGATTTATTAATTTCATTCAGCTTTCACAGTTATTAAAAATTATATATATAATATAAAATAACAGTTAATCTTATATCAAACTATATTCCGTTTGTTTTTGTGTTTATTTAGTTTGACTTCTAGATATTTTTATAGTGCTTATTTTACGTGGAGTGGTGTTTATGAGTGTTTATTTGCATGTGTAAGATTATGTTATTTTACGTAAATATAATGAACAAATTTGCACACAAAATGTTTTACAAGAACAAGTTCATTTACAAAGTTTAAAAAGTTTATATGTCGATCATACATATTAATTTTTAATAGTAACTAATTAATTTTTCTTTACGCTTAAATGAAAAATTATTAGATAAGAGATTAAAATATTAAAACGATATCCTATATGCAAAATGTGTTGATAATAGGTTCGCATTCTTTGTACAACAATAAAAATGTCTATATGTTATTGTGCGGCGTCTGTTTTATTTACGCATATGCATATGCATATACATATACAATTTTTAAGGTGAAAATAAACATAGATGTTTAGTTCATTTAATAAAATAACTACCTTCGGCTTTCTTTAAATTAAACGTAGTATTTTGTACACATATATCGATTTTTTTTCTGATTCAAGTAAAAATAAACGAAAGTCAGTATTAAAAACTTATTACATTTTTAAACATTATGACTTTTTAACACAAAAAAAAATAATTGTCATAAAAATTATAAGATTTTTAAACTGTTACAATATTTCATTTAAAGTTTGTATAAGACATGATTATTTCATTGTTTTAATAAAATGATAAATATACAAAAATACTACAGATTATTTTTAAAAAACAAAAAGAAATGTATATAAATTTTATATCCATTAATAAAATTTTTTTAAAGTGTTTTTGAATAATATAATGGTAATCATAAATTAAAATAATTCTTGTGTTGCAATTTTCGCATATAAATTTTATCAATCTTCAAAATTTAAAGATTTTACAAACATTTTATGTTAACTGAACTTGTATAAAATTATTTTCTTCTTTCTTTAAACAAAATTACCTCTACATCAAAAGTAAAGACTGAAGCAACCAACATCAGTCGTTTAGTTTCACCGTTATTAAGAACTGCTTTAGTTGTCTATTTGTCCAAATTAACATAAACAATTTATAATTTTTATGACAATATATCAACATATGAACTATGGGCTCTTGCACGCTAATCAAAATTTAGAATTTGGAAGATTCACAAACCGTAATTTATTTGCTTGAATTGTATATTTTCTAAAATGTATATGTCTGTCTTCTGTGTTTTAAGTTATAAAATTTAAACGTTAAATTTACTTAAAAAATTTAATGATTTTTTTCAAAGCAATATATATATTTTAACATCGCATTTCCAAATAATAAAAAAAAAATTAATAAATAATACAGAACATACATAATATATAAATTGAATGAAATATGTCAATGATATATTTAAAAATCTTTTTATTATATACAAACATTTTAAATGCAAAAAGAAGTAAATTTATTAAAACACAGAAGCAAAAAATTTTTGTTACTGAGGTTGTTTATGAAGTTTTATATTGAGCAATTGTGTATGCGTAAGAATTTAAAATTAAAAAAATAGCCGACTAAATGTGGTTTATCAATTAAAATTTAACTCATACTGTGAGCCAAACTTTTGATATAAACGAATTAAGCTCATATACACATATATCTGTTTATATATAAATATAAAAGTTTACGTATAAATGAGAATATGGGGAACAATTATACATTTTTTTATTAACCACTTTTTGTTTTTATATTTACTTTATTTTTACTCAAGTTAAGAACTATTCTATTTTAAATTTTTCTTAATTTAAATGTTTGCTTTTGTTACCTAATAGTATTGTAATTTTTTTAAGTATTATTGTTATTGGGTTATGCTTATTCTTAAATTATTTTCTTTGAATAATTCATTTTTCTTGGTTTGATATTATTTGTAGTTTACCTTCTGAATAAACAGCTGCAGCTGCTGCTGCTGCTACAGCTGAGGCTGGGGTTCTCATGAAGTATTCCTTATTCACACAATTTCTTAAAACGTCTGGAATATTGCCTACAATTGCCCGTCTAATTTCAGTGGCAGCCATTTCTCTCAATTCCGTTGCGGATGCGTCACTAAAAAAGGCTGCATGTGGTGTACATATTAAGTTCGGGGCATCCTTGAGGGCTCCCTGAAAGAAAGCATTTGTTAATGATCAATTTTAATATTTTCTTTACAGAGATTGCGTAAAATTGTTCGTTTTACTACAATCTTACTTGAAATACATTATAGGGTTCATTCTCATGGACATCTAAAGCAGCTGCTCTTATTCTGCCTTGTTTTAAAGCAAGGGCTAAAGTTTCATCATCAACAAGACCACCTCGTGCGGTATTAACTAAAAATGCACCAGGTCGCATCTACGATATTAAACAAATATTAGAAAAGAAGAAAAAAATGCTTGCAAATTTGATAAACAAACCTGTTTAATTGTGAATTCATTAATAAGGTGATGGTTGTGTTCATTAAGTGTACAGTGCAATGATACGCAATCTGATTGGAAAAGCAAATCTTGTAGGGTGTAGACTCTTGTTAACCCAAGCGATTTATCTATACCATCCGGAAGGTACGGATCATAAAATATAACATTAAAGCCAAACGCTTTTGCTCTCAGAGCGACGGCACTACCAATTCGACCAAGACCGACTAAACCTAATGTGTCTCCACGAATTCTGGCACACCCCTATATACAAAAAACATACATTATGCTTATAATATGCTGAATAATAATATTTTCAATTTATTATGACTTACATGTGCTGCTTCCCGAACTTGTTCGGGTCCGGTAAATTTTTTTCCTTCTCGCACCATATTCGCTAACCAGTAAGTTCTGCGATATAAGTTTAAAATGAGACACATAGTTGTGTCAGCCACCTCCTCCACGCCATATCCGGGAACATTACATACAGCAATACCAAGTTCACCTGCTGCCTTAACATCAATATTATCTGTGCCACTCCCAATACGAACAATAATACGCAGAGCTTTAAACTTTTCTAAATCTTCTTTTGTTAAAATAATTGTATGCCACATAAGAGCTCCAACAGCTTCATTTAAAACCTATAATATTAAGAAGATAAGTTAATTTTTAGATGATTACAATATTAACTAAGAAGATGAATCTTTATTTGTTCATTTATTCATTGATCAAATATGTTATTGCTTAAAAAATTTGATCTTACAAATGAATAACTCACTTATATCCAAATAAATAACGAATATGTATTTTATAGATGTCATACCTTCTCATGTATTTCTGATGTACTTTGCGCATCACAAAAGGCCACTGTTGCAACATCTTTTAGTATGGGCATTTCAATTGAACAATCTCGGCCATCAAGCAAAGCAACAAGTGGACGTGCCTGGAGCGGACCATTGGCAAATGTTCCTTTCACGTCCAAGCGCGCTCGTTTTGGTAGCATCATATTCTTATCCATTATGGTTCTATTATTTTACACTATTATATTTTTTTAGTTTTTTTTTTATTTCTACACAACACGAAATCAGTACAATTCAAAACAATAATTTTTTTTAATAAAAGATTAGTGATTTAATTTTTTTTACACAAGTAAACTATTTTTTTAAAATGTGCTTAAATGTTTTTGCTTATTGTAAAAATAAAATTAAAACCTCATGATAACCAAACTTGTAGTTTTTCACGTATCATATTGATTTCCCATTTCTGTAAAAATAAATGTAAATTTTATTTTATACATACAAAATTTAAATATATATAAAAATATATATGTAATTCATTTTTAAATCTGCTTTGTTCCTTTAATGTTAAATATACATATATTAAATGAATCAACTTCGAAATTGTATCATAACTTTTTATAATAACTTTATATAATAATTAATACATCTCAGAACATTAATTCAATTTATTTTCGCAGAACTGTAATTTAGTTTAGTATTTACATCGTAAAAATTTTAAGACAATAAAACTGAAGGCATTTTAATTTTTTTAGAATACAAACACAATTCTAAAATATATGAATTGTTTTTTAACATAAAGCAATAACATAATCTTTTATGTACATATATTTCAGAAATTATGTGTAAATTTAACCCGGTTTTTATTATTGACAGGTACTCAACTCTAAAAAAGTCGATATTATGCACTATTTTGCACTTATAACCAATAAATGGTTGTTTTTTTAAAAAAAAAAAAGTTTTATATAGTAGGTAGAATATTTCGAGAACCGCATCAGCACCAAAATTACTTCAACTCCACAAAAAATTTAGAGCACAATATTTTATAAACTTTTATTTTCACAACTTCACTCACCATAACTTCAACAAATTCATTTAACTATATTTTTGTCCACAAACAGGCTTTACAAAATTTTTTCCACCGTCCTCGAAATATTTTTTATTGCGGCGCCGCAGTACCGAACCTTTATATTATTAGGAGTTATTGTCTCGATAAATATATTATGTTGCACATTTGTCTTTTTAAATATTTTTAACTTTACACGCAAAACCAAAATCAATCTGTGATAAAATTACCTTCAAAATAAATATTTTCAGAAACTATATAAAACAAGCAACGCAGTCATTGAAATCCAACTTCACATTTGTTCGCTTTTAAAATGGCGGAAAAATTAAGGAGAATTCGGCGAATTATATTTGTTTTTAGTACACAAATGACGCGATAAAATTCGCCGTAATTTTAACTATTTTTATTTTAGTCTCAATCAAAAACAAAAATTTAATTTTAATACTTTATTGTTCTGTAATATATTTTTATTAAAATATTAGAATTACTATATATATTACACCACATACGCAAATAATACTCCACACGTTCTTAACATTAATTTAGTACTCTGAATTGTTGCCACGTTTTAAAATACTCTATATGCCACAAAAATTTTTTCACGTTCTGCATTAACCCTTGAATGCCTACATTTTCTAAGAATTTTCGCCTACAAATGCACAAATCATAAAATTCAATATATATGTTTTCAAATTTATATATATGTATTAAAAATAGATATTATTGTATATATATAATATTCAGCGAATTACATTATTCATTAGCGAATCTAATATAAATTTTTTTCGCCTTTAATTTGGCAAGCATACATGTCGGCTAATTTTGGTAGCATTTCCTGCAAACGCCATGTTATGCAAGGATCAAGCGATTCTCAAACACGAACGTCTTACAATCGTTTTGTTTGCTTATTTAGATTGTTTTCCAAGCATGTTATGCAGATAATAATATGATTTATAATTTCATAATAAATGAAATTTTAATTTCATTTTGTAACTTTATAAACACTTATGCTACACTTTAATAACAATTATTATATGAATTATATGAAATTATAATCGAATAAAATACAAAAACCAGATAGGTAAAATGACAATTAAATTATTTGTAAAAAATTGAATTGAAATTAAATACAAAATTATATTATAATTATAGTAGTTTGTGGTAAGTAAATAAACTAAAAAGTTATTTTGACATATTGACATTTTAAGCTAAATTTTTATGCTGCATTTAAATTTTTACAGTACTAATTGTATTATTTATAAATTTAAAATTTTTATAATTAAATTCATCACAGTCAAACATGACGAAGAAGCTATTTTTTAAAATAGAAAGAAACATAATAATGCAAGCAATAAACATCTTACTTTTTAATTAATTTTAATTAATATGTTTTGCGTATTCTCCAATATTTATGTTTGATTTTTGGAAATGTTCGTTGACACACAAGTATGCGTAAAACATATTTATTAATTACCAAAAATTAAAATTTTTATAAAATTTAGTTTTTTTTTTTTAATTTTATTTTGTTTTTAACTATAAAAAAATTATTTATGTATAATATAAAATATAATATACAAATCAATAACAAACGACTTGGTTTTATAAAATTTCAATTTCCAACAACAGTTTTGTAGCTACAACAACAAAATTATATTATGTATTAAAAGTGTACCAAGTTATATTTATATTTTAAATGTTATATTGAAGTATACAATACAAAACATGAAATTATTTATTAAAATACATATTTTTGCGAATGTCAAATTAATACGTTGACACTGCAAAACAAATTTAAAAAATAATGAAAAGTTTTAATTTTTTACACATCAAGTTTTTACACCTGAATTTGGTGCATACACATACCTATACACGCTCAAACTTGTTTCAAGCAAGTGCTTCACACAAAGTAGGCACACTCGTTTTATCGTGTATATTATGCCTTACGGCGCACCCGACGATATCTTCGCAGTTATTATGTCCAATTACTGCCGGAATCGGTGCACAAGACTATGTCTGCAGTACTTATTATCTTATTATTATTTTTACTTATTAGCATGTCGTTCATATCGGTCACTGTAGTTGTTTTAAGTAATAATTTGATAAAAAACTGCTTTTTGCTGTGATCCTGCCAACGGTACTGCCACACGCTATCTATACAATTACAATTGAATAATATCAATAGGGGTGTTCATGACCTCGGTAACAGAGTAAAAGTGCAACTGGTTACTCTAAGTCGTGAGCACACATGATTGTGTCGATTTATTAACGAATTTGCCTCTTGTTAAAATCAGCTGTGTTTTAATGAATTTGAAAATAATTGTGTAAAGAGAAGAGATTGTGATATAAATATCAATATTATGCCATAGTTAAGTAAAAAAAGCAAACTTGTTGACATTTTGAAAAAAAATAGTCTAAATACTATAAAATGGCTAGATAGTAAGCAGGATACGGAAAATAGATTAAATGACTAAAGACATTTAATGAATTATTATTAAATTAAATTTAATATTTCATATCCAGCAAAATCAAACTTTAAATGTTGCTCATATGAAATGCTTAATATAAATACATTTTCGGAGTAAATTTTTTTCTTTTGTATAAGAAAGGTGTCAACATTGAAAATAGAGTAAAAGTGCAGCAAATGTTGGTGAAAGCAAAGGCTTGATTAATGTAGTAACATTGCACCGCATTACTCAACGTGTATTTTGTTGCTGCTTTGCGTTTTTAATACGTTACTCTGTTACCGAAGTCCTAATTCGAACTCGTGAATACCCCTATTGTTTTATTTTATTTTTCTCAATATTTCGTTTATTTCATTACATCATTACAAATAAAATTACTCTTATTTCCCCGTTGCCTATCTGTTAGTATAGGAAACAGGGAACATCAGAGTAGTCAATATTTGAGTTATACTCGATTCATTGACTATATTTCATTTATACTCAGTCTAATTCTCTTTTTAGTATACTGAACTCTACCTGACTTATATATAAAACTAAAAGTACTTGCGAGTATAGTGATTTACCACCAAAAGCATAACACCATAACAAACAATGAGCAAACAACAGCGCTCATATAAAATGTTTACAAATGCTAAAACTGATCGAATCAGCAGTCATTCATTTTCGATGAGTACATTCATTGATTCATACCACGCGAGTGTATGCTATGATTCATAAGTCTTGGCACTCTTGTGACACTGATTCATTAGTACCGGCATTCGTTAGCGAAAATTCTCTTGATTCATTTCTGTGGCGAATGGCGAAATATGTTACTTATAAGTATTGTATGAAAAAAAAAACATGTATACGCATTTATGAGTGTTAAAATTATGACCGGATGCAGTTCAGTGTGTTTTTTTTCTTCTTATATTATAGGATATTTAAATTCTATGTTTTGTGTGCATTTTAAAAGGACAAGAATTGTAAAATCTATTAAAATAGGAAAAAGTTTTCTTGATTGGGGATATTTTCAAATATTTTTACAAATGCACTTAAAACCTGTCCGGATAAAGGCTAAAGTGGTAGCATTGATTAAAAAACTGCGAACAATATATTGAGTAGAGTAGAGTACAAGCAGAAGTACTCATATGTGTTTATCGTATATTCAAGTATTATAAATTAATGAGTATAGCGCAGTGATATTCATTAATAGTAATGATTGCGGTATTGATCAGTTTCACTATTTTCAACTAAATTTGAATTTCCCGTGAGTATAATGTGTGTTTGTTTCTTTTTCTCTTGTTTTGCTGTTATGACTTTTTGTATACATTATTCAGTGACAAATTTAAACATATCTGTATAGCCTTATAATTTATATGAAAGTTATTAATGAACTTTATAAAACATACTATTAAAATATATTACATTTAGATTGTTTAGGAGTTCATATATTACTTATGCTATAGATTTACGGAATATTGACCGGTCACTGTAGATTAAATAATCATCTATCGAAATTAGGAATACAATCCAACTGAGACTGAAGATACTGTAGAAACTATATATCATGTGCTTGGGGAGTGCCTGGCACTGATGCACAAGCGAAAGAAACTCCTAGGAGGGTATTTCATGGATCATAAAGATTCAAGACTAGGAAAGGTAGGCTCTATACTGTCTTTCATTAAAGAAATCGGACTTGGAGAAACACTCTAACCCGAGTAAGGGGCACAATAGATCTTTTAGGTCGCAGTGCACAATCTCATCTTTTTTTAATAATATGGTATGAATTATTGAATGGATATATGTAGTTTTTATACTTGATGAATTAGTTTGTTTTAATATTAGGGCGATCTGTAAATTTGGATTCAATCTAGATTTACTCTTGATCTTTAAAATTTTTTTGCTCAATCGAACATTTTTAGAGTAATGTAATATATTCGTAGCTGTGTAAATAAATTGAATTAAAATGTTGATACTAACTTCAATTTCTGTATAGTTGTACACAACATTCACCACAAAGTGTTCAACTAATGGCATCAAGTATCATTTGCAAATGGCATATCTCCATATGCTATATATCTTCATCTGTATTTGCAATCAAATGTGTTATTATATTAATTACATATATACTTTTTTTTAAAACAACAGCTAAATACATAAACAAATTGGAAACAAATCACACTTTTTTATCTTTCAAATCACATAAAACAACTGTTAATTTCAGAGTAATCTTGCTGCTCTGCTTAAATATCTAGTGTTATAAATTAACCTCGAGTGTTATACATTAATTTCGAATGTTAACAATCGAAAACGCCATTAGTTTATTTTAACAAAACTATATGACTATTTTGAACACCTAGGCCCTGTGCGAGTTTGAGTAAATTGATGAAAAATTTAGGAAAATAATAAATTATGGCGATATGGCAGCGAATTTTAATATTTACCAGAATTTCGAGTAGGGTAAATTAGATAAAAATTAAGTAAATTAGGTGTTACAAATTAGGTGTTAGGTTGTGAAAATTTTATAAGATGTTTAATAAATAAATTTGAAAACTTTTAACCAAAGAAAAATAAATAAGTGCAATAAATGAATAAATAAATATTTACATAAGTGCAGTGCAAAAAATCTAGAAAATTTCAAATTACTTTGCCTCAATTTACTCAAACTCGCACAAGGCCTAAGTTTTTTTTAATAAATATAAGAGATATCTAATATAATTGTTCTCTGGTTTTTGTGGGAAATTAATTAGAAAACAAAATATCAGCCAGCAATTCGTGTGTATACAAACATAATAAAATTAAAGGTAGTTTGTAGGCGAGTGTGCACTCCAAAGTAAGATTTTCTATATATGTTTGTTTTCAAAAATTATAATATTAAATTTTTTATGTTTTTAAGGTGTGTGCTGCTTTGATTATAAACTATAAAAATATGCAAAAAGAAAAATCTTCAATGTGTACTGAGTTCCAAAAATTGCTTGACGAAAAATACTGTCCATCGATTTTGTTAGTTACAGCCAATGTTGGTAGCATTTTTGAAGATGTAAATATAAATATAATATAACGTAATATCAAAATTGTTTTAAAGTTAAAGTAGTCGCCTAGATTACTACATCTTTGGTTAGATGAATTTCTGCAAAAAATAGAAGAGTTACAACCGAAATTTCTTGCACTACATCTTCAAGAAGTTGGTGGAAAAACATATGAAAAATCTTCTAATCATGTGAAGGAATTCATTGATTATTTATGTGGAGCAAAAGTAATGACTGAATTCATTTATATGCGAATTTATATGGATGAAAACTATAACTCTGTGGAAAATTTTACTGTGAGTTGTTAATTATAGTAAACTTATGATTATTTTATTTTTTCCCTTTAAACGTCTATGTTTTTAAGCGGTTATATAACTTAATATTATAATAAACAATTCTAACTATATGAAATATACATTTTCCATTGTATTTTTAATATTCTAGTTATGTTTGCAAAAGAATCGTGGTGGAAAACTCTCAACACAAATCTTTTAAACAAAGAGATATATTTGTTTACATTAAATTGTTGCTGCGTTTTTATTTTATCATTCTATTTTAATGAATGCTCTATTGCTTACTAAAATTCTTTTTAAAATATTTATATAATTATTACTATTTAATTGCAAATCTAGTAACTAAAAAGTTTCGCTATTCTACAAGTAAATTCGTTGTTTGTGTTTTTGTTAGATTTACATTGTTATTTATTATTCTCTTCTTATTTATTCTCTTCACTTCAACACAATCAGTCCTTGAATCATCTCAATTATGTATATTACGCAGTGAGAAAGAATAGAAAACAAAAATTTGGTAATCAAATAACACAAGAAACACGGATTAAAATGATCACTAACTTCTGTAAAAAACACATTCTTAGGCAGTGTCCGAGTTCGAGTAAATTGAGATAAAGTAATTTGAAATTTTCTAGGGAATGTTTTGCACTGCACTTATAAATATTTACTTGTAAATATTTATTTATTTATTTATTGAACTTATTTATTATTTTTGATTAAAAGTTTTTTAATTTTCTTATTTATTTATTAAACATCTAATAAAATTTTTACAATGCTAACACCTAATTTACTTAATTTTTATCTAATTTAACCTACTGGAAATTCTGGTAAATGCCAACATTCGCTGCCATATTGACATAATTTTCTGTTTCCCTCAATTTACTATCAATTTACTCGAACTCGCACACGACCTTAAATGATATCAGCATTTACTTTTAAAAAACATGAAATATATATTTCAAACATTGATTTACATGGTAAACTTTTGAACTAATTTTTGTAATATAAAAAACTATTTATTAAAATATACCACCTCTGAAGACTTGTTTTCTTTTATAGGCTTTAGGTAATTTATACTTTGTCCACAAAAATTTAGAAAATATTAAAATTTGGAATTTCTCAAACAATAATTGGGAATATGGAAGAGAAAAATATATTTATACAGGAAATATAGAGACAGTTTCCACAAAAGAAAAATCTAAGTTTCCGCAACATTTTTTTCCAGAGGTAAACTTTTATCCTCTTAATACAATACATGAGTAAACCCTAAACTATACTAACATTCAGTGTAAATGGTCAAGGAAGGGGTTTATGCGTACTCGATGGGAAATCGAGGGAACAGTTATCGATTTTGTAAACATACATTTGTTTCACGATGCATCAAATTTAGCCGCCTGTGAACAATTTCCTTCGGTGTACTGCAGTTCGCGAAGACGAGCTTTAATATATACATTAAAGAGGTATAAACATTTCTTTAAAGAAAAAGTTAAGCATAATGTATTGCTTTTTTGATTTTTAGATTTCATTTGGATGACAAAAACTTACTTGCACCATATTTTGTTTTTGGTGATTTCAATTTTCGATGCGACACGCAGGGAGTTATTAAAGTATATTATTAAAAAGTTATCAAACCAATTAAAGACTATTTTATTTATCTTAAATTTTAAATAGGAGTTAGCCAACAACTTAACAGTTCATCGAATTCAAAATAATAAAAAGGAAAATTCTAAAATTGTTTACCGAAATTCTGAAGGAGATAATGTACTTACTATTGGCAAAAAGGAATTCAATTATTTGCAACATCAAGTGATATTTAAAGAGTCATGGGTTGTTATTGCGGCATATATGTTAAAAATTTAAAATAATTTTTATAATTTTAGATGAAAAAATATGATAGGGAGTTGGAAACATTAAAAGATATATTAATAGAGTTTCCGATAAAATTTCCGCCATCATATCCATATGAAGAAGACCCAGATAAACCCTCGAATTATATGTCAACTCGTTGTCCTGCTTGGTGCGATCGTATTTTAATGAGTCCAGAAGCTAAACATTTAATTATGGAAGATCTTAATAGTTCGTATTTATATGACATCGTTGGCAGAAATGTGTGTATGGGAGATCATAAGGTAAAAACCATTTTCGTTTATATTTGAAAATATTCATGACTCATAATTCATTAAATCTATTATTATTATTTTTTTATAATTAAATATTTATTTACTAATTTGTTTTCAAACATTTAAATTTGTTTAGTACCGAGTTTCTTAGATATAATGTGAATAAATTGAATTTACATTATTAAAAATGGCGAACTTCTTAATAATTTCTTCTGTGATTTCTGCAAATATCTTGAGTATCTGTTATCTTATAGTTATAGTTATAGTTGTATAATTTAATTAAAAAACTTATACTACGTGACAAACTTAAGAAATTTTGTGTGGAAATAAAAATTAAATGGGCTATTAAAAAATGGGATTGTACACTACCAATGTCGACAGATCAACATTCAATTGAGAACTGCTTTTAGGAAAACCTATATATGTATATATGATGGAAAAGTATCGCAGGAAAAAACATTTATAAAATAATGTTTTACTTGAGATTAAATCTATTATTAATTTATTTTAAAAATAAGTTCTTATTAGTTTAGTTCTTATAAAAACAAGGTATGGCTTTGATTGAAAAAGTTTTGCTTAATTTAATCATTTTTCATGACAACAAAAATAGTATAATTGTATGCCAGAAAACATTTTGATCGTTTAATCTTTAAGTGGCGTTATTTAAGCCGGAAATTTGATTTAATTACTGTTCCAAGCTGTATATAATTTGATCACAGCTTAGAAGTATTCTTGCTCGTTATGAACATCGATATATTGAAACCTTTCCTCTTTCTGAAATACAAAGGCCAGGTCAACCATTACTTCTTTATATTCTATGCTAACGTACAGTTCTTGGTAATATTTGCTTGATACGAGGAGCACGATATCGTTTGTGCAGACAAATGTGAGATCTGATCGATTTGGTACAATTTTGATATAGAATACTTCTTTAACGTGTAGTACAGGGGTTGGACTTTTTTTTTTGTTTTATATTTCTCAGAATCGTCATTGTTAGTCGAGTAAATTTCGACTATAATGTGCACTCAACTAACTTAATGCAATGGTTACTCTTGGGAGATATGTGCCCCAATGAAACATCATCCCTGAAAGCACTGCCCTTTCTTTAAACAATCGTTATGAAACCCATTACTATAAAAAAAAATTTAAATAAAAAACTTTAGATTTAATTAAAATCTAAATAAAAACAATTGTTATTTGAACTGTTCTGAGTTCTGTTCTTTTAATATTATAATTACATCAGATTCTTATATTTGCACAATTTGATGTAAATTCTAGAACACATATTTGAAATTTAATCAATAAATAGTTAAATGCAGGCGTTTTTTTTTCTTTTTTTAATATAATCATTTATTAATTTACATTAAACTTAATGCGCTTTACATACAATCTTGATATTGAGTGCTAAAATTATTTAAAAAAATTGTTTTAATTGATATATACATATATATATTTATATATATCTTTTTTATTTAGCCTATTTACTTAAAGATTCGATTGAAGACAAACCAAGGTATTTATAGATGTTGTAAATGTTGTATTTACGTAGCAAAAAAATCAACATCACATTATATCCCAGCTGTAAGTACAGGAATTAAGAGCGAGACAAATACGTTTTGTCCATAAAATGTTCATCAAAGGACTATACCCGAATGGTAAAGTTAATATAAATTATTAATAAAAGGTATGTCAAAACGTGTAAATAAACCATATTCCTGAATTAAATATTTACCATTCTACAACAACTCGGCCAGGTTTGTTTCTCTTCAACCAAAATTTTTCATATATTAGACTACATAATCTAATAAACAGTACTTATAAACACCATAATTTGACGTCTGTCGAACAGTGGATGAAAAATTATAAAGGTGTCGACATTCATTTCAAAAATTTTTTTTCAAAAACAGTTGCACTTTAACCGCTAGATTATTTTAAATTACTAGAACCAAAAACTACTAAATCAATGAAAATCCATACTTTAATATTTTGCTTTAACGAATGTGTTCGCCCACTTGGTCCGAAATTCTGGATAAGTTGCAGCCATTCTGTCAAATTCAAATATTTATTATTGGTGTGCTATACTCTATAGACGCGAAAGTTTGATTGTTTATGGTATTTATTTAGCACCTTTCAGTTCTCCCTTATAAAATATTGTAGGCGTTCAAAGTACCTATACAACAGCGTACAACATCACCGACTTACAATTCAATACTATATCAACTTTGACGGCTCTATTGAAGCCTGCAATATTTTGTATTACATGTTTGTTTTAAATATGTTGGGAAGCACAGCTTAGTTTGAAGTGTGGTACTGTGAAATGTAAGTCGGAGCTTAATTGTAAAAACATCTATAATAAATATATTTCAAGTATTTTTTTTTGTTTTGCTATTGATTAAAAGTAATTTTATTACGCGTTTGACTATCTTTTATACAATTTTTTTTTACCTAGGATTTAGCCCTTCACATAAAGTATTATAATTATCTGTAATTCTGAAAATTTTTCAAATCCAAGAATATTACTTTAAACTTCAAAAGACCAAAACAACAACCACAAAATAATAACTTTATATTCAAGTTCTGTAACGATTAACGAAAAATCAGTCAAATGTTACAGTATTTGTATAATTTTTTACTGTTTGTCCATAACCATTGGTGTTTGAACCAGTGACCGAACACTACAGTACTAAACATAGTGTACTGTTTGTCATCCTTGATAAAAAAAACACTAAACGAGCAATACATTAAAGAAGTCTGTACTGTTTGTGTTCTTTTCCGAAGGTAGTGGTCTTTTTAACGATCTTATCACTAGGGTAGTGGTCTTTTTAGTGTTCTTTTGCCGAATGTAGCGGTCTTTTTAGTATCCGTCGAACAAAACGATTTGGACACACGCATTGTCGTGTTAGAGTTGTGATTTTTTAAAAGACTAGTATCTCTCGAATAACGGACTGAGCCAAGTGAGCATATTGAGCCATTGGATTGGTCTATCAATATATCTAAAGCAAAACCTTTGTTTTGATAGTTAAATTCATATTTTTAACAATGATTCGGACACTTCTATTCACAACGATAATATTGCGGTATTTGTTTTATCATTATAAGCTAGATAATTTTTAATTTATCTTTATATATCTTCAAAATATGAGATTAAATGTTTTGTTCAAATTGTATAGATTCATTATAACAGATTCAGTAGCATTGCTCACTAGCGCTGTCATTTTTTTTTTTTGCTATCTTTAAGTACTCTTCACTCATTTACTAAAAGCTGGTTTGCTCGATGTGATTTAATAATAGGTCTGTTCCACGAGCTACTCATAGTAACACATGAGTAAAACAGAAGTAAAATTTACACAAAAATACTTGAAAATTTGCTGGTGGAACGCGCTTGTGTATACACAGTGTTTACTCAAAGTTACTATGAGTAGCTCGTGGAACAGACCTAATATCTATGATGTTTATAAAATACTATCATTATTTATTTTCGTAAAAGAATCTAATATTTTATATATATCTTTAAACAAAATCCAGATAGCAGAAATATTTAAATTAGTTTTTAAAAAAAATTAATGTTTGAAAATTACGATTTAAACGCGTTAAGGTATTCTCTTGTAATTAAAATTTATTATTAATATTTCTTATTATCTTTTACAGTTATTATTTGCACAATTTTTAAACAATTTCCATTTACCGAATATTCTTTACACAAAGTAAATATTACTATGATAAATGCACTAAAATATATAAACATATATAATTACATGATACAAACAGACTTAGTCTTGGCCATATGCCTACGTATTTGAACATTTTTTAGTTCTTTATATGCAAATTTATTAATCCCATTTACCTAATTTAGCACTAGTCATAAAAGTCATAAAAGGACAATTGCACATTTTTATCCTTTTAAATATAAATTATTACATTTTGTACTATAACTATAGTAATATAAACAATGGCTCTTACTTGGAGATACAGAATATATGTTATTAATAAAAAAATTTATTAAAAAAAAGTCTGATATGTGGGAATGAAGAGCCATGAGTTTGAGTTTGTTATAAATTAAATCAAAAAACTTTCAAATATTAAAAGACAATGCTATTAGCCAACAGGTTTATGAAGATCCCTAGAATCATCTTAAAAAGATGAACTAACTACCAAATTAAATGTATTATAAACATATATGTAGTTTAGATATTTTAAAATAAAATAAATGCTAATATTAACCTACCTGAAAATTAAAAAGCTGATTACTACAAATATATATATATATATACAGTAGCGAGGCGTCAGCTTTTTGGCAGGGTGTTCACAATTTGATCAAAACGGAACTCCAACTATAACGTGTTCCCCCTACTCCTGAGTTCTGTCTTCCTCACAAGCAAATAGCTTACAAGACCAATAAAAGAATTTTTTAAATGTTCGCAGCCTGTAATCCAGTGGTTTTTATGGCAAATAGTTTTAGAAAAACGGCGACTTACCACAGATTTCGACATTTTTACATCAGGTACCAAATTCTTCATATCTGGAGTTGGTGTTTTCATTTTATGAATTAAAACCTCTTCTTCAGCAGATCGTTTAATAAAAGATGTTTGAATCAAATCTTTAACTACACCTTTATCCATTTCTAAATATAATTTTTCACTTTAACTTTGCTTTATTTTTTCTACCATTATCATTATTGCAATATTATACTAGAATATTGCAATACTGACTTTGATTTTTGTTTTGCTTCCAACCTCTACATAAGAGTAAGAAATTCTCGTGCAGTCATTTTCTCTTTTACTTTGTATTTACTTTACGAGGTTCAGTTTTTTTTACTGAACCACTTGCTCATATAAAATGACAACCGTGACTTCTATTTTATTTGCACGCTTTGTATGAACTAATTGTTCAATTTGGTCGGCTGAACCTTTAGTCATATGTAAAGCGATTATCGCTCAGTCATTTCTCTTCTCTTTTCTATTAGCTTTGCATAGCTTGCATAAGTTCGCTTTTTTTATTGAACCACATGCACGCTTTAATTTAAGAATTATTATTTTACTTATATATTTTATAGGTCTTGTTTTCTCTTTTATTTTTATATTTGCCTGCATATTTTGTGTTGTGTATTCAATATTGAACAAAGTTCCACTGTAAATGTGATTTCAATTGCGTGCTTTGTAGACAGCGCGGTGGTGTTTTTATTCTGAACCTTGGAGCATTTTAAGAGTAAACTCTAAAAGAGAATACCTTTTGTAATTGAAAGTAATGTTGGCTGTAACTAACCCATGCTTGATTTTGTTTGTATAGTACGTTTTTGTGTCTATGTTATATCGGTTTAACATTTTGGCATACCGAGATTAATAGGTACATTAATAAATGTCCAAAAGGGAAGCTTTGTTAAGGTGTTCAATGAACACTCTGAACCATTCGACGCCTTGCCTCTGTATATATATATAGCAAATAAAGATTTTGTGCAACTATATGTGTAAAGGGTATTTAAAAGTAATACCAAAAATAATTTATTATATATTCGATAGATTAACAGAATTTGAATGAAAAAACGTTTAATAGATTATAATTTTTTTAATTACAGGATTATCTTCTCGATTAACAGATGTAACAAAGAAATTGAAAGAAATTGATTGCGATGAAACGCGAAGTTCAATTAGTAGGGGAAACCTATATCAAGACGATGAACACACTATGGTTGTTCCAAGTCGTTATGTGCAAATAACAAAACTTTCTAAGAAAGTTTCAAATGATTGCTCTAAGAGTAAGGAAGAAGGCTTACTGGTTAGTGAGAATCGAAATATTGCAGAACATAATTTCATATTTAAAGAAACTACAGTATAAACCTATTTTAAATAATATCTGTATAACATTAAATTTTGAATAAATTCACATTGTACTTAAATTGTTACATATAAAATTTTGTTAGTATTTTAAAATTATTGTTAATATAAATGTTATGAAATAATAACTTATAATACAATCTTTAACTTATTTGACATCCAACAACTTATAATATAATCATTCGTTGTGTTCCTGCATACCAACTTTATTTGAGAGCCGCTGTCACCTTATCTATAAAAAATGTGCACTATGCATCAATGCAGTTAGTTTTTTCTCAAGTTTTCCATTAATTTTTTCTACAAAAATTGTAAAAAAATTAACCACTTATTAAAATTATATGCATATGGGTGTTTTTATTCATTTTTACAAGGAAGGCGATCTTGTTACTGTTGTAGCCCCCTGGGACCGGTAAGTAGATTACATGAAAGAATTTACAAGGCGATTACATGGATAGGGATGTAGATGGGTGCTTATTGAAGATGGTGGAGAGGGATAGAGTGAAAGGTTAGATTGGAAGGGGTTTAAATTGAAATCAACCCGTGTCCGGTCCAGACGAAAAAACCTGGCCACTTCAATTGGGTAGTCCCAAAGATCAATTGGATTTAAATTTGTGTGTGCAGTGTTGAAAGAGAACAGATGAGTGACATCATGGGGGATTAACCTGCAGTTTCAGCACAAATTAGGAATAGACGTTTTTATGCATGACAAGTTAACGTTTAGCACGTGGCTATATCCTGATCTCAATTAAACTAGGACAGTTCTTGCTAGACGGGGTCATCGGTCTTCCTGAGCATTTATAATTTACATTTTAGAAACACGTCAGGATTTGTAAATAGAAATTTGAAATTATAAAGTTAAATTATAAAATTATAATTATAATAATTTAAACAAATAAAATTGTTTATATATAAAAATCCATATATATGCATGAAGATTAAAAGTGTGTCTTGTCTAAAACTTCATTTACAGAAATTATATATATTCAAATAATGTTCTGAAAATCTGGCTTATATTGTTTTTCCATACAATGTTGAGACATTATATTTTTATTTTTTGTTACGTCGGAGATACGTTCAGCTGCTCTTTCGTTAAGTGCTCTTCTTGTAGTAGCAATATATTTGATATACTACATTGTCTTACGATCTTATTGTTTACAACTTATCGATTGTTGTTTTGTTATTTGAAAAAGTCTTCAATTGGATTATTGTGATGCCAAATACTTATAAGTATAATTGGGGTTATCCAAGATAAGATAGTTATGTTCTTTAAGACAAAAGTGTAAGATTTTTGTTAGTTTGGCTTTGAAGATGAAAGCTAAATTTATAATGTCACTCCATATATAAATGATTTTTGTTGTGGTTTGTCTTTATATTTATAGATAATAATATTAAATGATATTAAATTAAAAATTCATAACATGTACCACAAACATATTTCATTTTTATTTCTAATTTGAATTAATTAACAAAAATACACATTTCCAGAATGGTATTTTCCTTAGGAGTAATTTGAAAAACATTATTTCAGTACCGCCCATCTTAGAGACCACACTAATTTTTTTTTTTTGAAATTTATTCTTTTTTTATATCACGTACGAATCGTTAAATAATTTTTTTAATATATTTCTTAGAACATAGTTTATTAAAAATATTTTTGCATCCTTGATAATGAAATTCTAAACAGTTTAGATCTTATAAAAGCTTTTATCCCACACAAATTGTAAAAAAATTATTTATAGTTTGATGTTTACAGAATATCTTTATTAAACAAAGTGTGGAAAATATATATAAAAACCACTACCATAAATTAATTTAATTTACTCAATAAGTTTCTTTGCTTTGAAATATCTTCGAAGATAAAGTACCTGCCATGTAGCTAAGCCAAGTAAGCAACACATACTAAATATACTGAAAAACAAAACCCGACTGTTTGTTTTTTCTGAAATTAAAATAAAATACTAAATATGTTAATATATTCTTAAATATGTATTAATATTTGAATTTACCATTTGTATCCCTCATTTCCTCTTCGCGTTTTCTCATTAAAGAAAAGTCCCTAACAATTGAATCCGACAGATCTTCCAAACGTTTCAGATCAACTTCTAAAGGTTTTAATTTAGCAGCTTCTCCAATCTAAAATTGAAAATGTTTGTAAATGTTTATAATGTTTATAAAAATGATATTCTCAAATATAAGACTACAGTTATCATTTATAAATAATTGAATAGAGAGTTAAATAGCTTACTTCCTGACTGAGAAAAAAAATTGTCAACAGCTGCAGTTTCGTAACAACAATTATTATTAATAAAATAAAGTAGCTATTACGTTTCTTGTAGCTTCGTAATGTGAAATCTTAAAGTTAATGAATTTTGATTTGTAAGTGTACATGTCACAAATTTAAGGGAATTTAAATTAATGGTTTTTGAGTAAATGAATATCATAATAATGATGGACCCATGTCAAATAAGAGTACAGCGAAATCAAAAATTTATAGCTAAACCAAGTTACTATAGAAAATTTAACTAGAATTTTAACACTATTCCAAATAGAAAACCCATAAAATCACATCAGAAATTCCAATCCTGTTGAAACTAAAGCACAGGTTAAGGTATTATCTTTGGTAGTCTAAGTATTTAATATAATTATACGCTAGGAAGAAATTATTGTTATTATTTATATTATATATATTCTTCTTGCTATCAAGCTTTATATACTAACAAACTACGCACAAGCATTTGTTTTTCTTATACATGCATATAAACGTAGCTTATTAGCTAAGTGGTTTAGTAAAGGTCTCCGAACCTCCCTATAATGAATTCCTTTCTATAATGACGATTTGTTAAAAAACAGCGATTTTTTCTATATATGAGAAACTCTCTATAGCGAATTCCTTTCTATAACGAAAAAATCTCTCTATAACGAATTTATTCAAATTCAAGTTAAACACTCTACAACACGTTTTAACTTATGAGAAATTTGACTGTATATATATAAATTTATGTATTTATGTAATTTATATACTTATATATCATTTTTATATAAATAAATATATAAATGTATATACTTCTATATAATTTATATATAAATATTCTTTTATATTTATATACAGTTTAAATATATATTGTAAGGTCAAAAAAAGTGTTATTTTCTATTACTTTTTACATCATTTAGTGTTTAGTTCGGAACACGTATGAACCCATTCAAATATACTTGATCCATATAAAACATTAATACCAACTATTTAGTGTTGGTTTTATGATGTAAATAAATTGCATGATACTAACAAATTAATGACAAAGAAAGCTTTGATATTATACTGCTTGCATTAGCTTACAATTTGATTGAAAAAATAATTAACCACTCTGCATAAAAAAAATTAAATTAATAAAATACTTACACCTTCATAACTTTTTGTTTCTACTCCTTTTTTGGTAACTAAAGAAACTTCCTGTGGAATTCCTCTTTGATCTGTAAGTAATATAATAGTTTTTTAATTTAATATGATTTTCTGGTGTTTAGATTTTTTATTATTATGATTATATATTTTCACTAATTATGAAGAGATTGATCATATAAACACTAAAATAAATAACATTCATATATTATTAAATTTTAATGCATTTTATACATGTCCCTTGAGTTAAATAATAACTGCACAGACTTAATATTAAACCCAGAAGAAATTCCCGTGTCAAAAGTAGTATTTTTAATTTACTAATTAAAGTTTTTTTTATTTGCTGTATGCATATAAATGCTTAAAATTATTTTCTATTTAAAGATTGTGAATCATAAAAACAATCTAAAAATGATTAAAGTTTCTTATGTTTTGATCTTTTGAAATTAACAACTAGTGGTTTCTACTTACGTGGAGGTACTTTTGATATAAAACAAATTTCATACGTGTCGTAAACCTCAGACATAAAACTAAATTTGCCTTTGGTTATATGCTCCTTTTGTGATAATATATGACCTTTTGTATCCCTAGCCTAAAGGAAATAAATTATTTAGCATTCCGTGAAGTTCAACTTTATTTACTTACAATGTAGTCAATAATTTGACCGGGTACATCTGTAACTTCGTATTCCCCCATTACTAACTGATTTCCTTGAATATCTTCCTTTAAGCATTTTTGTGCATTTGGTGATAAACTAAATAATACACCTTCTGCAAGGCTTAAGGTAAATAAAACACAGACTAATTTTAATATTCGCATAATTGATATTTTTAAAACTGCTGTGTGTTCTGCACTTTCAATGAGCTGGCTGCCAACTTGTCATGCAGTTTTACTGTAAAGTGTGTTTGACAAAATTTGATGAATGATCGTATGTGAAGTGACCACTGAAAACAAGTTTGCACTGATGCTTGGAATAGATTGAGAATGGCACATCAAACAAAAATTTTTGTATTTATATATTAAAATTGATAAAATTTATTTGTATATGTTTTTAAATAAAAAAATTTTCATAATAATAACACAACAACAGTTACAGACATGAAATAGACTGGTAGCTATTTTATAAATAATTTCTGAAAACACAATTTCAATAAAATACATTGAATGAAAAAAAATGTTCACAGCTGTTTTTGACAGTTTCGTTGTAACCAATTGTATAAAAATATTCACCACGATTTTAAATATTGTTTTTCTTTTCCAATACCTTTAATAATAGTCATTAAAAAGTTTTATTCAAAAAGTGTTATATATGTCCAACGATTAAATCCCTTTAATTCTTCAAAAGGCCATTTATGATGAAAATAGTTTTAAGTAAACTCATTAGAAAACTAAGTTGGGACCATGGTATGAAGAATGTCTCGGGCGCGACAAAATTGGCTATTTTGGACTATGACGAAAATGCATGTTATGTAGAGTGTTGTATTTTTTCTACTTTTTGGTTGTGCCTAAACTTAAAATGAAATGTATATATTCTCATTTTCAAATTTGCCACCAAAAATAATGTATTCACAAGCATGTATAACATCATTCATATACGTCACATAACAATAACATTCGCTATTTTGAGAACGACATAATAAACAAACACAACACTTATACTTGAACGCTTATACTTGAAGCAAGCAACAATCGCGGGCTGTGCCAAGCAACGTGTCTGTAGATGGTCGTGCACCAGTTATCTTTTAAACCGATCAGCCACAAGGCCACATTCGTCGTATTGGAATAAAAGTACAAGCTTTCAGTAAAATGGACCTATATTTCATTTAGATGGAATTACAATTCAGAAATGCGGGTATTACTACTAACCAAACCAAATAAGATCACGAAGTTGGAGTCTTGATAAGGCCACGTTGAGAAACATGCAGATATCATGTTTTTTTGTTGCCCGTAGCCGACAAATATGAAACAATCAAGAGACCGTGTGGGAATTAGAGACGTCTCAATGCACAGACAGTTCCAGATCGTTACCCAATACCGCACATCCAAGATTTCACTTAGAATTGGAGCGGAAAGTCCATCTTCACTACACTTGATTGAAACGGGCTTATTTTAACGTACCGATAGTTCCTGAAGACAAAAAATAAACAACTATAACTACACCCTGCTGTTTGAATTTAACATGATGACAATCGGTCAGTGCAATGCGGCGCAGACCATTCAACGGTTCATAGACCAAGTGCTCAGTGAGTTGGCCTTCACAATATGTTACACAGATGAAATCTGCATTGCGTTGAACAGAAGAAGCCGATTCAGCGGTTATAAAAAAGCACTTGTCGGTGCCAGTTCACTTGCACAGCAATATAACAGCAAAAGCTAATCTTATTGCACACGTCACCGCGAGCAATACAGCGGTGGGGGCTGCATCACGTGCAACTAGCAGAAAATAAACGGAACGACCCAGAAATAACATATATCGCTTTCCGTTGCCAGGTGGAACTTCACTACAATTGAAATGGATACGTATACCTGATTGAACGAATCTCATTGCATGCGATTTTTCAACAAAACATCACAGATGAGTACCGTAAACAAGTTTTTCATATAATTCATAATTTGGGTCATTCAAGTTTCAAGGCCATTATGAAATTGGTAAAAACGGTCATAGAATTTCCACTGGTTTAGCTGCCGATATCCGAGTTAACCTGGCCTAAATGGTATACGGAATGCTTCTTAAGCTAAGAATTTTTTGAAAGACATCCAACGATAGGTACCACACCGAGTTAGTAGTATTCCTGAAAAAGATAATGAATCAACTGCTTCCAGTTCCAGCATCAAACCATTTAAAAACAAAAATGTTCGTACAACGAGCGTTCGATCTCCCTTGATGGCACCTTATGGCTGATCATTCAAAGTGATACAACGAGACCATAAGCTTATCGCTATTTTAATTAAAAACCGACCTGTGCAAGTCACCATCGATAGAGTAAAGGAAGCTTTCTTGTTAAACAAAGAAACAAAATTAAGCACACTGCAACCAAACCCAGATACGCATGCAGTACAACCATCTCGGCAGGAGCTTAATCAAAGCCGCATTGCTTCCAGTGACAAGGTCATCCTTTTGCCAATCAGATTTGCAAAATGAAATCAGTTAAATATAACGTGGCATCGCTTCCGGTTAGTCACTGGTGGGGGAGTGATGTGGCGATAAGGCTGCAACTTTCTTCAATTTTGTTGTTATACTATATATATTCAATATATTCTGGAGCATATTTGGTTGGGAAACCAAGATATTGTGATAGCCGTGTAAAAGAGCTACAAGAATCCAAAATGGACAATTTTGTGATCGACAAGACATTTTTTTGTTTCCTTGGCGCTCTCTGTTACCGTCTTGAAATATGGTATAACATCCATTAGTATGAGGGTGTACAAAAACGATGAGCAGCAGTTATCATCCGACGTAATGCATTCAGCGGGAATATCACAAAATATATTTGACTTTCAAATGGATATGAGCAAAAATAAGCTTAATTCCTCTATTAAAATGGATCTAGTACAAATGCTTCAAAATTTTTTTGACCTTCATGAAATCGATTGAATGTCGCTGCAGTTAAACATTTCGCTACTCTGGGTTCCCGATCATAGGAATATTGCTGGCAGTGCAGGCCAGACGGGATACATACTTATTTACTTAGTTGGCCATTACGTGAGTGGTCTTAGTCGCGTGGAGTAGCCTCCGCCAGCCAGTCCGATTAGTTGTTTGCTGTTGCCAATTGGTTGTACCGATCGCCCCCATATCCTTGGCCATCTGCTCTTTCCACCGAAGATGTGGATGTCCTCTACCGCGGTTTCCATCTGCGGACACCAAATTATACACCTTTCTAGCCGGAGCACTTTTTTCAATTCACACGACATGACCAAGCCAGCGAAGTTGCTGAATTATGCGCTTAATTATATCAATGTCACGGTATGGCTAATACAGCTCATCGTTCCAATAATAATGTTTTGCAGGGATGCAAAATTCAGACATAATGGTATAGAGAGTGCTTTTAGTCGTAGTGTCAAAAGCAGCTTTGAAATCGACAAATAGGTGGTGTGTGTCGATTTGTTTTTCTTGGGTCTTCTCCAAGATTTGACGCGCTGTGAATATCTAGTCTAGAGTAAATGTGTAGAGTCTGATAATGTTCAATCAGTTGGTTGACAAAGCACACTTAAATTCCAATCATTGGGCATGTGTTCATCCGACTATATGTTGCAAATTAGCAGTAGCATGCATTTTAATAACTCTTCGCCACCAGCTTTAAACAGTTCAGCCGGTAAACCATCGGCGCCTGCAGCTTTATTGTTTTTGATTGCAAATTCGGGATCATCTTCGCTTAAGTCACATTACTACTACAGCCATTTAGTAGGTTCGAGAAGTGATCCCTCCAAATGTTAAGCATGCTTTAGACATCTATCGCCAGATTACCATTTTCATCTTTACAGGAATTAATTCCGGGTTTATAACCATTTGTCTATTTTGATTTTTTGGTAGAATTTTTGAGTCATATTTCTGTCGCCCAGCTTCTCAAGCTTTCTGTACTCACGTCTTTCTACTTTCTTTTTTTTTCACCTTCTCTTTTGCCGATATCGTTCTTTAGCAGCGCGCGTCATAACTAACCTTAGAATGGCTTGATATGATGTGTCTTTTTCTGCGGTAACGTCACGACACTCTTGGTCGTACCAGCTATCTCCTTGGCTACGGAGATAACATGTGCACAAAGTAGAGGTATGTAGAAAAATGTTGCTTTATTACGGATTTTGCCAAGCCTTTCGTTTATTGCTGTAAGTGTTGAGACCAATTTTCTCAACCTTCAGTTTATCGCAAATCCATACTGTTCTCATTTAGAGCATCCTTGTCCCATTCATCGCATTACGGAAGGATGATTGCAGCTATTCAGAGGGGGCCACGTGGAAGTTGTTGGAAAGAAGAGTGATAAGGATCGCGCTGGCATTTACTATATTGAATGCAATCAGACACTTTACCTTGTATGTTCACTCCCTTTCCTCCAGCAACCAGACGTGATATCATTCAAATTATATGAATAATCTGGACACACCGGTATCATCACGCAAATAGTTGTTGAATTTTTATTGTTTTGAGCAATTTGATACAAGATGTGAAGCCTCAACGATAAACAGGCTTCTGCAAGCAAGTCGGGTGGTGTTATGATAAAAAATTTCGCAATCTCATTGATGTGCCGTCATTTATGTAAAGATATCACATTTTGAGTTAGCTTATAGAACTACGCTAGAAATTTAAATCTCCCATTTAATTATTTTTGTCGCAATTACGGAAAAATCAATGAAAGTTGTTTTCTGTAACTGCACAAGGCTCAAGATAGTTTTTAAACCTCCGAATTCTTATACGATAAACAATTGACCAATACCCCTGAGTGGATTGTTAGAATCGCCAGTAAATCTAATCGAACCTACTCCCTTATTGGTATAATAGAAGGGAATCCTTCCATCTAATTTCTTTTATTGCTTCCTGAGCCATGTTTACTACTTTATTTATAACATCCCTTTATACGAGGGACCTTAACAGTTATCATAAAAATCACCGTAAACTGTTATCATTCGCATTTTAAAATAAAACTCAAAGAATAGTAATTAAATTTGCTTTATATTATATTTATCAAAAATAATTATTATCATGTGCCTTTTAATTTTTCACGCACAAATAACTCTTATATATCTTTAGCTTTTTCAGTCACTCTTTACGATTACCAACCATCTAAATCGCCATCTATATACAATCTGCTGTGCTTACACAGCATTTCAATTTTAAAAGATCTCCATGTTCCTCAAATTCGCGGTTGATACAAAAATGGGCCAATCAAGTTCTGCATATGAGCATATGCCAGAAATCCTACTAGCTTTTACTGAGTTCTATAATCTCTACCTTACATCTCTACTTTTACAGCTGTCACAGGTTCATTCACACATACAACTATTGAAAAGCAACTTTCTTTTACAAGCAAAACAAATACCATTCATGTTTAGATCTATTATAAAATAATAGTATAAAAATAAAAAAATCACAGAGTGGCTTCCAAACAAGTATAACAACAAATTCGTTGCATTGCTGCTTAATTATAAATAATTTACTTCATAGAACTCGTTTAAGATTATTTGATGTATATTTATTTACTAATATTAAATACTTCTTTGAAGTTCGTTTCATGATTTGTTTCTTACGTCAAGATAAAACGTACTTTCCATTCAATTTCCATCGGCTTTTTTTCGCCTTTTAGGCTTCATATGCGTTAAAAAACTTTTACTGTCTGTATTAGTTTCAGTCAAAGGGCGTTCACTCAGTAAAGGATGGCTTCTTTTTATACTTAAAGGATTGGTGCTTCCTTTACTTACACTATTAACCTCATACTCTTTCTCCTTAATAGTGTCCATTCTTTTACGTAAAACTATACATCCGCGCACAGGTAATATCCGCATACTATGCTTCAATTTTATTTTATTGATACCAAATACATTATCTTTGGAGTCTGAAAATTCAAATGCAACCCCCTCTATTTTATGTTCTAAATTACTGCGACCTGGAAGTTTCAATTTTTGTTGTAGTAAATGTGCTGGTTTTAAATTCTGAAATTGATTATTCATAAATATATAAAATAAAATCAAAACACATGTAATACTTTCGGAAGCTGCATAAACCAAACTTCATCATTTTCTGTATTAAAACCTGATAGATGGTCACTTTTAGAACTTGGTTCAATTATTTCAAAATCAAAGTCTTGTCCATTGCCTTCCATTTTGAAGCATATATTTAACCATGTAATCCAAAGGCCTTTTACACAAAATTTTTATATAAAATTTATAATGTTTTGAATTATCTGCTCGACATACTTTTTGTTTCGTATTTTCAACGTGCTCACAAAAATTGTTCACAGCATGAATGCGCTATTAACAAATTATAACCAAAGAATATCAACAAGACACAACGACATATTAAAATAGATAATAATATTCCGCTACGTCAGATTTATTTTCTGCAGTGATAAATTTCGAATATATATTTATATGAAGTATGTTACAAAATTTACACGTTGTATATAAGAAGTTCTGCATATAATTGCATATATATATATATATATATATATATAATATTTTAGTTATACGTATGTAAGAAAATAAATATAACAATGTGATAATGTAACATTGATTTATTACAATAAATAGAAGTATTAGAGCTAATCAAAATAGATGTTCAAACTGATAAGTGAATTTTGTGTTCATAAAAGTGAACGTTTTATGTATTGGTTCAGATGAGAATGAATAAGTGGTATTGCATATAAATTATATTAAAGACATTTAATATTAATTTTAGTGCGTGAGACGGTCCAAAACAACGTTTAATTTTAATAGTGAAACAAAACTCTCGTGTGAATCCAGTATTATTACTTGATTGTTTGACTTATTTATGTTTTTTTCATTTAATTTTTGTTTCATGTGTCAAATATGTCAAATTTCGATCATTTTCCTTTTGGAAAAAATAATTTGTGATATTACATTTAACATTTTTGGTGTGATTTCCTTCGATTTATTTTAACTTACATCACATTCACACTATCTCATTAAAATGGTTCCATTAATGAGGATGATTTACAATACAAAAATCTTTCATATCAATGAGCTCATTATTAATAAATCAGCTAATTTAAGGCAAAAAATGTTGCATGCAACACTTAAAAGTAAATTTTCTGCAAGGGAAATTACCAAAATTTCAAATGTGTCATATGTTTTATATGTAAAATGTAAATGAACAACAGCTGAGCTGTAAACAAAGGCACTGAGAAAGTAAGTTTTTAATAAAACTTTTTTTTGATTAATTGAATATCTAATTGATAAATAAAATGTATATAAATGATTTACTATATTCACTATATATATAATTTTTTATGTGATATATTATTAAGTTAAGTTTATAAAAGTTCTATCACCCGCATAATTAAATTCAATATAACGTGAACGTACACTCATCAATATAAATGATGAAGTGCCTATAGAAACAGATAAAAAGTTCTTAAGATCTTTATATGGTTAATCAAACTCCGTTAGCAACCTAAGTCAACTGCTTTAACGAAGAAATATGGAATATACTACAAATTTATTTTGTCTTGCGAAACTGTTTCGTATATGTTCTAGTTATTGTCATATGTTGCACAAAAAAAAAACATATGTGTTAGTTGCTTATATAGGGTAATTTAAAACTTGTGTGTTTTATTGCCGTTCGTTCCTAAAGACAATGTTGATAATTTGATATTGTTTAAGTTCTCTGTGCCGTACACAGCATTTGACTATTTTTAAGGTATTGAATTAGATATTTCGAGCATTGCTTTATAGTTTATGATGTCCAAAACAGAGGCCCAATTTAGATTCTCGGAAGATGAATTCGGAAAACGCTTTGATCGTTGTGTTACTGATGCTTTAATAAAAGGATGTAAGAAATAAAATTATAAGTCTTATATAATGTTATGTTGTACATTTATTAACAATCTGCATTCAAAGTTTCGTAGCTAACTCACAATTTTCATATGTCAAATCTATTTCTTTCATATATATTTTAATTTTTATAAAGTATATTATTAACGAGTGTTAAAAATTATTTTCAGCCAGCGGATTTCTAATTGGATCAGTTTTTTCACTTTTATTTTTGAAAAGACGAGTGTGGCCGACTCTAGTTGCGACTGGTTTTGGAGTTGGAGTCGCTTATAGAGCATGTGAAAAAGATTTAAATTCATAAATGGATTTCCGGGTTATGCATCATTTATTTACCAAATAAAAACGAAGAAATAGTTTATTATGTCTTGCAATAATTTTAATTATGATTATTTTAATTATAATTCTTGTTTATGCAGAGGCCTACGGCAACAAAATTGATCATCATTTTGAACTCTCAGTGTAAAGTGGAAAAACAATTTTGAATTAATTACATATGTAAACTCATAATAATCACTTCACGATAAACGGCTTTAAGTAACTTATTATTGAAATAAATTTTGTCATAAGAAGGACGACAGATTTCATTTTATACTATAAAATTCGGAATAGTTTAGTAAAGTAGTGAAGAAATAATGCAAATAGGCCATTATGGTATATACCTATTAAATTAAAAAGTGATAATGTAGAGAAATGTTTAGATTTTAAAAAGGCTTAATGCTATTATTAACAGCTTAATAACACATTTTCTTGTCTACTTATATGTAAATGTAGCATTAGACACCTTTAAAGAAATATAGATTTCAAAATTCTTTACGATAAGGAGTATTTCATCTTATTTAGTGGCCTTGTATATTAAAGCTAACTTAAGTACCAATAAAATGAGTATAAAAACCAAAGTAGACAACGTTGGAGAGAACAAGAACGATTCCTTTATACAGATCGAATCAATTTAACAAAATATTAAAACTTCTCGCCATGATGGGCACTAAATGAATCGCAATTTCTTTCAACAGAGCCATATTCAAAAGTCAATGTTATAAACTATGATTCATCCCTACTTTACACAGCGACTTGCCAGCATAAATGCGGTAGCGCTCAGTAGATTTCGTTTTAGTTTAATTGACTGACTGGTACGTTTTTTCTCTAAGTTGTAGAATATCTTGTAGTCTGACAAGAATCTTCATCTACCCAGGTTTTTAGCTATCGCTTGATATTTTTAATTGATGGCTAATTTATCCGTTATCGTTACGATCGGGAAGAGTAGCGTGCCTGTTGATAGAACCCAATCTGCTAAATTCTACAAAAGGAGACATAGAATATCACCTTGTGCCGAATATTAATGGTTGTTGAAGAGGAACTCTATTAGGGAATGTAGCAAGTGTATATTTCATCAAGTCAATAGATTTACCAATCAGCGATCTTTCCCACCAACATGGATTTAGAAAATGTCACTTTATATTGTGTAACAAATTGAATACATATGTTTCTCTTGTGGAATTCCTCTTTGGATCATAGAAATTATCATCTATCACCAAATAAATCCTCTTATAATAAAGCCACTCTCTTTACTTCTGGGACTAAAGAGGTATCTTTGACTGCTCATAAATATTGGTGAATTTAGGATACTAACCACCACCTAACGCAAAATCCTGAGTGTCGTGCTTGACAGCATGTTGACTTTCTCTACACATACTACGGCTATGTGTGGTCGGATATCTAGCAATAATGTGTTGAAAACGCGCGCAGGTTGCTGATGGGGTAAAGACAAAGAAACCCTTCTTAACACATACAAATATACGACGTCCTATTGCGGCCTACGCTGCTTCAGTATTAGTTAGCCCCACAACTTTTCGAGTATGATTCGCGACGGGCTGCCTTCACATGTCGTATGTGAACACACTACTGTGCAAGGAATATTTTTTGTGTGCCACATAGATGGACATCCCAAAGGCGCCATGTTTAATAGAACTGTTCCTCCAATGTGTATCCGTCGATTCTTCTCTTGTTATCATAGGTATATCGACACTTTTTACAATGGAGGTAACCTCAATGGAGTGAAGTTGAATATGCACTTGAACTTACAGTCGACCCTACAGCTGTGGTGTCCTCTTCGAGATTCAACTTTAATCACGACAGCGATCACCCCTGTCTGAAAAACGCTACAATGGTCTGAAAGCCTATAGTAAGAGGCTATATTCAGCCCTGCTGAGAAAACTTCACTGCCTACGGCACTCTTAGTTTTTGGTCCAGCGGTATAAATGGTAAAATCATCCCTCAAGAAGGGTCCTCTGACAGCCAAACATCTCTGGATGGAAATTCGACGTTGAATTTTCTATCGAAATTGAAATATCCTGTCTCTTAAATCAGTCAAATCAAAATCTTTAAAAAGGAGTCTATATTGCTTCACCAGTTCAACAAAAATCAAAATATTTATACTCCTAAATCAGTCGAATCAAAAATCCAAAGAGGTGACGATATAGTCAAGACAATCAAAAAGTTAAAGAAGAAAACAAATAAAAAATGATAATTACTGGCTAAGTAAAGCATTACTCTCTCCTAATAGAATTGCTGCGTTAAATGAATAAATTTTTGTGATCAAGCTGCACCGATATTTTACTAAGAGGTTGAGAAATTCCACTTAATAAAAAAAAAAAACAATGATAAACAAATTATGTAAAAAATAAAACCGCAATTACTTAAATGAAAAAACTAATTCCAATGTAAATCAATATTTATGCAGCCAACATAAAGTTGGTCTGTAAAATTTACTCAACCAGGTTAAAAAAAGTTTTGTTTGAACTGAAATTTTGTATGACATTTAATGAGAAGTACTTTGTAATAAATTTATTAACTCATTAAAAAAAGCTAATTTTTATTATAGAATAATAAAGGTATACTAGCTGAGGCAATCGACTTTAATAAGTGTCTCCTTTTAGTGAAATATTACCTGTGAAATTAAGTCCATTGTTCTTGGAAACTTGTTGAGATTCTTGTCATAATATTTTTAAATGATCAAGATCCGGTACAATTGCAAATTAGTTAGGATAATACTGGATTAACACGAGATTTTTGATTGTAATTTTAGCTATCATTCCAAATTATTCTTGATAGCACAAGTTGATATCAAAATGATTTGTATGGGAATTTTGACAGCTGAAAATAGAATTGGATTATAATTTCTACAAAATCATATTGATTTTATTTTGGATAGTTCACTTCAGTACAAACTTATGATATTATGAGCAGTTCTGAAGAATGAATGACATTTTCATACAAAATGAAACAAAACTTTTATTTATTATATGTATATACAAAGAAAATAAAGAAAAAAAACTGAGTTATACTAAAAATTGTGTATAAAATTTTCTAGATAACTCAATATTTAAAGTTTTTAGTTATGAAGTGAAAATATCACGCAGTACAAAAACAAAAAGCGTAATGCTGACACAATGGTGCATGATGATGTTCCCCATTCGGTCTTGCTATTTTTTCACCCGGTCCGTACTCACCACGATGTTTGCTAAAATACACAGCACTTTCCGAAAAATTTCGTTGTTTGGGTTTTTTAACGTTAAAAATCCATTAAGACTTTTTTTGTGATATTACACAAAGAAGCACAATGATTCAAAATTTCCTCTCAATTTCTTTTCTTTATCTTCTTTGGTCTAGTTATTGTAAATACAATGTAACGTGACATAATTCATAACCACGGAAAAAATGCAAATTGTATTGGTTGAGGTTTTAATATGGTAAATCGTAAATATAGAAATGATATTACTTAAAATATACATATACGAATCATTGGAAACAAAATGATTTACCGCGACATTTGCTATGTTTTGTTCTACTCTAAACGGCGTCACTAAACCAGCGCGCATATATTCCTATTATATCATAAAAAGCTGACTTTTCTTATCACTCCACTATTTCACCAAATATGTTCTACACATTTTGTACTGAAATATTTGTCATTACATTGAATGAAATATGGCAGAGTCGGAGGTTAATGATGATTTATTTTAAATTGTAATAAAATTAATATATGTTTTTACAGCTTGTGGTAGCACTAAAGGACTTACCCAACAGGGCATTAAATGTTCCAGTTACAGAACGACAGTTGTTATTCAAAAATGTTGCGGCAGTGTTATCGAATCCCGGTAAGCTCTAAAATAAAAATGTGCTTCGAGGAATTATAAATATAAACAATTATTACAGGAGTCAACTCAGCTACGATTAAAGGAATATGTAAAGTTATTGCTACAACATTAATTAAATACAAGGATCCCCCATCTCAGTTAATTATTAGAAACTTAATAGTCGACATGCTGAAAACTGATGTTGTTGGAGACTTCACTGTTGAGCATTTAAATTCTATTTTTAAAGTTTTAGCTCTCAAAGAATTGCCGAATGCTCCTCCATTAAAAGCATCAAAGGCTGCTGTAATTGCATTGGGATGGACAGTGTTAGTAATGAAACATTCTAGTCCAGAATCTAATGTTTTAAAAACAGAATGGTCGCGTTTACTTGATTACCAGTCACTTATATATCAAATAACTCTGCATTCCAATAGCATACGAATACATGAAACAACACAGAAAATGTTGTTCGATTTATGGCGTGATGAAAATTTATTTCAGAACAGTTTTAGCCACATGTTGGAAAAAGAATGTTCAAATAATGTGTTATTGTTTTTAATGTTACATTTGCAATTCAATGACCGTGAAAGAGATACACATCTATTAGATACACACAAAGAAAAATTCATTAATTATTTTGTTAAAAGTATAATATCAACAAAAATCAAGCCCCATAAGAATTACATATTTACATGTCGACCACTCTTAAAAACTATACACAAAACAGAGTTTGAAAATTATATATTACCACCTCTTCAAAAAGCAATGCTCAGAAGTCCTGAACTTATTTTACAAGCCGTTGGATTAATTGTTCAGGAAATTGATTTAGATTTTAGTCCATATGCAGACTTGTTTGGAAAGGTGCTAATTCAAAATTTGTATTCTAAAGACGAAGTAGCGCGAAATGAATCGGTGGAATCACTTAAACAAATTGCACAGAAGTGTTCCGAGGAAAATGCAATTTTAACGTTACTAAAAATGATATTTTCAATTTTAAATGGTAGCGATGGGAAGATTACAGTTGCAGAATATCGTTTAAACTTGTTACAGGTATGACATTAATTTCTCCAAATTAAGAAACTAATTTTAAAATATATGTAAAATATATATTTAATATTTCGAATTACTAGGTAGTTACTACATTGATGAAATGCAAATAAATTTATTGTTATTTGTTTCTTATTTCAAGGGTGCCGGAAATTTAAGTTTCAACTCTATTCCTAAGGAAAATTTTACAAAAATCATAAATGAAGTAATTGAACTTTTTTCAAAGGCACTTACTAGTGAGATTCAGGAAAAAGTCTTATGTCACACTTTAGAAATGTTTAGCTTATGGTCCATGAAATTTTCTCAGGAACTTCCGACACGTATAACTGAGGTATTTAAAAAAGGATTGGAGCTTAAAACAACCACACAATGCGTACGCCTTGGGTATTTACAGTGGCTTTTAGCATCTCTACACAATTCATCATTACACAATAATGCCAAATTTACTCCGCTTCTGTTGCAGATTTTTGAAAAAGCTATACAAAATACCAATCAAGTTCTAATTACTTGTGAAGCTATGTGTGCTGCCTGTACTATATTATTAACAGAAAAACAAAATGGCGATACAAGTCTCAATAATTTTTGGAGCACAATATTAGATTTAAACAAACAAATATTCTTTAGTGAGCGGTTTTTATATTCAGCTCCTGCTGATACCTTATGTTACATATCTTTACTTGCTGAAAGATTGCTGAATGATTACTTTCACAAATTGAAAGGACCAACAGACTTAATTTTTAAAGGTATTGTTCATTGTCTGACATCGAGCTCTACCAAAGTACGTAACTATGCGAAATATTTAATACCGAAATTGATTAGTGGCACAAATGGAGTACAATTTGTTAAAAAAATTTTGGAAGAATTAGAAAACTGTGTTGATGTTGTTAAGATAAGTTACGATGGCGATATAACGAACGATGAAGGTTTAACTCCATCATATGTATTTGTTGAGATAATCGAAGAACTTTGCAATTTTGAAGAAATAACGTTTGCCGATGCTCAAATACTAGCTCTACAATCTCTTAATGTTTGTCATCACCCAGCTGTAGTTAGTAATGAATCTGAAATGTGGGAAAATATTTTGAAATTGAAATTAAACTTAGATCCTAAAGTTTTTGTGTCATTAAATTCTAAGCAAATTAAAAATTTATTAATTGATAATTTTAAAGAAAAAGATACGTATAAAAATGCTGCAGGAACAATTGTACGACTCAGTCCAGATGTGATGTTACCAATTCTAATGTCAAAAATAATTACGGATCTTAACGATCCAGATATGATAAATGTAACCGATAATGATTATTTTACGTATCTTACACCTAATGGAGAATTATATGACAAAAGTGTTATACCAAATAACGAGGATATTTATTCCACAGTGGGTTTAAAAAGGGAAAACAAAGTCTATAGTTATAAAGAACAACTTGAAGAGCTTCAATTACGTCGTGAAATTGAAGAAAAACGCAAAAAAGAAGGCAAAGCAAAACCTTCACAGCTAACCCCAAAGCAGCAGGAAGTTATCAAAATTCAAACAGAAAAAGAAAATTTAATTAAAGAACGCTTGTCAATATTAAAAAATAAATTGAATACATTGATAACAATGTTAGAAGCCGCATGTTTGGGAGGAGCAAAACAGGTTTCATTACATTTTGCAGATCTATTACCTTCAGTACTTAGGCTGTTAAAGTCCCCACTTGCAGCCGAACCACTTTCGAATTTATATTTTTTCCTTCACACTACATGCTTTAATAATGAAATGGAAAATTTGGGCCACTCACTTGCAGTGACTACAATAAGACTTGAAAAGCCCCATTGTGATTTAAATAATGAATGGGTTATAAAGGATTTAAATGATTTGGTGATTGATACGTTAATACTTCTTTATAAGTGTACTGTTGGGAGAAGTAATGAATGCTCAAGTGACAACCTAGAATTTGCATTACTTGCACCTGCATTTGCCTTTGCTTTTGAATTTTTAAAACGAGCTTTAGCCTTTAATTGTATAACTGCAAAGGAAGAATACCTGGTAATGGCTATTGAAATTATTGAGTACCATGCACAAATAAAAGGAGATACAATATTTGGCGATGTGTCTGACTACAGACATCCGAAATATATGCCTCATATGGAAATGTTTAAGGTACTTCTAGGGTTAATATCAAAATATCGAACTAGAGTTCAAACTAAATCAGTGTGCGCTCTTTTAGAGGTAGCGAAGATATGTTCAGGTGAAGATTACTGTGTAATGGCTGCAAAAACAGAAATTGAGTTGTTTCTTGATGCGTTGCAAAGCCCTTCTGAGGAAATTAGAGACGTTGGCTTGCGTGCCTTAACTATAATGGTTAAAGGTTTACAATTTCAACAGAAGCAGAATGAAGAAATATGTACGCACGTGTCATGCAGATTATGGATTGCAAAATTCGACATTTCTGAATCAAATCGTATTTTAGCGAATAAACTTTGGGAATTAGCAGATGTGGAGTTACCTGAAGCTGAAGAACTTCTTGATGATATTATACACCCTGTGCACTGTATTCAGAAAGCAGCATCTTTTTCAATAGTTGATCTATTAGGTCAAGATACTGTCTTAGTGAAACGAATTTTGAAACGTTTACTGTCAATTTATAATGAAAAACTTACAATGATTCCACCTGTATTAGATCAATTTGATAGAGAAGTTGAACCGGCTGTTGATCAGTGGAAACCTCGCAGAGGGGTTGCAATTGCAATTGCGCAAATAGCGCCTTATTTTTCAGTTGAAGACGTCAATCATGTAATGCAGTTTATGGTATCACAAGGTCTTGGCGATCGTGAAGAAATAGTTCATAAAGAAATGCTTGCTGCTTCATTGACTATCGTTGACTTACATGGAAAAGAAACTATAATTCATTTATTACCAGTGTTTGAGGATTTCTTGGATAAAGCACCAAAATCTCAAAGTTATGATAATATTCGTCAGGCTGTTGTAATATTGATGGGATCTCTTGCTAGGCATTTGGAAAAGGACGATAAACGCATTGAACCAATTGTACGAAGATTAATAACTGCATTATCAACTCCATCTCAGCAAGTACAAGAAGCTGTATCAAACTGTTTACCTCATCTAGTTCCTTCAGTAAGAGATGAAGCTCCAGCGATAATCAAGAGGTTAATGCAATTATTAGTTAAATCTGATAAATATGGCGAAAGAAGAGGAGCAGCATATGGTATAGCTGGTATAGTAAAAGGATTAGGTATTTTATCGCTTAAACAGTTCGATATTATGTCTAAATTAACTACTTACATTCAAGAAAAAAAAAATTATAAATCTCGCGAAGGTGCTTTATTCGCTTTTGAAGTCCTTTGTACAACACTTGGACGACTATTTGAACCTTATATTGTTCATGTTTTACCACATTTACTACAATGTTTCGGAGATTCATCACAGTATGTAAGACAAGCTGCAGATGACACAGCAAAAGTTGTGATGGGAAAGTTATCAAATCATGGTGTGAAACTTATACTGCCTGCTTTGCTTGATGCTTTAGATGAAGACTCTTGGCGAACAAAAACAGCTTCAGTTGAATTGCTTGGGGCTATGGCATTTTGTGCTCCAAAACAATTATCATCTTGCCTACCCAGTATTGTTCCCAAGCTTATAGAAGTACTTGGTGATTCGCACACAAAAGTTCAGGAAGCAGGCGCTGATGCCTTGAAAGTTATCGGCTCAGTAATAAAAAATCCAGAAATACAAGCTATTGTTCCTGTGTTGTTAAAAGCTTTGGAAGACCCATCTAAAAATACTTCAACTTGTTTACATAGTTTATTACAAACCAAATTTGTACATTTCATAGATGCTCCGTCCTTGGCTCTGATAATGCCTGTTGTTCAAAGAGCTTTTATGGATAGATCAACTGAAACACGAAAAATGGCTGCTCAAATAATTGGTAATATGTATTCTTTAACAGATCAGAAAGATTTAATGCCATACTTGCCAAGTATTACACCGGGTCTCAAAATGTCATTACTGGACCCTGTCCCTGAAGTTCGGGCTGTTTCAGCGCGTGCCCTAGGTGCTATGGTTCGTGGAATGGGTGAAACATCTTTTGAGGATCTTCTACCTTGGCTAATGCAAACTTTAACTTCGGAATCTAGTAGTGTAGATCGAAGTGGAGCTGCTCAAGGTTTATCCGAAGTTGTAGGTGGGTTGGGAATTGAGAAATTACGTCAAATAATGCCGGAAATTATTGCAACCGCAGAAAGAAATGATATTGCCCCGCATGTAAAAGACGGTTATATTATGATGTTTATATATATGCCTAGTGCATTTCCACAAGAGTTCACACCTTATATTGGTCAAATAATTAACCCCATCTTAAAAGCATTAGCAGATGAAAATGAGTATGTTCGTGATACTGCTCTTAAGGCTGGACAACGAATTGTAAATTTGTATGCAGAAACTGCTGTGACACTACTCCTGCCAGAACTAGAAAAAGGATTGTTTCACGATAATTGGAGAATTCGGTTTAGTTCGGTACAATTGCTTGGGGATTTGCTATATAGAATTTCTGGAGTTTCTGGAAAAATGACAACGGAAACTGCTAGTGAAGATGATAACTTTGGTACTGAACAATCACATACTGCTATAATAAGATTTTTAGGCGACGAAAGACGTAATAGGGTGCTTTCTGGACTTTATATGGGAAGAAGTGATGTCTCTTTGATGGTTCGACAAGCTGCGCTACATGTTTGGAAAGTAGTTGTTACAAATACACCTCGAACTTTAAGAGAGATACTACCAACTCTGTTTGGTTTATTACTCGGTTGTTTAGCTAGTACAAGTTACGATAAGCGTCAAGTTGCAGCGCGAACATTAGGAGATTTAGTAAGAAAATTAGGAGAACGAGTATTACCAGAAATAATTCCAATTTTAGAATGTGGATTGAATTCAGAGCATGCAGATCAACGTCAAGGTGTGTGTATAGGCTTATCAGAAATTATGGCATCTACATCTAAAGAAATGGTTTTAACATTTGTTGATAGTTTGGTGCCAACAGTTCGAAAAGCGCTATCAGATCCTCTTCCTGAAGTTAGAGAAGCAGCAGCAAAAACATTTGAATCACTACATTCCACTGTGGGAGCCCGTGCTTTAAATGATATATTACCATCAATGCTTGAGGGACTTTCCGATCCAGATACTACTGTTGCTGAAAATACCTTAGATGGTCTTCGACAAGTCATGTTTATAAAATCACGAGTAGTATTGCCCTATTTAGTCCCTCAATTAACTGCAGCGCCAGTTAACACTAAAGCATTATCTATTTTGGTTTCTGTTGCAGGGGAAGCTCTCACTAAATATTTACCAAAAATATTATCTGCTTTACTTCAAGCTCTTTCTGATGCGCAAGGAACTGCCAACGAAAATCAGGAGCTTGAATATTGTCAAATTGTAATTTTATCTGTTTCTGATGAAGTTGGTATTCGTACTATAATGGATACATTAATGGCATCTGCTAAATCGGAAAGCATTCCAACACGTAAGTCTGCCTCCAGTTTACTCTCAGCGTTTTGCATTCATTCACCTGGTGACTATTCTCATTACGTACCGCAATTATTACGCAGTCTATTACGATTAATGGCTGACTCAGACAGAGATATATTGCAAAGATCCTGGGATGCCTTAAATGCTGTTGTTAAAGGCTTAGACTCGGCACAACAAATAGCTCATGTTTCGGACGTACGGCAAGCAGTTCGATTTGCAGCTAGTGATCTTAAAGAAAGTGAATTACCTGGTTTTTGCTTACCTAAAGGAATATCGCCATTACTACCTGTATTTCGAGAAGCAATACTGAATGGTTTACCAGAGGAAAAAGAAAATGCAGCACAAGGATTAGGCGAAATTATTGAATTAACAAATTCACAATCCTTACAACCTTCAGTTGTGCATATTACTGGTCCTTTAATTCGTATACTAGGAGATCGATTTAATGCTGGCGTTAAAGCTGCTGTTTTGGAGACTTTAGCCATTTTGCTACATAAAGTCGGAGTGATGCTAAAGCAATTCCTACCTCAACTTCAAACAACATTCTTGAAAGCATTGAACGATCAAAATCGAACGGTCAGAATGAAAGCAGGAAAAGCATTATCTGAACTCGTTACCATTCATAGTCGCCCTGATCCGCTTTTTAATGAAATACATAATAATATCAAAAGCAACGACGATTCCGGTATACGTGAAACAATGCTACAAGCTTTAAGAAGTTTAATAACAGCAGGCGGTGACAAGATGTCAGAACCATTAAAAAAGCAAGTAAATACCACATTACTATCAATGTTAGGACACCAAGAGGATATTACAAGAAATTCAGTAGGTGGATGCATAGGTGCACTTTTAAAATATCTGAAAAGTGAACAGGTTGATGAAATTCTTAAAAATTATGTTTTTGTAGACGACAACGAAGACGGTCCATATAAACACGGCAGAACAGTTGTTTTGTTTGTAGCATTAAAAGAATGTCCTTCAATTATAGTAACACAGAATTACACCGAAAAAATAACAAAAAGCATTTCTAGCAGTGTTACATCAGACAAAGTATCTATCGCATGCAACGGTGTTCGAGCAATTACTTATTTTATGGAATATAAATTGTCTAACAATGAAATTCCACCAGCCACAGTTGTGGTCACTTTTACTCGTATTATGAATCATAACAGCAATGAAGTAAAACAACTTGTAGCTAAATGTTGCAGTCATCTTGCTAAAACACTAACCGTTGATCAAATTGTTCCTGAAGTGATGAAGTATATTGTGCCTATGTTAGTAAATGGCACTAAAGAAAAAAATAGTTATGTTAAATCGAACTCTGAATTTGCTCTGATATCAATACTACGACTACGTGAAAATGAAAATACATATGCAAATGTTTGCCAAGTTTTAGAGCCCGGCGCAAAAGATTCTCTCTCTGAAGTAGTAAGTAAAGTATTACGGAAGGCGGCAATTCAACCTGCTGGAAAAGAAGAAGAACTAGATGACACAATCCTGGCATAATTATCAATTTGTATACAGTTATTTATATTGTCTTCTTATTGTCTAAAAATAAAAAATGCCGCAAACTAATAGATTTTTTTGACTTATCAAAAATTGGATGTTTTAATTAATTTATTTAAAAATAAAATATCTGTATCGGATTCCTATTAGGTAACAATAAAATTGGATAGTTCAAAGGAACATAAAATTACCACTAGTTCAGATAAAAAAAGAGTTTCTTCTTACTTTTCCCATTAATATTAGTAACATTAGAAAATGAGCCTAGAATAAAATACTTTAAATAAACCAACCGTTATCCGAGGTGCAGCGATTATTCCATACTTTGAGAATTTAACTAGTAGAGGATTCTTTACCGACATCGATTACAAATGATCACTAATAGGCTATCATATTGAAACAGCAGTTTAACACCAAAGTTTGATCTAATGACAAACGGTTTGCAAAAAAACGAAGGCATTTCTTCAGCGTTAAAGATAATTATTTTGGATACGTGGTTTTAATTATTACTAATTAATTATTAGTATTAATTATTAAAATATTAAATTAATATTTTTTGTGTAATGTACGAAATTCTTAAATATTTATTGGATACTAGAACATATGTTTTAAAATTTACTTAATTAAGTTGAGTTTGAGGTACAAATTCCTTGGCATTAGGGTTCAAAACAGAAGGCAGTACATTGAGAGTCAACACTGTAGAATTATTTTGGTCCAGTCTGAAATGTATTTGAAAATGTAGTCACTCAATTTAAAATATTTTAGTGGCTTTAAGTTACTTATTTCTAGGAGGATCACAAAACTCTGTCCAATTGGAGATATCTGTTTCATGTTCATCACAAAATTCCTTACTCTTTGTTAATTCAGATATAAGTTCGTCTTCCATCATGGCCTCCATACATTCGTTCATTAAGTGTTCTTCTTCAAGTCGCGCGAGTTCCTATTGAAAATATTTAAAACTGATGAATTAAATAAATTATAAATAATTATTTATTACATTTCTATCGAATTCTTCTTCGTTTTCCATCCACATATATTCAGAGAAATCTGGATCTTCTTCAAAGTCTGAAAATGATTCTTCTTCTTCGACAATACAATCTAGCTGTTCTGACCAATCGCTTGAGGGTACTTTAATAAGCATTTTGATATATTGTTAACTGTTAAATAAAAAATGTAAAAAATGAGAAAATTTAGTTGTCATGTAAACATAAAGACGTGCATTAAATAGTAGCAAGTTTCGAATTCTTTTCATTATTTGTATTATTTTGAAGTGATATATGAACAAATTATTTAGTTTTGAAATTTTTAATTTTTTACTAGCTCTTAATGTAGATGCGTAATTTAGTAGAATTAAGTTCAACAAACCAAATAAATATTGAATATAAATAAACCAAAAAAAAAAAAAGTTTTTATATGTACATATGTTAGAATGAACATAAAAATAATAACAAATGGTACTTTGCATATTCAATTATATATACATATATCATAAATATCTGAATAATAATCTAATTTGTTTTTTTTTAATATACTGCGTAAATGTTTATATAGCTTTCATTACAAAAACTGTATTCATACATAAAATTATGATTTTTTATAATTAGCAAACATTTCAGTAATTCGTCATGATGGATAAATGAATTGTGAATATATTTGGCTAAGGGTCGAATTAATTGCTCACACCATTACTTTTGACCTCGATAGTCGATCAATTCCAAAAAAAAAACAACTATATAAAAGGTGTTAATTTTCTTTATGTAGAAAAACAACTAAATATCTAAAGAAGTTTATCAAAATATATATTATTATTTTGTGGAAATAAATATACGGTTATTAAGAGCTTGGTTCCTATATATTCCAAAAATATACGCATAACAAAATATTCTTATAAAAACAAATCTGATTATATATATAATATTAATATATTTATATAGAATTTTTTTTGATACAAAGCAAATTGCAAAAATTTTTTATTTCCGTGTTCCGTTTCTTGACTAGATATTTAAACTTTACAAATACATTAGATTTTTAAGTAAATTTAGTCATTTTTACAATAAATTAAATAAATAATTAAAACACTAACCACAAAACAATTTTATTCGATCGAGAAATTTTTATTTACTGTAATTTATATTACTAATAACGGAATACATAATGGAACGAAACATAGAAACAAAGTAAATTGAAATACCAAGGTCAATGATTATGTCTGTTGTATATCATATAATATGCATAAGGGAAGCGTCGAAAAAATTTTGAATAATTGTGATCCATTGTGTAATATCTGTAATGTATTCACCATAACACGATGGTCAGATATTAAGATTGGTGTGACTGATAACTAAAACGTTTAGTATGTTCAATTTTTTTCAATTTAACAATTGTTATATATGTTATATACATCAAATATACTTGAATTTGTAAACTAAAATCAGTAGTGTTTAATTATTATTGATATATGTAAATATGTATACATAAATCAATTTTAAAACATGTCAAATGCTTTTTTTTACCTATGTTGACATATGTTTTGTTATGTTGTGTACAATATAAAATATAAAAATTGAAAACCTAAAAATTAATTAATTTAAACAACAAAAAAAAATAAATATTTGTATCAGAAAAATAATGGTAAGCATTATTATCTTTTAAATTTAAAATAATTTATTTCTTTATGTAAATGAATATATTAGTAAATATAATTATTAGTAAATAGAATTTTGCAACATGTATTGTTGGATCACCCATTATAAATTATGATCAAGGTTTCTAATATTTATTACTTGAGAAAAAGCTTTTAATTATTGAGAATAACTTACATTACAATTCTTTTGTACAATTTAAATTATATCAGAATAAGTTCAACTCCACTTCCGAACGGTCGTTGTTTTTTTTGGTTGGTTCTTTACATTTTTTATATTCGTTGTTTGTCACAAAAACACATGTGATTTTACATTTTGGCGTCCAACGTGGGACACGAGTTTAAAAGTGTATATCCATTTCTCGGGAATAAAATTAATGCAATTTTATTTATACAGTGTGATTCGAATAATATACGTGATAATATAATTATTGCAATTTATAATGTATCAACCACCTCAGAGGAAAGCAAATGGGATTTGGGCTAGAACCAACTCCGAAAAAGCTGAGCTTTTTGCCGCCTATTTCGAAGCTACGTTTAATAACCCAAAACAACAAGATAGCGACGTAGCACAGAGCAGCTCTATTTGAAACATTAAAATAAAGGAATTTTCTATAACAGAGATTAAAAATACTATAAAATATAAGATTAAATTAAAAAAATCACCGGGATATGATGGTATTATGGGAAAGATTCTGACTGAGCTACCTCAACAAGCACTTGTATAGCTGAGAAATGTGTTTCAGAAGTAATAACAATACCCAAACCAAATAAAGACATAACTCTCACAAGCTCATACAGACCAATTAGTTTATTACCAGTTATGTCAAAATTGTTTGAAAAAATACTTTTTAAAAGAGTAGAGCCGATTCTCCACAAAGATAAACTTATTCCTGACCACCAATTCGGTTTTCGAAAAAAATATTTGACTATACAACAAGTCCACAGAGTTGTAAATAAAATAACAAGTGATATTGATACAAAACAATTTTCCTCGGCACTATATCTAGACGTTGCAAAGGCTTTTGACAGCGTTTGGCATGGGGGTCTCCTAACCAAATTATCCCAGCTACTTCCAACAAACTTTTGCCTCATAATAAAGAGCTATCTACAAAATAGTAATAGATAGATACTTTTATGTAATGTACAAACACTCAATCTCCGAACTTAAACAAATGAAAGCTGGTGTGCCTCAAGGAAGCGTACTAGGTCCATTATTCTACCTGTTATACACTGCTGATATCCCGATACCTTCTGATCCTCAAAGTTTGATAGCAACTTTTGCAGACGATACAGCACTAATTGCAGGCTGATATAAACTTTAACAAATCTACAGACAACTTGCAGAATTACTTAAATGCAACGCTGGAATGGTTCGACAAATGGGGAGTTCAAATAAATACAACTAAAACAGAACATGTCATCTACACGAATAAAAAATATGACCTAAAACGTTTAAAAATTAACAATGATGAAGTGTTCACACACACAATGGCAAATTACCTTGGTATTACTATAGATAGCAGATTAACTTGGAAAGACCATATCAAAGCTAAAAGAAATGAAACTAAGCATCGCTTTGGACAATTGTACTGATTACTCTGCTCAAAATCAAAACTAACAGTGGAAATAAACTTCTAATATATAAAACGATAATCGCTCTAATTTGAAAATATGGAGCTGAAATATGGGGCACAGCATGCAAATCTAACCTACAAATACTGCAAAGACTACAATCAAAAATACTTAGAACTATCATTAACGCTGTCTGGTACATCTCAAACTACGACATTCATCGTGACTTAAAAATACTACTTAAAAAAACTACCGGTGCTAAAACTCCCAACGTTTAATGGGAAATACTCAGAGTTTCAAAACATCTTTACCTTTTTAGTCAAATTATTGACAGAGTCGAGTTTGACTAACATTGAAAAATTCAATCATTTATTAGGACAGGCTTTGGATACAGTACAAGCACTCCCAATTACTAATGACAATTATCCAAAGGCACTCGAAAGACTTAAGACGTGATACGACAATAGAACATTGATTTTTATGGAAAATCTTTCAACATTATTCGAATCGTAAATGGAAGGAATCGCTAAGCTTCACTTTGCTTCCAACTTGGGACCATTCTGTGAAAATACTTGACAGGCATTGTCAATTTTTAAGTTCAGTAGAGGGTAAGTGCAACCAACAATAACAATTGCGTAAGGTTGACAATAAACTACCAAATAACGTTCGTAATAATCAATTCTTATTTTCGATAGCTACAGCAATTAAAACCTGTTTATTTTGCACAAGCAATGAGCATTTAATTCAAAATTGCCGTCAATTTAAACAGTTAAGTATCGATGAAAGATTTGAGAAGCTTAAAGGCCTAGGTCTTTGTATAAATTGTCTTTCAAAAAGTCATCGTGTCAGCAGCTGTTGCAGCCTTTCGTTGCAGAATTGGCAACAAGTCCCATACGTTCGGAGGATACTTCTGTTGCTATCCACACTCACCTAAATATCTGCTCAACCCAACAAATCATTCTTGCAACTGCATTAGTCTTAATAAAGGACAATTTTGGCGTTTATCAACTTGGAAGGGCGTTGCTCGATTCGGGCTCCCAAGTTAATCTGATGACAGAGGAATTTTCACAAAAACTTATGCTTATGCAAAAACTTATAAAAAACCTTTAAATATCACTAGTATAGGTAATACGTCGACTAAAATTAAACATCAGATCATAACTACTATTAAATCACGGGTTAATAATTTTGAATGATTTCTTGATTTTTGCATAACTCCTCACATTGCTTATCAACCAGATTCAGATTTCGACATTTCTAATTGGGAATTTCCCGCGAATACACCACTCGCTGATGAAGAATTCTTCAAATCAAAGAAAATTGATATTCTATTAGGTGCGGAAAGTTTTTTGAGTTTTTATGTGTCGGTCAAATTAAATTAGGTGAGAATTTGCCTACTCTTCAAAAAACCTTATTGAGATGGGTGGTATCCGGAAAATACAGAACACACAAATCATTTATCTCGACTGCAAACTACTCTATTACATCTGAAAAGGCGATTAACAATAATTTTGAAATGTTGTGGAAACTAGAGGAGTTAAAGGTAAGCTCAAAGCCATGGTCGCCAGAACATAAGAGTTGTGAGTCGCCTTATATTAATTCAGTGCATCAAAATTTAGTCGGTAAGGTTGTGGTCCGTTTATCCTTCAAAGAAAATCCAAGCTATCTTGGCTTAACTTACAACATTGCGTTACGTCGATTCTTAGCACTAGAACGTCGATTATTATTACAACCACAAATTAAACTTGACTATATAGAATTTATGACAGAGTACGAATAATTGGGGAACATGACTATGGTTAATCAGCCAAAAAATATGGAACCGCACTACTATATTCCACATCACTGTGTGATAAAGCCTACAAGATCATCTACTAAATTAGGAGTAGTATTCGATGCGCCATGTTGCACAACTAATAATGTTTCTCTCAACAACATCTTAATGGTAGGACCAATAACAGAACCTGAATTGTTTCATCTATTGCTGCAGTTTCGTCTCTATAGCTATGCATTAACCGCAGACATTGTAAAAATGTTCAGACAAATACTTATCGATAAGGAGGATCGAAGGTTCCACTGCATCTTGTGAAGAACTTCCGCCGCGGAGCCCATACACACATATAAATTAAACACTATCACTTATGGTATGGTTTCAGCACCATTTCTAGCAACTAGAAGTCTGAATTGGTTATGCTTTATTACATCCAGTCGATGCTGAATAAACAAAAACTTCATTTTATGTTGACGATTTTATAGGTAGGGCTAATTCAGTGATTTTTTTGTTTTGATAGAATCCAGATTGAAGTGTTCAGTACTTGCAAACAGTTGATTCCAATGTTTTGATCACACAACATTAAAATTATTAAAGAATTTAAATTAAGAAGTTACAACTATCTTTGAAAACGGAGGCCTGAAGCTAGACAAATGGCATTCTAATTATCCAGATTTCGTTGATGATAGCACAATGAAAGACCTTAATCCGGATGACGGCGCACTTACTAGTACCTTAGGTATTAAATGGCAACAAGTACAAGATATCTTTCTATTTACATTTAACACTAAATCAAATTAATTACACGTAGCGAGTAATTTTATCGACAGCATCGTCTCTCTTCGATCTATTAGTTTTATTAGCACTATTGATACTAGTGGCAAAAATTATTCTACAAGAGCTGTAGCTATTAAAACTTAATTGGGATGAATCCGTTCCACAGAATCTGCATTTAGCATGGAATAACTTTCTTCGTAGCATGCAATCTCTCTCACAAGTTAAAGTACCAAGATATTGCTTGGTTACGAAGTGGACACACTTACAAACTCATGGGTTTTGTGATGCATCAATACATGCATATGGCTGCTGTTTATATCTTCGTTCAACAAACTTCAAAGGTAATTTTCACATACAATTATTTACTGCAAAATCTAGAGTGGCTCCCACAAAGAAAAAATCGTTACCGAAATTAGAACTGTGTGCTGCTTTGCTGTGAGCCAAATATATGACAAGGTGAAGGCTCACAAATTGTATTGCACTGGTTAAAGCAACACACTTCGACAGTATCGATATTCGTATTGTAGTGTATTAGAAATCCAGGACCTTACACCACAATGTTCGTGGAGACATATACCTTCAAAGATTAACCCAGCTGACATTGTATCTCGAGGCACAACAACAAATGAGTTGGTCGATTCAAACTGGTATACTGGACCATCCTTTTTGTATACTAATCAGGAATTTTGGCCACCCAATATATGCGACGAATTTGTAGACGATGTTAATAGGTAAAAACGTAAAGCTATCTTTATTCTCGAAAAAAGTATCAGTTAAATTCTTCATGCTATATCTAAGTTCAGTTCGTTCTCAAAAATACTTCGAGTAGTTGCATACATGACGCTGTTTTGTACATAATAGATAATGACAACATACCGCCACAACGTTGCCAAATGGGAAGAGTAGTAAACTGCATTCGCAGTAGTGACAGTCAAGTTCGCGTGTAGCTGATGTGAAGACTTCCAATGGATTGATACGTCGCCCTATCACTAAATTAGCCTTACTTCCATTATCGCAAAATTAATTGAAATCCTTTCAAGGTGGCCGGGATGTTGGATTCAAGGTTTCTAATTTTTATTACTTGAGAAAAAGCTTTTGATTATTGAGAATAACTTCCATTAAGTGTAAACTTTCTTACATTTCTTTTGTACAATTTAAATTATATCAGAATAAATTCAACTCCACTTTCGAAAGGTCGTTGTTTTTTTTGGTTGATTCTTTACATTTTTTATATTCGTTGTTTATCACAAAAACGCATGTGATTTTCAACATACATCTGTAAATATAAGGTGTATTCCTTTGAATGCTCCAATAGAACACGTGTCGCTTAAAAATAAACATGCAAAGCAAAAACAAAATGAGTTAAAATAAACCCATTTTCCTGAAAGTGCTTAACAAATAAGCCTCTCGCACTACAATGGTGCCAAATCTTACAACTGTTCTATTATGAATGCTTTTTGGTAGAAAATGGAAAATTCCAGCCAGATGACAGAATTATCTGAGGAGTTTTTTTTTATTATTTATAACTGTTTCGAAAATGTTGAAGATAACTGACAGGTTAGTAATTGTTAAGAAATCATTCGTTTATTATTTATTAAGGAATTTCTGTTCATTAAAATATGCAATACATGAATAAATACAAAACACAATCGTTATAATAAAAGCAAAAAGTTATAAAAAAAACAATAAAGCAATGTTAAATACTGTTTATTTAGCATTAACCACTGATGTTAGAAATTTTAAAATTATACCTTGTATTGCCTTCTGAAGTGCAGGCGCTATAAAATATTTCAAATATTCGGTCATTGCGCCACAATCTTTGTACCTTCCTTATTCCATTATTTTTTTTTTTATTTTATTATGGATAAAATCTTAATAAAATGTGTCCTTTTATATAAATTTAAATATAATATAAAATGCTCACGAATAACTTTTTGTGTCACTGGCAGTGATACCAAGTTATTCTTAAGCAACCAGAAGTTGTTTTATTGGAACATTCCTGCCAAAAGAACATACCTTATTAGGGCAATTCTGGCAAGGATCTTTCACCACACTCAAAAATCTCACGAAAGATCGTTTAAAAGATCTTTGTATTTTCTGCATAAAAACATTTTTTAATATACAATAAAATATATAAAAATTAGCATTCTTTATAAGATTTCCCCTGGTGTTTGGTTTTGTGCTGCCACATTTGTTGGTCAAAAAATTCAATTTGAAAAAAATATTTTAGAGCTGCCACCTCACCCTTATGATCAAAATTGTTTAGTTTTTAAATTTAAATTTAAATTAAATACATTTCATTTGTTACAATGTTATTGCAAGCAATTAAGACGAAAGTAAAAGACAAGTACCTAAAATGATGAAAACATTTTGAGATCAAGAATAATATATAAAATATTGAATAAGTGAATGTAATAATTGACATGCTTGAATATGCTTTTAGCGCAATGGGCAGTAAAACACTTTATTTCCACAACAGCAGTAGACAATTTACAATAAATGTTAATATGTAAATATATGCGTAGTATTCTTACTTTATAATCAAATATAACTTTAATATCTTACATTTATATAATGTATTTTATATATTTTTTAATGTTTATAATATTTCAATTTCATAAAATAATAATAACCATCCTTCTAATAACTTAAAATGATAGTTTGAATAGTCGTGAAAAAATATTCTAGCGTGAAGAAATTTCCAACAATCAATAAAAGTGTTCTTATACGATTGAAGATGCTTTCGGTAAGATTCTTCAATAATCAAAAAATTTGATTGGGAATATTTCCTTTATAAATGTATTGGTAAGAAAATGTGAGTGTGTGAAAAATTATTTTGTACTATCCCTGCCAACATTTACACTATTCATTTATCGTACATCCTCAAAATACGAAACTTATTACTCGCCTTAATATAAGGTTTGTTATTAATCTTTATTATGCTTGGATCGTTAAGCGATTCTTCTTTCAAATTTATTAATCTGCTCTTTTTCTTATAAAAAAATTGTTCCTAATATTTACATATTATAATATTTGTAATATTTCTAATATTACCCTTTTATTTGTAACTTTTGTCTCTCTGTTTTGAATATGCACGTGTGATTTATGTTATTCCAATGTAAACATATTTATAAAATTGCAAATAATCAAAATATTTAATCAAAGTTTTTAATTAATTTGATTTTATCTAAGAAGGGATATGTTTTCAAAAAGTAAAAGTGAGTTGATTCTATACTGAAAACTGTATTCAATTTAATTCTGCAATATATAAAATTTAAAAGAATAATTAGTATGATTATTTTTCGAATAAAAGCATCGAAAAAATAAACAAAATAAGCATTGTTAAGCGGAGAGATATTCTAGTGACATTAATATCGACGTACGCGATATAAATATTATTCTAAACCAGTGACGATTGCTCTAAGGTGCGGAGGTGTGCGGTGAACACCCTAACATAATTTGCAAAATGTCAAATAACATAGGTATATAAATTTATTAGGTATCTTCACATCAAGAATTATTATTAATTATTACATTTCCATATACATATATATTTTTTAAAGTTTTTGCAAAAACAATTAAATATAATTGTCTATGAAAACTCAATCAATTTGCTTCTGTTAGCTGCTATCATAGAGTATATATACTCTTTGCTGCTATACTTGTTAGATGTGCTCATATATTTGCAGCTCAAATCACAGAACATTTCTATTTTATTTCGTCTCTCCCCTTTGTGTGCAAAGAAGTTGGCAGCACATTCATACGTTGCATATGAACAAAATAATGTGCGTGTGCTCCCGTTCGTAATATCAGAGATAGAGATTTATATAGTGAGAATTGTATGAGAGTAATTTTCTGTTCTATTCGAATATCAACTGCATGCATACGAATCCAACATTATGATTTGCCAAAGTGGTTGCATGAGCGGCTGAAGCGTGCAGCTCATCTCACCATACATTTCTATCACATTTCGTCTCTCCCCTTTTAACAGCAGCACCCACGAATTTCTGTTCTTATGGTGCGGGGTACTTGTGCGCACATTGCAAGTGGTTTCGATTTTGTTTGATCACTGCACAAACATGTATGTTTCTAAGTACAAACTCTCTTGTTTGAAAAAAGTTGGTTTGATGTTACGAGAATTATGTGAAATGTTTTGTTTCTTCCATATTGATATAATATTAAACTTATATATAAATTATTAATTTAATTTGTTTAATATGTTATTTTGTTAATGAATTGTTAATATAATATTGCGAATATATTGTTGCCTAATATAATATGGTTATTATTAATAAAACATCTCATATATTTTAATTTAAGTGGTACATGTAAAAAAAACATTAAAGAAGAGCCGCACACCCTTCCAAATAGGGCACGCGTCGTCACTGTTCTAAACAGAATTGCAACTAAAACTGTGAAATACAAATCTATTGACATTATGATCAATAAAATTAATCGATTGGATAAGTCAAATAAAAGATCCGGTCCCTTATGCAATTTGTTACGCTTCTTTGGAACTCGCGGATTAGTTAAAAACTCCTCACGATAAAAATATTGACTGCGATTATTACAAGCACACATTTCCATTTTATGCTTCGTGGATATTGAAAATGCTTGCTGGGGTAGATATAAATTTAATTTCTCATTTACTCTCTCTATAGATTACTTAATCCACTCTTTAAAATTATTACTCTTCATAACCAGTTTGTTTATATTTAAATCCTCTTACAATGTTTCTTTTTTTCCCTACTCCTTACAATGTTGCAGTTCTACATTGTGCGAGTTCATTTGTGTTAGAACGGTATGTTCTTTATTTTAACTTCTTAAGTTTTAATTTACTTTTGTCTATCGCTAAAAATATGAACAAAACAAGCAATGATATTGACAAATTTTTTAACAAAAACTATATATTTAAAAAAATAAATAAAACTTTGAAAATAATTTGTTTCTATTTTGCGGTTCAAAAGGCCATAAACACATATATATTCACAATTCACAACTATCATCACTATATGCAAATGTAATCAGTAATGTATAGTACGGCACATGTATTGAAATCTAATTCAGAATGCACGATGTTATCATCAAAATGTATTCAAACAAGACTTACAATACAAGATCAGTATATATTAAGTTCTTAGCGTGTGAAGTTCGATTAAAATGAACATATTGTTAATTGTGCAGTCTCTCATAATATTAACAATTGCATTTGATTATAGTAATTGTGAAGGTCTAATTGAAGTTTTTCGATGGAAACAAATAGATTTTTATAATCGCGGAGATGGTCAGTCTGGAATAAAAACTGGTACATCTCCACCGAAAAAGTCATCAGGTATGAATTAAAAATATTTACATTTTATGTATAATTAATTATTAATAATTGGGAAAGATTGTCTTTTTCCAACAAAAAAAAAATGTACGGATTTAACAAATAAAAAAAATTTTTTTTTTTATACCAACTTGTAAAAGAGAAAGTTAAGTGATAAACTGTGGTTATTATTTTTATCAGTCTTATTTGTATAATATGTATATATATTATTTATTATCAGTGACGTCCTATACTATGACTAAAATGTATGTTTGAATATATTTTATAATAGAAAATATATGTATATATGTACCTCTTTTTTCAAAAATTCACCTTCAAAATGCAAGTTAGTAATCTTTTATTTTGCATTCAGATGTTACTCGGTAATTTAGTATTCAGTAAAATAAAAGAATGACAAACGTCATCTATTTTTAATTTTGCTGGTCTAGGTTACATAAAAGCAGGAAGATTTCAGGAAAAAAAAAGAAAAATTAAAATTTAAGTAAAACATTCATTGTCTTATTTAGTTTTTCATTTCTATCTATCTTTGTTTATTTATTATTTTTTCAAACACTTCAAAATTAAAATTAAATTCAAGTTTTCTGAAATACTTTTTTTTGTAATACGAAGCAGCTGATATATTTCCAAATACCAAAAAAATTATCAGACTTGGTGCCACGATAATTCGTTAATTCTGTAAGTTTGTAATTCAAAAAAAAATATATATATATATTTCATCATTTTACCAAGTTAACGAGCACATTAACAAGCAAATATCACCCTGATTGTAATATTTGAATGGAATTATGTAATTTTAAAAAAGGGCTTATAGAATATAATTCTGTTAGCAATTATTAAGATTACTCTCTGTGAGTAGAATATTAGAGTATTGGCAAAATCAAAGCGTATCATTTGTTATTTTAAGATAATTTAACGCAATTTCTAATCAAATTCAAAATAAATTATATTCTTAGTGCGAAGGACCTAGTAGTCCAGCTTCTTATTCTTAGTTAATTTTAAAATTAATTTTAGTATTACCTCACAAATAAATAAATAAATAAATCATAATCTTATGATCTTATAAAAACTTTAATTTTAATCAAAAATAATAAATATCAGGTCTGTTTACGATTTTTAATAAAAAATAAAGTTAAAAATGACAACAGAATCGTATATCCGCTTTGAGAAAAATGGTTTACGTAGAAAGTACGAGAACGTCTTTAAATAAAAATCTAGTCAATCCTATTTTCACTCTTGGTGAACGTTTTATTTGAAAAGATATAATGATTTTTAATTTCATGTGTTTTTTTTGTTTTTAATATTTTTCATGAATTTATTTATTTATTATACAAAAAATAGTAAAAATCAAGTAAATTTTTACTTACATTTTACTACAAGTAAGCACAGGAACAGATCTAGCATTTTCAATAACATACTGTATCTATTAATTTGTAGCGGGTATTGTTTTTCCGAAATGGAATGAAGATGAAAACTCGAAATATCGTTTTAGAAACAAAAGAAGTGAGGTACGAATAACATCCCGAGATGACATTACCGTCGGCGTGCGTTCATTGCAAAATTCAAACAATGTGGAAAATAATTCCTCCTACATCGCTTACAATAATGTGCCGATGGGAGCAACACATTTCCAAGGTCGGCTTTTTATAACAATGCCACGACGAAGAGTTGGCATACCTTCTACACTAAATTACATTGATATGATAAAAGATGGCAATAACCCAAGTCCAAAACTACATGCCTACCCCAATTTTGATACAAACGATATAAATGTAAGTTTTTAAATCTTTACTTACTAAATAATTGATTCCAATATTAACAATATTAGATTAATTTTTTTTGCAGTCAATCTCCCAAAGCAACTCACAGAGTTTAGTGTCTGTTTATCGTACGACAACCGATTTGTGCCAGCGATTGTGGTTTATCGATACAGGAATGTTAGAATATCCAAGTAAGTTAAACTTTTTTGTTTTTGGTTTTTCATTTTTTGACTTGTAAATCAAATAGATTAATATAATGACTTTAGTTTTAAATTGTGTTTGAATTGTGTAATGATTATATGTCAGTAATGATTCTCTTTTCCATGAAAATATTTTATTTATTATTTTTCAAATATTTCAAATATTTGCGAGAAATGTGATGAAAAATTATAATTAATTTATGAGTGCCGAAATTGCTGAAAATGTACAGTGTATAAACGAGTAGCAGTTAAGGACACCATTATGTCCTTTGGAGAGATGTTGCCTAATTCCGTTATAAGTGGATAGGCAGTGGATAAGTATCGAGGTCTGAGTCTGGCGAGACTTCACAGTGACACAAAATGTGTTCTGCTGTTTCCTTTTCTTCGCAAGAAAGTCTGCAGTTATTGTCTCTAGTAATACCTACGTTTGATAGATGCTTTTTAATTCCGCAATGACCAGTGAGAAACCCTGTGGCGAGTCGGATGCCACTTCTGTTCAGCATAAGTAGCTCCCAAGTTAATTTTAGGATTAATTAAGATTAGATTTTAACTACTATAATTTGTGAACTTATTTAAGCATCAAACCATATTAGGCATAAAATTGAAGAATTTATTAGAATTGAACCTAAACGATTTTATTTGTTTCTTGAAAAAACATGATATTGGTTATTATATTATTACCACTTTATTAATTTGTATCATTTTTAATTTAAAGTACAATACTGAATGGAGTGTTAATATTATTTCACACTTTATAATTATTATTATCCTGTATACATATTTCCTTTTAGATAATCACACTCAGGTAAAAAGACCATCTATATGGATTATTGATTTAAAAACTGACGCTGTAATAAAACGATTTGAAATACAACCGCAAATAGTAGAAAGCGGTCGAGGTTTAGCAAGTATAACTATAGACGTTCGTGCACAACAATGTAATAAAGCATTTGCTTACGTACCAGATTTGGTTAGTAACCAACTTTATGTATATAGGTAAATAATCTTGCATTTTTGTATTGATAATTACGAGTAACGTTAAAAATTTTCAGTCTTGAAACTGATCGAATTTGGACATTCAGACACAATTACTTCAATTTTGACCCAATTTCAGGAGACCTTTCAATAGGTGGTCAAACTTTTAGATGGAATGATGGTATATTCTCTACCACTCTAGGCGCTATTCAGAGAAATGGTTATCGTGACGTATATTTCCATCCTATGGCCAGTACAAATGAATTTGTTGTATCGAGTAGTATTCTTCAAAATGAAACAAATGCAGCTCGATCTGATCATGGGCGTGATTTCCGAATTTTAGGAAACCGAGGAATCAATAAACAATCTACAATGCATGAATATGATGAACGTACCGGAATAATTTTCTACGACGAAATACATCGAAATGGTGTGGGGTGCTGGAATACAAGAAAACCATTCTCAGCAGAAAATCACGGTACTGTTGCACAAGATGAAGCACGAATGATATACCCAAGTGATCTGACGGTTAGTACTGTTATTTTCTTCTTTTAAATATTTTAACCATAATCAGAGCATCTAAAATAAAAAAAAAATTATTCTTCATGATCACATTACGCAGTATTATCTTATACCAATTTCTTACAGATTGATGACAATGGAACAATATGGGTTATGACAAATTCTATGCCATTATTTATATATTCAACTTTAGATTCCAATACTTTTAACTTTCGTGTATGGAAACAAAATGTCTACGAAGCTGCAAAAAATACAATATGTGCCTAAATTCATTAATATTAATGTTATGTTTTTGCTGTTTAATATTCATAACTTTTATAAAGAAAATAAATAAATATTTATTTTTATATATATATATATCACTTAATAATGTCTATCACGTTTAAAACATGAAGAATACAGTTATTTCTTTTCATTACTATCTAGCATACTGGAATGGAGTACCGATTAAAAAAGCAATAGCTCTTTTTGTAATATGAAGCAGCTGATATTATATCAAATACAAAGTTATCAGACTTGATGTCTCAATAAAACGTTAACTCTGTAATAGGTGAATTCTTTTGACATGAATGCTCCAATAGAACAACTTTTGGTGCTTAAGAATAACTTGTAATCACTGCCTAAGTCAGTAAACATATGAGAAGTAAAAGGGACTATTGTAATGCGAGTGGCTTATTCGTTTAACAGTTTAAGGAAAGTGGGTTTATATTTGCAAATTTTGTTTTTGTTTTCCATTGGAGCATTCATGTCAAAAGAACACAGCTAATGTTGTAATACCCTAAAAATAAATATCCATTATATTTCATCACTTTTTTAAATTACAAACACGTCTGAATATCGCTACTATAATTTTTGAAGTTCGAGAGTTGTTGAATATTTATCATGATATATATATATGTTGATCCTGTTTTTCGAGTCAGCGCAACTGGGCACTTTTACTCTTTGATAGCTGGGGGTACTACAGGGTCCCACCCATCTCATTAACTGATTTGTATATCTCTTATAATCTTCATAATTATTCAGTGATTGATCTAAGATCTGCGTACCTCCCTGTGCGGAGACTGATTACTCTAATTTGATAGATAGATTAGATAGTGGTAAGTAGGATAGCCTGTCAATTTTCGCATATAACTTCAGGGCTCTGTCCCTTATGTATTTTTTGATCGGGTCTATTCTAAGGTCTCTTAGCATGTCGTTTGTGCGGATGTACCAAGGCACTTTGAAGAGTCTTCAGAGAGCCTGACTTGAGTGACTTGTAGCTTTTGTATAGTAGAGTCGGCAGCTTTGCTATACGCGACACACCCATAAAGTAATACTGGTCTAATTATCTGGCTATAGATCAGTTTTCTATTCTTCACGCTAAGGATGTTGTGTTTGAAAAGTGGTTGTAAGCATTGCAGTGTTTTAGCGGAACTGCTTCTTTTGACTTGTATATGCTTATGCCAAGTAAATCATTTATCAAACGTGATACCTAAGTATTTAATGCTATCCTCCCAATTAATCACGATGTCACCAACTGTTACTCTCGGTGGATGTTGCCTGTGTTTACGTGTAATAAATAGGGCTTTAGTTTTCTCATTGTTAATTTTTATTTTCCATTTATGGAAGAACCCCAGGATGAGATTAATATGCTCCTGCAGCATGTTGCTCACATTTCTGGCAAGTTTATCAGAATATAACAAGCATGTGTCATCTGCGTATAATGATGTTGTATAACAAAGGGGAGAGCGGGGATCCTTGAGGAACACCCGCTTCTATTCTTCGTACTGATGAAGTGGTACTCTTGATTCTTACACATGGAATACGAATAATAAATCTTTACATCAAAATGATTTTTTTTATCTGTAGACAAACGATAAGCATGCCGTACTAGCTATTTAATAGATATTTTAATCCAAAGTGTGTTTTTGGTTAAGTTTCCTAATAACAAGGTGAGTTGTGGAATACAATAACCAATATCTTCTAGTTGGCTATTCATATATAAAAAAAAGAAATAAATAGTTTTAATTAAAGAATACTAATCAGCTAACGTGCAAGTTAGCACTAAAAAAAACTGTTGTCTCCAAAACCAACCAACCTAAGACCAACTTTATAAAATAAAATTTAAATTTTATTCAAATAGAAGACATGTGCTACATATTAAGCTTCAATATAATATATTTAAATTATTTATATTAAAATTATTTATATTAAAATTATTTAAATTTAATTAACCATTATTGCTATTAGTTTTATATTTTTTTCGTTAAATTGAACAGAATATACAAAAAATATTTTTACTGACTTACAAAAGAAATTCCAATAACATTTCGTAGTGAGCAAAAAATGTTGTTGAAATTTCTTATTTATATATAACTTTTGTGTTTTTCTTTTTTAAGAAATAATTTATATTGTACTAAACAACAGCATTAATATAAAAAAAAAATATTTTTGTAATATATACGATTATATTATTTGTTAAAGAACTTCTCTTGGTTAATTCACGTGTTGAGCTTTTCTTTGAAAATAATATTAAAATTTTAGAGAATAAATCTGAGAATCATATCTTATACTTAATTTAATTTTGATTAAAGAACTATTATAAGAAATGAATATCTATTCAATTAAAGAATTAATTCCAGATAGAGGAGAGAAGCAAATCTTGAATCTTTTATCATAATTAATCAATACTTATTAATCATAACATGCAGAAAATTTGAAATTGATACTTTAATATTGTTACTTCTAAATTCAATAACACAGTATTTAGTTTTAATAAATTTCATTTGTTGGTGGAATCAATTAAATTATAAGATTATATCACTCATATTCAAATTACATATAATACATACATTACGTATATACAATTTTTTTTCGTTTACTATATTATAAATATATAAGTTAAATATCTCGCTATTTATTCATATTACAATATATTGGAATACACATTTTAAGATATAAATTTAAAAGATTCTCATTTTTGAACTTTCCTATTTTATTATATATTTTAATATTTTTTGTAGTATGTGAGAAATTCAATAAATAATTTAGATTTCTTCTCAATATATTCATTGTCATTACATTGCGAATACTTTAATATTCTTAGCGGTTCAATCTTAATAAAAAATCAGACGAAAACAAATATTTTATACATTTTTGAAAACTTCATATCTTAATAAAAGCTTATTGGAATAATTATTAATTTTATTAATATTTTTATCAAACGTACTTAAGAATTTATGGATAACAATTTTTTATTAATTTCTGTATATACTTAAAACTTCACCTTTGTGAACATTAAATTACTAAACTTTGTCATTACTTTATATCAAAACACGCTTTATTTTAGAAGTTGATGAGCCCTTTGATTCGCAACAGCTATTCTCGCTTCGTTCGATTCACCCTACAAGAAAAAAAAACAAAGTTTGATTATTGAAACACATTTAATATAACTGAAATTATTATATTATTATGTGAGATTAATTGAGTCAGTTTACTTGAGCATATTTACTCTCTACTAACTGCGATGTTTCTTCGTAACCCCTCTCTACGCCTTGATTGGATTATTATTTATCAATTCATCAGACTAAGCAATAACTGATTTCAGATCTGCACACCTCCCCGGGGAGCCTGTAACCATTCTGAGATTCGATAACGCGGTGTTGGTAACCCTGCCACAATTCGTAAATAAATTCAGGGCTCTATCCTTTACGTATTTTTTGATTGAATCAATCTTGAGGTCACTGAGGATGTCATTCGTTCTAATTTACCATCGTACCTTGAAAAGTCTACTCAGAGCCTGGCTTTGTGCAATTTCTAGCTGGCGAATAGTAGTGTTTGAGGCCTTGCTAAACGCTAAACACTCATATAGAAGTGACGGTCGAATTATTTGGTTATATATTAGCTTCCTGTTCTTAGCATTGAGATTTTCATTTTTGAATAGTAGTTGGAAATGATAAAGAATTTTGGCACAGGTAATTCTTTTTAGTTAAACATGAATCATTGTCCACTGCTCGATATTTAATGCTATCCTCCCAGTTTATTACTATATTTCTCCTATTGATTCTCTTAACTGCGTTTGGTATTAAAGTTGTGTTATAAAATAATCAATGATACAGCTAGAAAACAGAAAGAAACTAACTAAAGATCTCCTAAAAAGAGACGTCCCTTCTAATAGGACAGAGGTAAAGTTGCTAGAAAACTATTAATCGTGTTATTCAATCTGGGCTACTATTTCAACAAAATGTATCTGTCTAAAGTGATAAAACGTAGTTTTGTCTAAAAGGGGATAAGAAGCAATATAGTTTGTACTAATGTAGAAATCAAATTTTATCATGTATTTTTTTATCTAATTATTTAAGTTCATTTCTAATTATAATTAACAGAACACTCTAAACAAAAACTTAATATTAGATGATTTTATTATTGTAATTGCAAAGATAATAGATTATAATAAACAAAGTTACCTTTCGATTTATTCTGTCAATTTGTCTGTTTTGATTCTCTAACTCAGAACCCATGTCTAAAGCCATGTTTCGCAAATTTCCTATCATCGTATTGACTTGGCCCATATTTTCTTCCATTTCGTCTTCTCTTGCGTCATTTGTGATTCTAGAAAAAAAAATTATTATTATTTACAAAAAAAAATTATTATAATAATATACATATTTAGGTTACAATTAACAATATTTAAACCAAATGGCACAGGCATTTAAGAAAATTTGTGTAATTACTTTTTTTTTTTTTGGTTTTTGTATTCGAATTCATATTACAAAGTCAGAGAGACTAGGAAAACAAAGGAAAGTTATGTTAATTTGGTTAGCAGTAAGCCACGCTTAGACATTTCTACAAATGTCTACTACAAAAACTTTGCTGGAAACTTTATTTTTGTAACAAAGCCGCCAAGCATTGTTAAAAGTAATATTTTCGACCAGACCGTATTGGAATTTGACCATTTTCGAGTGATTCTGGAGACACTCTGTACGCCGCAGTTTTTGTGAACACGTACCCTGCTATCGGGGCAGTCTAGGAAAGACAAAATTCTGAACAAATTTATTTTTTTTGCTGTAATGTTTTTATGATAGACTTATTTTTTTATTTAAGATATATGAATTTTATGTCTTCAGTAAACTTGCTATAGGGAAATAAATGAATATTTTTAGATTAGACATTCTTTAGATTAGACAGTCAGTACTTCTCTGTTAAAAATAGGGATTTTAAATTAGTTCTTATCCATAAATTTTACAAGATATTGTGTCAATTGTTTTTTTATTTCTCGTTGTGTAATTGTATAATTCATCGACAAGAAAGACACATACATATATGTCCAGAATGACAGTTGCTAGTTGGATTTTCTCAACACTTTTGAAGGTTTACAAATTTTAAAGATCTAGATTGCATGCAATTCAGCTAACTTGTGTCAATTAGTGGGTAAGATGATATCAGTTCTGTATCGTAACATTAAAATTTAGACATGAGAAAAATTTTAATTAGCAGTTTGATCATTATTGAAGCATTCTCAATACAATATACTCTATACAATATATCAACGCCTATAGCAATAAATGAATAATATTAACTATTTCTATATTTTAATGGCATATCATGACGATATATTATGAAAACATATTATTTCACTCCTTGCAACTTATCGAAACATGGTTAAACATGATAATTTTTCGAGATGTAAAATCACATAACTATGGAAGTCTTAACGACATTATGCTCATTCGGAGCACGGAAGAATACCGTTTTTATATCACACAAAACTTTGAATGATTAATCCTCTTAACTCACAGTTAAAAAACTGACTAGCAGGAAGTAATTTGAAATGTTAAACACTAGAACTATACCTGTATACCCGTAGTTTTCAATTCATTTTGTAACTAACCTCATTTTTAAAAATTGTCATTTAAACTTATTCTCATAATAATATTCTCGATAATGCCGTGTTGGCAATGATGGCACATCCAACGGAAGCATGGCGCGAGGGTTACTTTAAGGATATAATAACAAAGGTTGCCAACATTGAGTTGTACTATAAGGCTATACAATTTTATTTAGATTACAAACCATTGTTATTAAATGATATGCTGTTAGTGTTAGCACCACGAATGGACCACACACGTACCGTGGGTTTCTTCTCAAAAACAGGGCACTTACAGTTGGTGAAACCATACTTAAGATCAGTGCAATCGCTTAATAATAAAGCAAATAATGAGGCACTTAATGGTTTGCTTATCGAAGAAGAGGATTATCAAGGCCTACGTAATTCAATTGATGGATTTGATAATTTCGATACTATTGCATTAGCACAAAAACTGGAAAAACACGAATTAACCGAATTCAGACGTATTGCTAATTTTAAATAATATTAATTAAAAATATTAATAGATAAGTAAATATAAAACTGTGCACGTGTAAGTCAAAAAAATTAGAAACAATTATGATACCACAAAGAGTACAAAATAAACATTTTAAATTTGTTAATGAATATGATTAAATAATTTGAACTGCTGATAAATACCTTCCAATGTATCCAGCTTGAGCCATCATTCCATTTCTATCATCCATTACCCTTTGGGGCTGATTATTGACTACTTTTCCATCATCATTACCTTTCCACGTCCCATCATCCTCTTTAAATGATTGGCTTCTATAATACAACAAATAAGGATATTATAATAAAAATTAATTTAAACTATTATAAAATTATTACTTGTTACAAGGAAGAACGCATATACCGCAGCACTTCTCCATTCCACTTAAGTTTTTTTCTGCTTCCCTCATATCAGCATTTATTTGATCCATTCCCTCCTCGATTCTATCAAGTTGTTCTAAAATCGAATACAAATATATAATATATGTATATATAAGGAGAATGTTCAGATGATCGAAAAAAGCTATTTTGAATTGTTATATTCGATCTTGTCACATTCATCAGAAATTGCTCATTAAAATAGTAATAACTATTACATTAAATAGATTACATTAAATAGTAATATCAGAAAAAAAGCCGAGTTCTATTTATTAACGATTTCTCTTTAAGGTTGTACTAAAATTTTGAGTTAAACTTATATTTTAACATAGATTGGTATTTTATTCTGTATTTGTAGCATATCGAAATGAATGTATCACTAAATATATAAGTATATAGGTACGTCATATTTATTATTGGAACAATTAGTTTCATCATTATGCCTCTAATCTCTCCAGTATCGCCAAGTTTTTTTTGTTTATACACATAATCTTGTGTATTGGATGATTTAATGCTGGATATATTATCTTAAGAGTATAACTTTATCTTTGGTATACATAATTTTAATGCATGTGCTTATTAATGAGGGATCCTTACTTTAAAACTGATAACGATTTCGGTTAAATCGTGTTGAAATTTTTAATTCAATCGGAGTGTTCAATGTTTCCACGTAACTTTGAGATCCTGTATCCATTATTTTGTGTTATTCGATACATTAACCAAATATAGTTTCATCGTGAAATAATTACCATATATAAATTGTGTTGCCCTGGCTTAAAATTAATCTTTAGCAGCAATCAATAAGTTCTGTGACGTTTTTATTTTATTTGTTATCGCTCTTTAGCAGTGATGCACCAGAAATCGGTGTAGGCAAGCAGGATTCACGCATCGAAATAATGTATTAAAATTTACATTCAAATCAATATTATCTAATAACATGTATTACAGTGATCGATAATAGTGCTATTCTATTAAGTATTAGTAAAAAAATATTGTTGAATAGAAACAAAATAGCATACGAGTATTGAATTGTAATTACTTGCTTTCTAAGTACAATTTTTTCTTAGATAAGGTTACAATACTTTAAATAATGGCCCATTGTGTTACCACGGATGGTAGAGCATGGACAGGAAACGGACAGTACCCATTGAGAAGAAGTGAATTCCTATTCAGGTAAAAGGTAACTAACGTACAAAGTCTATAAACTTGGCTATATGCCTAATTTTAAAGAATGGTAATTTTATCGGGTCAATAGAAAACGAGATTTTAAATCTTCCCCTAGTCGATGATAGACACATGATATGAAGCACAGTTTCTACTCATTCGCAAAGTGACGATAAACCAAGCCTTATTATATACATTCTTAATACGTAGTAGCCTTTTAGTAGTACTATGATAGATCTGCTTTCGTTGAAGCAGTTGACTAGTGCGAATTTTATTAAATCTTGAACAAGGAATATTCATCTAGTTAAGCGCTGATTAAACAAGAATCTTTATCTACGTAAGCGTTGACTAAATGAAGAATTGCCTACAGGTATTTATTTGCCAGTTTAACTGTTCTAAGATGGATGCTAACAGATCCATGGATGGAGAATTCGAACATTCTCTAACTTAAAAAAAAAGCTGTAACGCCTATCAAAATTATAATTGGAGCTTGTGTATCCGCGAAAATTAGGATATTCATTACAGATTTCCTATGCTTACCATTTAAAAACTCTGCAGGGCCATTTTTGGCTGATTATTCGAAGCAATAATTACAATAACCAAACAAGTATGTGGGGTGTGGATCACAACTATTTAGCGAATTGGTATTCATTTTTTTGTTGTATTATAAATATTTTTAGCAAATGCAATCAATTATTGATATTGATTAAGAAAATAATGCGTTTCCATGTATCTCCTCTTAACTTCTGGATTAAAATTACAGTTTTATTTTATATAAGATAACATAATTATAGATAATTAATATTTCATTTTGAGGCATCTTGAATTCCGTTATTTGTAAACGTTTTTAAAATATATTTTCTGAATGCTAATTAGTTGTAAGTTTTTGTTACTTTATTTGATCATTTGTTTAAAATTTGGTTTGGATTGCATTCACTCTTGTTTTCTATATTTTAATTGACTCTTCTTCACTTCGTTTTTATTGTGAAAATATAAATCTGTTTCCCCTCGTTTGGTTTTTCTAGTTACAGATGCGTTTTTCCAAAGTACTTTAAAATCACAATATAATACTTTAAAGCTATTATCGTGGGAAATTTATACATGTTTAAGTTATTGTCTTAACAAATTTTAGTGATAGTAATGGATTTTCCATTAATTTAAAGACTGTTGGTCGTTTTGTTGTTAAGTGCATTATTTCGTTTAAATTTTAACTTTTTCTTAGAAAATACCAACACCTTTGTTGATGTTTTTTAAAGCATTCAAAACATATCAAATCCTTTTTATTGTCACTAAGCTCACAATTCCCGACTGCAACATTTTTTTTAATTCTACCTACTTATTGCGTTTACTGAGATATTAAGTATTATATCACAAACGCTTCAAACATGTATTTAACAAAATTTTTTTAACTCGTCTTATAAGACAAAATGTGTAATATTTACATTAAAAAAATTTTTATTTATTTATTTAAATTGCTTATAAAAGTAATTGTACTAAGTTGGATTTTAAATAATTTTGTAAGCAATGATCATTTTGATTGATAAATACGCAAGTCACTTATGTATATAATACAGCAATTAAAAGAAGGTAATTTGATTTTTTTGA